CAAAGAAACGCCATATAATTTACTCACGCGAAAAAGCGCTAATTAATAACATCATAATTAGCAAAAGTGTCGAAGATTAACTACAAAATAATTAAACAAACAATCATTAATTCGAGACAAACTGTAAGTTTCAACAACAAAATACAGGGTGGCCCAGAACTCACGCCCTACCGAAAAAATGCCTTATGGAAACGACAATGGAGATGCCGAAACTGCAGTCGAAAACTTTTTCTTTTGGTAAATAAAGAGGTTCAAAATCGACCAATCTCAGTAGAAATTTAAATCCACGAAAATGACGTGAATACACCAATTTGACATTATTGAAAGATTTTATGTCATTTTCACTTCCAAAGTTAACAAAAGTTGCCAAAATCAGCTGTAATTATTGATCAAAGATTTGCTTTAAAATCGATCAAAAAAATGCATCATTCGATTCGAACCACTTTTGCAGCAATAAAAAATTCTGAAAGCTTGATGTACAGCACACAAGTCGATTCAAATGATGCATTGCCGAGGTTGCAAACCAGTTGCAAGATCAACCGGTTTGCGATTTTTGTTTCAAAACAGTTGCAACCGAGAGCGGTCGGCCTAAATTTTACTACAATACAAATCGAAAATCATAACAAAATCGACCAGTTTCTCACGATTTACGTCCGTCCGGCGTGTTCTCATCTACATATCGTCCAGCTCTGGTATGTTACAACACATTTAAATGGCGTTCGGCGTTCGCAAACGGGATTTTCCAGCCGATCTTAAACTCGTTTCTCCAACAACGCGAACGATTCGAAGGCGAATAACCTTCGATTCCGTTAGCAATTTCGGATTTACCGACGAGATTTCGTTAATAATATCTCACCTGTACATTTTGCTGGTGGATTTCCCGCATTTTCTCCAACTCACACTGGCCACACGAATGGAGGGAAAACGCGCACGAATCGAAACGATTTTAAATCCACTCGCTCGGGCGAATAAATCGATATGATCTGATTATACCTATTTCGGTTATCAAAAATTTATAGTTCAAGCATTAATTATTAATGTAGTTAATTCGAAAACTAATTTGCTATTACCGTGAATCGGTCTAGTAGAAAAATTCTACCTAATAATGCATTATAAATAACTTGTAATTGTTCTAAGTAGTTCACTGTTTGTTGGAATCAACCCTTCAAAAATTGATAAAATTCATACAGATGGAACAAAATTAATTTCCCTTTAGTTTCATACAAAATCTATTTCTTTCTGTAAGTATTGTATTATCAATTTTTACACAGCCAATTTTACTGCATTTGCACCAATAAAAATTGCATCGAACATTTATAAAATCGAATCTCATCCCGCCTACTTACCACATCATTTAACAGACATTCCTCTGAATAAATTCTGTTATCATTTTTACGAAACCAGACTCGAATTAGACGGCATTTGCAGTCAGGCCTGATCCGCGCGATTATTCAGCCAGCCAAGTGTAATTTTTTCATTAGACTCCGCGATCACGTCGCCGAGGTTCTTTTAGTAATAGGCTTGTTTTCGTACCATATTTTCGCAGTACCATAACGAGTTTTTCTTCACCATAAACAATCGTTTAAATCGCACTCTAAATGCAATTTGCGGAGAAAATCCCGAACCTCCCTCGTAGCTCGCTCGTGTGTGCATACGAGGGAGGTTGCGAATGTAATTGTTGGGTGGGAAATGCGGGAGATTTGTTATCTTATGTTTTTAGCGTAATTTTACAGAAGATAGACGAGACTGGCGGGGATCAAAGATTATATTATAGCATTTAAGTCGTCTCCAGGAAGTAATTTTTTCGTATAATATTTAAACTTACATGCATACATAAAAACTGTTTTGCGTGTACTTAGCGCGGTTTTTTTTATGCGGCTCAAAGTTTAACAATTTCGCGAAAATATCACACAAACCCGTTTCTATCAAGGCAAACGAAGAAAGACGTAAGAGAAAACCGACGAATTTATTCGAATTTTGCCTAATTATTAATCGTATATATTTCAATTTAATTATATGTTAATAATTAATTTATTATATACATACGAGGGACGGACTATAAGAAGGTTAAAATTACCTCCACGTAATCACTTTGTTTTCGATATTTCGATTAGACAAACTGGCTGTAAATTTATTGAAACGAGTAATTTCCAATTCGATTTCCCAATTACCGATCAATAAAATAGATTGACTTTTTTTTTGTCGAACGGAATAAATGAAACGTATTTTATAGAACGAGATGATTAGCTCATAATTCTTAATTGCAATTACCATTTATGCAATTTGTATAAAAATAACTAAGCAGAATTGAAACAAAGGTTTTTTTTATGGAAATATCAGAGCGTGTAGGAAAACCTTGTAATTTTATTGTAATAATTGTTGATTTTTCGTACCTACTTTAATAACATAAAATGTACATAAAACACGTCCCTTAACCCCATAAATATTGTCCTATAATAATAAGTAATTAGTATTAAAGGTTTTAAAAGGAATATTTTCGTAGATAAAAATCGGTGTCTTCAATAATGTTGGATCAATAACTTTCATATGTATATAAGTACGAATGAATGTCGCCTGAAGATATAAGAGAAAGTGAGACAGCTTCCTTACTGTTCAAATTACGTAACTGAAACCTACTTAAGTCGGATTTTGTGTTAAAACGGTGATAATCTCATCGCAAGTAGAATAGTTATGGAGGTTTTTTTTAATGAAGTATCCTCACGAATTTCGCCGAAGAATTATTTCGACTTAACATGTATTAAAAGTTGAATTTTTGCATAGAATTTTTAACAGGTAAATTCCGCTTCAATTTTATTTTACGAGCGATCGATAATTTGGCTCAAAATCACGACGGATTTTAAAAATCTGGACACGTTCGAGTACTAAATGGGAACTTTACGATTTCATGTAAATTACACTTAGAAATTTATTGGCTCGTATCTTCGAATGCGATAAAAAAATTGTTGGTGTAATCGAAATTGTCTGAAACTTGGCATTTGCTTTTATAAATTAATCGGTTAATTAAAAGAACAGATTTACAAATACTTGTAACACACAATAGAATTTTTTAACTTTATTATAAGTTGATGAAAAATCCTATCAAAAACTATTAATTTGATTTTATTTTGTGATAAGAATTTATAGTGAAAAAAAATAGTTACAGATCCTATATCACTGGTTTAAATGGAGATAAATAATTCTGTACTTTGATTAATAAAATAATTTTTTAAAGCAAAACAAAAATGTGTTTTGATTATTCTTCATTTGACAACAAAGTACAAATAACACTTAATATAAATAACATGTTTACTCAATATTATTTGTTTGTTTTCGATATTTTTTTAACATTTTTCGGAAATTTATTCACCATAAATGCAATCTCACTTTAAAGACAATTATTAATGCAATATCGCTTTATAGGTGCATCCTATTACTATTTATAGTAACTAAACCGATGCATTATGCATTAGAATCCAATAATGCAAATTTCCTTTGATTCGTAATGATAGGTATAGTCTGTACTAGAATAATTAAAACCTTTTTCCGCTCATCGAATAATGGTTTTTGTCGAAATTTAGAATAGAAATATTTCCGCGAATTACAAACGAAATTATTGTATAATTACGATATAGATAGCTATTTAATTGTCGTGCATATTAAGGAATTCCGAAAGTGTTTTGACCATCAAACGGGCATGCCCGGTTCTCATGGTAGCCCCCTCGACAATAAAACAAACCGGTTTACACTCGGAAATTATTCAATAATTATTTTTTTGCGCCTAAAATATCTCGAAATTCGGAAAAAAATCCAATCGAATTCCCGACGCGATTGCATCAGAATATTCCTTAATCCAGCGATAGAACCGCATACACATTGGGTACATCTAAACATCCCATTTAGGTCCTTAAAGTGACATTTACAGATCCTTCAAGAGGAATTTTTCCTCTCCAACTCCATCCGAGATACTCACCCGAGCGTCCCGTTGGTCCAAGAGAACATTCTCTTGACGGTCCTCCCTCCAGGTCCGGACACCGCGCTGTTATCCATTATCTATCTCGTTGCTATTCTCGTTTCGTTCACTAATTTATCTATCCACCAGCACTCTTCGAACAGGTTTAAATCATGTTGCAGATGGCACGGCGGGCGAAGTCGAACTGTTGTGGTCGAATTTGAATACTAAACGCGTTGCTTGCGAATCGCGAAGGTGAGATGAGATGGATTCGAATTCGAATTCGAAATCGCACCGGACGCAAAAGTCACGCACACGTTTGCAGGGCCGGAAAAGCGGAAAACTCCCGGGGGGGTGTTTCGAATTTCGAATTTCGGACGGGTTTTTTCTGGTTCGATTTCGACGCGAAACGAACCGATCGGTGCACGTACGCGATTCGAAATAGAAAGTACAATGGCCGGATTCCTTTCTAAACGTAGAAGTCGCTGGCGAGCGCGCCGCGGATTTGATAAAAAAGAAAGTTCTCGGTTCTCGGCTCTTGGTTCTTGGTTCTTGTTCTTACCGGTTGGGCGAGGCGAGGTGCGTAGCGGTACGTGCACGACACACGGTTCGATGTATCGGACGATCGTATTGAATTGGTTTTACCCCACGAAATGCTCCAAGGTACGCCTATGTGCACTAAAGTGCTATTCAAGCGAAATGGTGGTTGCATAAGCATCAGGCGCTCGTACACATAACACCAGATTTATTTAAGTTGGCTACAACAACTGACAGTGACAATTGACATTTGACATTATCAGCAATTTGCGGAGTTGTTTGGTGTATAGATGAAAGGGTAGCTTTCTGGTTAATTAAATAATAATTAGCTACTATTTACAACCAAAATCGTCTTCTCTACGTCTTCCAAGACAACCAAAGGTAAGCCTGTTGAGTAATTGTAACAGTTATTTCATAAAAACTATTTGTTGTGAGTCGGCTTTGAGTGCGACTGCCAGAAAACATGGCGGCCTCTTTAACTTTAACATGGATAATTTTTTGAAATATTTTGTAGATGAGACGGAGAACGCGAAAAACGCAGGTACCTAGCGATATACCTAAAAAGGTGACTAGAAGTTCTACCAGAAGAAAACAACAACAATCTCCGTCATTATCTGAAGAAAATGCGGATTCTTCGATGAACGAAAGCCAAATTTTAGAAACGAGCATCGAAGAACCAGAAAAAGTCGATTCAGGTAACAAAGCGTTAGATAATACCGAAAAAAGCGAAAATAAATCTGAATTAGTTCAACCGTCTGAAGACAAAACAGTAAAAGATCAAGTTAATGCGGATGAGGATGAGGAGAGCCCAAAAGGTAAGTCAACAGGTATAAATGATCAAACTCCAAATAACATTGAACATCAAAATGAAAATAATGAAAATGTACAGGGGTCAGCCCCGTCACCTAAAGATAAAGATGAAAATGTACAGATAAATGAGATTCAAAAAGATGAACAACACGATAGTGCACAAGCACAAGAAGAAAACGTAGTTAAAGAAGAAAACGAACCTAAAGAAGAAGAAAAAGCTGCTGAAGAAACTAAAGAAACTTCTAATGAAACTCAATCGGACGATTTCGAAAGCGAATACAAGAAAGAAGATTCATCGAGTGTAAACGGTTTATCGAAAACCGAAGAATCCAGTGCAGAAGATAAACCGATAGCAAAGAAATGTATTATCTTAAAAAGAACTGCCAATGAACGATCGCAAAGAGTATCCTCGCCTTTAGAGGACGGCGAAATACAAGAATCTAAAGAGAAATCGAGAAAAATCACTCTAAAGAGACACACTATCGAAGAAAGTAACTCGGAAATCGATAAAATCGTCATAAATCGAAGACCGTCCACTAGCGAAGAAAATGGTACTAGAAAAAAGCGATTAAGCAGTGGCGTAGACGAGAATATACTTACAGTAGTCGGTAAGATTTTTCCACATTTACCATTAAAATTCCACTAATAATACGTTTATATTTTAGGTAAACCGAGTAAACCTACTAAAATAATAAAACTCGATAGGACTTTCTCCAGCGAAACTCCTCCGCAACAACCTGAAAACGCTCGTACTCGTAACCAATCCTGGGGCAAATCCGAACTGTCCGACAGCCTTTCTTCGAACACTTACAAAATCGATTTGGAATCGATCAAAACCGTCTGTCCCGCTTTGGAGTTTCTCGCCGAAACCGACATAAAATTGGAGGAACCTCCGAAGGAGAGCGAAATCGAAGAGGAACCGGTCGCGAAGAAATCCGAAGAGGAAGAGGCCAAATCGGACGAGGCCAGCGAGAAGGAACAAAGCGAAGAGGTACAACTAAAGCCCTCACCTAATACTAGCTTATATTATGTTTATTAATTACAGGACGAATCGCAGGAGGAGCAAAAAATAAAAACCAACGCAAACATCATAGCGTTGAATAGAAAAATCAGTATAGTGGATGATACGGCTGCGAAATTGCGACCGCCTCCCAGCCCGGCGAAGAATCCGACGTCCGCCATCTTGTACATCACCAATTTGGTGAGGCCTTTTACTATTAAGCAACTCAGAGAGCTTTTGGAGCGCACGGGGAAGATCAAGGAGGACGGGTTTTGGACCGATCGAATCAAGTCGAAATGCTACGCTCACTACGAATGCATCGAGTAAGTGTAATTGTATTTTATTTTCGCGTGTGTTTGATGTATAATTTTTAGAGAGGCGGAGGCTACGAGGAATGCTCTGCACGGTATTTTCTGGCCGGTGGGCAACGGAAAGCAACTGACAATCGATTATGCGACCGAAGAAGAAATGGAGGTCGCGAAAAATCCCGTACCACCACCGGTTGTTGTTCCCGAAAAGTTACCGGATAAGGAAAACAGGGTAAGTCGAACGAATGCAGTTATTTTAATTTATTGAGTACCTTGTGTATTTGCAGGAGCCCGATTTGATGACTAATAAGCATAGGGAGGATCAGGAAGGGGATTTCGAGCAGGAGGAGAGAAAAAATGATTCAGGACGTGAATGGGACAAGCATAAGGAAGAGCATCGAAGAAGGCATTCTAGAAGCAGGAGCAGAGAAAGGGCGCGAAAACACAGCCACAGATCGTATACTCCCGAAGGTTGGTAATCGATTATTCGAAGTCTGATTATTGTTATAATTATGTCTGTTTGTAGAGCATCGCAAAAGGCAAAAAATGAACGATGATTCGGTGCCGCAAAAGTTGATGGACGATCTATTTTTGAAAACTAAAGCCATGCCGAGTATCTACTGGCAGCCCCTTTCTCCTCAAGAGGTAAACGAGATTATTAACTCGAAAAGAGCTGCTTATTTATCGAGTTGTTTGTTGTAGATTGCGACGAAACAACAACAACGGCTTGTCCGGATGGAAGAGCACAAGCGAAGAATCGAAGAGACGCGGACTAGAAGAGACAAAGAGCGCCGGGGCTCTTTCAGACGTCGCTGACACGGCGGCCGTTTTCCTTCAAATTTTTTAGTTTTTTCAGGAGTTCAATAACAGTTTTTCCTTTTTTCTCTTTAGAATGGCCGATGGAATGAGAGGATTTTATAATAGGACTTTATTTAGCGCTTTTTTTTTGTTCGTAGCGGTATGGATGCGTTTGGTGTGAATGCTTCAGGTTTCAGTAATCTGATTGTTATAGGTCTTCGTTTGTGACGGTCCTAGGAAGGCGTTTAGCGACGAGGGATTTCTGAAAGACGTCAAACAATGACGAAAAGACGGTTTTTTCTATTGATTTATTTTTGTTCGTATTCAGTTGAGTATATACAAACATAGCACAGCGTAACGTAACTTTGTTCATTTATAATGAAAATTGAAAATAAAACGCATTCAAATATATATGAATTTAATTTGTGATTGTCTCTTTTATTTGTATTTTATTATAAAATGTTTACTAATTTAAATTACGCCATATTCGTTTGTAATTAATGTTGCCTAACTTCAGGCATGTTTTCTAACTTTGCTAACAGATGTCACTACGGTTTTCAAATAAAGAAACTGTCATTTACGTTGCCAACCTAAATCGAGATGTTGATTAAATATCCCTAATTTCTTGTATTCTGTTTTGGTTCCGCAGCAAAATGGAGGCAGCTAAAAGTTTTCGGGTTTTTTCGAAATGATAACGTAATAAATAAATAAATTACCGGTTCCTTCGTGCAGCTCAACGCGGGCATTATGTAATTCGCATCGAATTCGTACCAGTGTTTGTGGAAAATGTTACAAAACTTTTCGTATGTGCATCATTCAAAGTTCACTGTGATATTGGTGATTGCTTCTGTTTTGACATCCTTACAGAGTTCAATACAAGGTATGTTCCTTAAATTTTATTTCCTGTTACCCGATATCGCCCTTTGCTTAAAAATAGATTCGATACGCGGTTTAATTCGACGGAAAATTCGATGTTTCGATTGAATTTTCGCATATTTATTGCCCTTCTAATCGCAATCAACAATCACCCCCGTTCATTTTTTCTTATTTACTTATCGTACGAATTCGTGCATTCATAAATTCATCTATAAAGAGAAGGTCATTTACATTTTGTTCGAATTATAAATAGCTCGGCAAAAGTAGATGCGTCGTTAAGTCTAGATAGTTATCTCAAAGGTGTGACAATATTTATTATATCAAAGTAATCTCGCTATTGGGACATGATGATAGTCAAATTTCTTATTTGCTCAATAATACTTAAGTTTTTAATCTATCGATATAGCCTAAATAAATATTTACTTAGTCTGTGGTTATAATATTTTATATCTATTGAAATTAGGGTCTTATTCTTCTTCAATACAAGGTGTATTTCTGAAATAAGTAGAGAACCTCAAAATATGACAAAAACTTAAATGTCATTTTATCGAAATGTCAATGTCAAATAATTCATTCCTACAGCCTACTAGATTTTTATAGACAATAGTTTTAAAATTTAAATTACAGGTTAATTGTAACAACAAATTAAAGCAATATCTTCCCCGTAGGTCATGTGCTAGAATTCACGGTCGAGCCAACAGACACGGTGGTAGAAGCCGGCCAATCGGCAGTCCTCGATTGCGTAGTAAGAGCTTCCCATCACCAATCCAGCGTTCTAATACAATGGCTCGATCAAGACGGCTCCAAATTGAACTTCATCGGCGATTTGTACAGATCCCAATTAACCAACGGTTCCTTATACATAACTAGCGTGATCGAAGGCCAGAGATTAACGGGCAAATACCAATGCATAGCGACCCTACCGAACGTCGGCTCTATAGTGAGTCGCATCGCCAAGCTAAGCATAGCCAGTAAGTTTATACATCGATCGAATTATTATTTCTACAATCGTACCGTTTGCGAACAGATCTAGCGGGCTTCCAAGAAGAACCGAGAGATTTGAGTGTATACATCGGACAACGGGCCTACTTCGCCTGTCTGGTAATCAGCGCGCCCGCGCCGCGCATAAGATGGCTGAAGGACGAGCGGCCTCTTCTCGTCGACGATCTCCGCATGGCCATTCTACCGTCGGGCGCTTTGGAAATCGACGAAGTCGTGGAGTCCGATCAGGGCACTTACAGGTGCAACGCTTCGATTTTGAGCACTCATAAATTGAGCAACAAGGCCGTGTTGCACGTTGGTTTGGATCAAGAGGAGGCTCTGAATGTAGCCGGTCCGAGTTTCGTGGCTCAACCGCTTCCGGGGACTTACGTCGAAGGCCAGAACGTTTCGCTCGATTGCGCTGCTAATGGGTATCCCAAACCGGTGATTACTTGGTTGAAAGACGGATATCCCATCGATATGAAGTGAGTTGTAATGAGTTTGAGTGAGTCGAATTTACGTGTGGTTTTGATTCGTAGCGATCTGGACAGTCGGTTTAAATTCGCCGGTACTACCAATTCCCTCAGGATCACTAACATTAAGGAAGAAGATGATGGTACTTACCAATGTCGGGCTGAGAATAAGGAAGATAGTTTGGATGCGTCTGCTGTTATTCACGTACAAGTAAGAGGATATTTCGATAATTGTTTCCGAATAATTAACAAATTTGCGGTTTTCCATAGGTGCCTCCTAGATTTATAAAGAAACCCCAAGATATCGTCGAACATTCCACTAAAGATATAGAATTCAAATGCGCCGTTTCCGGTATACCGGAGCCCGAAGTGCAATGGTTCAAAAACGGCGAGCTCGTTAAATATTCTGAATATTATAAATTAGTTAATGGGTATGAGATGGTTATTGTTTGTATAGCTGTTACTGAAAGCTTAATTTGTAGTTACAATTTGAAAATAATGGGATTGATGCCCAGCGATTCCGGTTTATTCCAATGCTTCGCCACCAATCAAGCGGGAAACATCCAAGCCGTGGCCAATTTGAAAGTACAAACCAATCCAGGTATGTTAGGTTTATTTGTATACATTTATTTATTATTATTATTTTTTTTTTTGTATTGAGATTAATTTCGTTTATTTTTCTTTCACCTCATCCCGTTCGCTTCCTTTCGTTTGCATGTAAACCATCTAGAAAAACGTAGAAAACACCATTCGAAAAAAGTCCCATCGGAACACTCGATATCGCTCTTCACCTCCCTCAAATCGGATTCCCGCGGGAAATTGTCCGACATCCCTCAATCGCATGCCGCCAAAACGCCCGAAACGCACGCCTTCGATCCCCATTCCGTTTTTAACGCTTTGAAAAGTAGCGAATCTAACGATACCAATACTAACCTCGGCGACGTTCAATTTGCTTTCACCCCCTCGCCCCGCAAATCCGCAGCCGATTCGGAGCGGACGAAAGAAGAGGGTTTGCCCGGCCCGCCGCTGGAACTGAAGGCGCCCATCGTCAAGGCCAGATTCGTCATACTCAGCTGGAAACCGCCGATCGAGAACGGGGACAATATCCTGTCTTATTCCATTTACTACAGACAAAATGCTAGCGACAGGTAAGTTGTAAATGAATTTAATATGTATTTCTAATTGTTTGTGTTGTTAGGGAACGATTTTTGAATACTACGAGATCGAAGCTGGAGGAGTACAGCGTGAGCGATTTGTTGCCGGGTCGAGAGTACCACTTTAGGATTGTACCGTATAATGCATTGGGTGCAGGAGAGTCTTCGGAATTGTTAACTATCACCACGCAATCCGAAGAGCATGTAGCTAGTGCCCCGCAGAATTTCAACGTGTACGCCACCACTCCTCGTAACATCCACATTAGCTGGCGCCCGCCCGAACTAACCAACGGGAATATCTTAAAATACACCATCTACTACATGGAGGTGAGATAAAAACGATTAATAGACTCGATGTGTGTGTGTGTAACAAAATGGTTGTTTTTAGACGAGTGCTTCGGTGGAACACAATGTAGACACCACAGATTTGAATTATGATATAAACGGTTTGATGCCTTACACTGAGTACAGTGTATGGGTGGTAGCGGTGAACGAAAACGGGGCCGGTGCTGCTACCGAGGAGAAGCTCGTGAGGACTTTTAGCGCTGCGCCGACTGAACCTCCGATCAACATCACCACGGAACCTTCTAGTACGGTAAGTGAGCTCCAGTTTATTTGTTAATTACAATAGTGGGCTCATTTAAGATAAAAAAAACACCGCTTATATCAATTTTTCTGATTTTTTTAATGGAATAACACCCTGTACGTCAAATTAAATGTCAACTGTCAACGTATCTCTATCTCTCTTAGTGACGGAAATGACAACTTTGACAGTTCGAAGTTTGTTCATCGTCGCTGTCATTAATGTAAGTTTTTTTTTTAAACGATTTTGATCATTTCTCGGTTTTCAGTTAATATAAACGACCAAAAAACATATATTTGTACGAATTATCGCATTTTTCTTTTATTCTCGTCCATTAAAAGCGACGATATTGTCTATTCTCTCACTTCGGTGTAGTTCCGTTTAAACCAAACGAACGTGCAACATCCGCCAACCGTCAACTGTCAAACTGTCAAACTTTTAAATTCGATTTACGAGAAAAATAACGAATTTAGCTAGCGAAAACCGGTCGATTTTCTTCTATTGCTACATTTCCATAACGTATCATCACCGGTTTCTAGAGTATAACGGTGCGCTGGGAACCCCCTCCGGCGGAGTCCCAAAACGGCGTGATACTCGGCTACAGGATCAAATGGCGTCGAATCGCTCGAGGTAAATCCTTCGCTCACACGACACAACCGAGCGAAAGACACTACGTCATCAACGATTTGGAAAAAGGAGTCTTGTACCAGATCAGATTGTGGGTGTTGAACATCAACGGAACGGGTCCCGGTTCGGAATGGGTGGAAGTCGAAACGTTCCAAAACGACGTCGACGAGAGCCAGGTGCCCGACAAACCGGCTTCTATAAGAGGTATTTGGAGAATATTAAACGATAGAAAAATAGTTTGTTTACACGTATCTTTTTAGTCCGTCCCACGTTCGATAAGCTTTACGTGATGTGGTCCCCGCCTAACAACCAGAAAACCCGCGTGCGTCACTACATCCTCGGCTGGGGCAAAGGCATACCCGATATGTACTCGCAGGAATTGGACGAGAGAAATAGAACTTACGTCATCGATAGATTGGGTACTAGTCGCTCGTCGAATTAGCTCCATAAGTACTACTAATTAATCGGTATATTCCAGAACCCAATTCGGAGTACGTGTTGAGTTTAAGAGCGAGCAACCAAGTGGGCGCTGGCGCTCCAATTTACACGCAAGTTCGTACACAAGACGAACCCCCGCCGGAACCCGCTGTCACTCTTTATCCTCCGATGGGACTCAAAGCGCAAGTTTTAAGTACCAGTTCGGTGGTGCTTTATTGGACCGATCAAACGCTAAAGCAATCACAAGTAAGCCTCACACCAATACTATTTCGAGAAGATAGAATAATGCTCTTAATGCTATGTTTTTTTTGCTAGTACGTTCGAGACAACCGATACTACATCGTCAAAATCACCGATGATAAAATGAAAAAACCGAGATTCATCAACGTGACCGATTTGAACGTGATGGTGGACGAGTTGAAGCCGAACACGCTGTACGAATTCTCCGTCAAACTCGTTAAAGGTACCGGTGTAGGTGTAAAACGAACGATTCGCGATGATAATTATCGATGATTTTAAAGGTCGCAAGGAGAGTTCGTGGAGCATGGTGGCCCACAACAGGACGTGGGAACTGCCGTTGAACGTGGCCCCTCGCGAGCTCGACGCGCATTTCAAGGACGAGGATTCGCAGCTGTTGGAGCTGTCCTGGCAACCGCCGAAGACTTACACGGGTCGCATAACGGGATATGTAATATTGTATACGGATAATAGGAGTCTCTCCGATCCCGAATGGAACGCTTCGGTGGTGAAAGGAGACGGTCATTCGAGTATTATTTACAACCTGAAGCCGTTTACGATGTATTATTTCAAAGTGCAGGCGAGGAATAGCAGGGGTTACGGACCGTTTTCCAACGTGATTACCTTCAGGACGGGACAACGTAAGTTTCCGAATGGATTCTAAACGCATCTCGTTAATTGCATTTTGTTATTTTTTTCTTTTTTGTATGCGTTTGTGCGTGTTTTTATTTATTTTTTTTTTGCATTAGGTGTTGCAACTTTCCGTTCAATTCCAAGTCAACAATTAGGTAATTTGTTTTTGTTTAATCGATTTAGCTTTGTACTAACCGATGTAGTTGAATTATTAATTTGATTTGAGCATTTTTTTTGAGATTGACAATACTTGTTAGAATTTAAAAATGCTTACAATACATTTGTATTATTCATGTTGTAGAATCCGACAGCGTCCTATCCAGCGAGACTCAGCTCTATCTAATAATAGGCGGATGCATATTGATCGTAGTAACAATAGCAGGCGTGATATTCTTCCTCTGTTGCCGAAGATCGAACGCCAACGCATCGCCCGATAGAGTGAAGAAGGTGAGCCAAAAAATAATCGCCTCGTTATACATTTAACCGATCGGTTATGCTTCTAGGGTTACCAGAAAGGTTCGCAGAGCATCAAACCGCCGGACCTGTGGATCCACCACGAGCAAATGGAATTGAAAGCCGTCGGCGACAAAAGGCATTCGCACAACGACGAGGCGAGCAGCAGCGGCGCCATGACGTTGCCCCGGAGCTCCGGCAGGAACGACTACGACCATCACGACGGCATCAATACGAATTCTTTGGACAAGCGCGGCTACGTTCCGAATTACGTCGGTGAGTTACGGTCCCTGTTGTGGCCTCTGGAGACACAAACGGGCGTCCATTGAAACGGACCGAGGCCTTCATCGAGGGACTCGGTTTCGTGGATGCATAAGCAGCTAGAGGCCTCACAGTGCTTGAACCTCGAGCTGTCTCGTTATAGAACGAAAGTGTATCGTTAGAGCGATTCTAATTCGTTGTAAATGCATTTTGCAGCGATCGCTACGCCGATCAATTCGACGACGTTGAGCCAATCGAGCAACGATTCGACGCCGTCGAGCCGACAGCCGTTCGTCAGAACTCAATACTCGATGCCGGCTAGAGCACAGATGCCTGTAGATCCGAATTTCCCTCACAATCAAGCCGCCGAGAACGTTTACATCACCCATCCGGTGGCCCACAATCCGCACGACGCCGGCACCCCCTTGAGTTCCGGTTACATAGGGTTAGTACGACGCGAATTGGCTAAAAGTTTTCGTTATTTGCACGTTTGTTATCGTTTGTAGGCATCCCCAGCCCGTACCTACGGGCGGTTACAACACCCCGACGGGGTCCGGTTGGGCCGTAGACGGGACTAAACGAATCCAAGCTCAAGGCCACCCGTTGAAGAGTTTTACCGTGCCAGCGCCGCCGCCTTTATCAGCGCCCGGTACGCCACAAGCCAAGCATATTGGTAAAATTCGGCTTTAGTGCTTCTAAAATTCGTCAAATTATCGCGTATAGTCGTTCCAATGTCGATTGGATACCTCGTTGTCGGGCTACTAATGCTACGAAACGGCTCTCTTTCGGGGAAAGACTATACAACAGATGATAGTAGTTCATAATATCATCTAAAGCTTCCATCTCTCGTTTATAAGCTCGAGCTACTAATGCTACAAAGCTAGCTCTCTTTCATCGAAATTTGTAATTGTAATCAGTATTAAAATGCTATTGGAAAGACTATACACCAAAGACATCTCGTTTACAAGCTTCCTGAGTTGCTGGTCATTATTTTTTTAAACTATTCACCGCTAAATAGAACGGTATTTTAACGCGTTTTCGTTTGTGCAGTAACAGTGAGACCGACGACTTCGCCGTACAAGAAGGCGCCCGCGACGGGCGGGAGCCCGCCGACGGGGACGGGCGTCGCGACGTCGCGGATCAGCGCGTCGAATCCGCCGCCTTACACGGTCGACGAGATCCAGCGATTGAAGCCGTCGCATTCGACGGAGGAACTGAACCAGGAGATGGCGAATTTGGAGGGGTTGATGTTGACTTTGAACGCCATCACGGCCAACGAGTTTGAATGTTGAACTGGTCGATTTCTGGGTGGGAATTTGATGGTGAATTTGATCGATTGGATGTTGTTGCTTTGTTGGATGTTTGTTCGTGTTAAATGGCGGAATGTCTATTCGAATGGCTTGTCGAAAGTATGAAAAGAAAAAGAACTGAATTTGGATTATTAATGTTATGATTAAATGTTTTATCGTCGTGCCATTCTGTATAGACGTTTTAATTAGGCGATAGTATTAATAATTAGACGCATCGATCGTAAATACGTCCATGAAACGGTCATAATGCCTAATACCGATAATGACTAAATTCGTTTATTACTTATCTATTAATCAAAATATCCTTTTTTTATGTATACACGTAATATTTTACAATTTTCTGAACTTTTTATATTTAAAAAGGCGAATTTTAAGACTGATTTTTTTAAAAAGACGTTTGTTACCAAATTTTTTATAGTTATGTTTAGATTTTTTTTTGAATTTGAATTCAAACTAATAAGTAAAATGTGTACAAAAATATACTTATGAATCTCTATATAGACCGACTAATCCTTATTGCATCATTTTTTAAAGTTGTTGAACTTCGTTTTGTTCAGTTGAACACTTGAACTACTCCTTTACGAAATGATATAACAAGGAATTTCTACTTAATACTGTATTCCTATATATTTATATTCAAAAGAGACATGCTCAATTTTTACAACTGTATTCACTTGTTGCAATAACAATTTTTCTAATATTTTTATCTAGCGTAAAAGAAACTAATAATCGTTTAGCCTAGATGATGTGATATTGTCGATTTTTTTAAATATTTTTTGAAAGAATAACGATTTTTTTGTCACTGTCACAGTACATTTTTCTTATCGAAAGTTTTAGGTAATGGTTGGATTTTTTTGAAAGGAAATCTAACGAATTTGTTACCTTTTTTTGTCCATTTTAGTCTTGCCTGGTGTCTTGGTGATATTTAGATGAAATATTTAATATTTAGCATAGATTTCCGTGATTTTTTATTATTAATTAATATAATGTATGATTAGATTTAATTATTTCAAAATACCAGTGCTATTCGTACGTAAATTTCATATTTAGATAATTACAAATATCTAATGGAAATCTAATTAAATATTGAATGTAATTATTTTTCATAGACATAATAGGATTGCTGTCGAATAGTTTTTTTTTTACTTTTAAATAGTTTACTTATTTATTATTTTATTACATTTAAATAGATTAATGGGGTTTTGTGAGTTCTTATAGTGCATACGTTCGAACGGCGATCCTTTTATAAACACAATTAATTTTAATGAATTAATTAATTAATGTTGGCACCTATATTGTTGTTCAATATTTAGAAAACGTATGTATATAAACTGTACATATTATTATTATAAAAGTATGTTAATATTTTGTATTATTGTATATCAACAGCTATTTTATCCACATAAAACAATATTTTTGCTACAGTAGTACAAAATAAGATGCTTTACAATGCTTAAACAAAATAACAGTATTTTCAAATTTTAATAACACCCTGTATATATGATAATGTTTTATGTGTTTTGTAGAATTTATTTTAGTCAATTTTCCATATTTATTTCGGATGTGCGTTATTTTTTTGTGATGTGTGAGATTATACTACATATATGGTTTTAGAATTATAATTCAAAACGGCAGACATAAGCCTTAACAAAACATTTAAATTGTCTAAGAATATTTTATGACTTTTTTCACTCTATGTATGTAATATTTTAAGTGTCGCTAAAATAAATAAACTTTATAAAGAAGTTGATTATTTTTAAATGAGCAAGTATATTTCTGATATGGTCTTTTACTATAAATACAGTTGATTACTGTTGTACTCTTATTATCCGAATACCACTAACGGTCAAGTCAACTTAAATGGTAGAAGACTGACATGACAGTTGACGTTGACATTCCAAAAAAACTGGCTATTTTTGTAGGTTAAGTTTATTTTCCAAAAACTTTTTAGTAAAAACCTTATTGTCTTTTACTTTTATAATCCAATTATGTCTGATGGTAAGTAATTGTGCTAGTGAGATTACAATGGTACGACACACACTTTCCATTTCAGAGGAGGTTATTAAAAGAAGGCTGATATTCGATGGAGACGGCACAGGTGACGATAGACGCTTCAATTTGATGCTGAAAATGATCACGAAATTCATAAACTCCGGCGAAGAAACCGCCGAAGAGTCCCGGCAGCGATACGATAAAATTTCAGCTCAATTGAGTATGATCGAGCACGCTCGAAAACGCTCCGAATTGGTGACGAAATCCAACGATGATCAATTGATAAAATACCAGAAGTTATTCAAAGACTACGAAGGAAAAATACGCGACATAAAGAGCGACATTGCGAAACAACGGACTGAATTAGAAAAAGCCAAGACAATCAAACAGAACAGGTTTGTTCCAACAAACGTTAATTTGAACGTGAAAACTAATCTTATAATTTCTAGAATCGAATATGATCTTCTCGCCAAGCAAATATCCGCCGAACCAGCCAGGACCGAAATGAACAAGAAATTGCTCTCGTTGCAGAAACACCTAAAAGACATCGGGGAAGAAAAGAGGCGTTTAATCCAGAAACTAGCCAAAAGGAAGAAACAATTCCACGTATTGTCCACATCCGCCAATCAACTGCAATTTTATTTAGACGAAGACAACGAATTCATTGATATAAATTCCTCCTTGGACGATGTAAATGTTAATAGTCCCGAACCAATGTCGGAGTAGATTTAGTTAAATAAGAGTATAGAAAATAAGATAATTATGAATTGTGTAAATGTAAAAGTCGGAAGTAAGTATTAAATTTACAACTTTTTGTTTTTTTTACAAGTTTCTTATTAATCGATTCAAACGAAATCCCAAGTGTTTGTATTTATTTATTGACCATTTAACAATACAGATATGTACATTAAAAGGTAATTCAATCGTAAAATAAATTAGTAGAACTTAGATATATGAAAGACTCTATATTATGTAAATATACATATGCCCATATAAGAAAATATATACAAGCATACATACACGCTACCACATGGCGTTTAAGCAAAAATCCGAAAAACCTCCACTGGCGCACTTGCTATTGCTGAGAAAGGCATGTTCAAACGGACTCTCGTTCAATTCGAAAAGAAATATGAGCGAAATCGAGGCGGCTTTGGACGTGTCACGTGTCAAGTACAGCAAACGAACCTTCGGAGTTGCCAACCGCAGTCGTGTCACTGTTACCAACCTTTTTTTAGTGTTTTTTTGTGCGTTACCTCAGTTACTACAGTGAAATAAAAATTATAGGTACGCAAGAATACAAGATAGTATGAAGAAATTGGCACTATTCAGGAAGAAATAAATAATATATTTTAACGAATGCTTGCATAACAAACTGCCCACGTTCGGCTCATATTTCCCTTCTAATTGGAGAGACTTTAGGTTAATTATTACCGAACCCTTTGTATATGAACGCTACACGATTTTAGTGTGCTCGTTACAATAAAATATGGCAAAAATGTTTTAATACAGCGATGGAATACAGATTGTTCAAAAAGTAAGACGTTTGATTAGAGACTTTATGTTGCTAAATTAATCGTAAATATTTATCATTTCTGGTAGTAAATGTGAGAAATAGTCTCTATGTGAATCGCATTCAACTTTGTTCAACCATCGGGGGGTCTATAGTGGAGAAACATTAGAAAAAAATGCCTTTGAATCAGTCTAAAAGATATTTCAGTCTTTAGGTTTCTTAAAAAATAGCATCTTTAGACGAAATTCAAATAAAAACGGGTTAAAATTAAAACTAATACCGTTAAACGTTGTCGAATGCTTCGAAAAAGCTGTTAAATTATAATCGCTTACTTTAAGAGCACTCTGTATATGTAAAAATGGATTAGAAAAGCTTATTTTGACTACACACAAAAATATCAGGAATTCAACGAGTAAAAGCTACCAAATAAGCTTCCTTATGTTCGCAGGAATTTCAAAACGACTACATTTTAATTTCATTCCTAACGAAAATAATGAAAACCAACTCGTTATTAAGAAATTCTACATAATAAATCAACAAAATGAACACTTAAAGCTCTAATTTGTATTTTTACATGCACATTTAGAAGCCATTTTAAATAACAATCGGGAATGAAATTAATGCGGATCAATTTGTTCAACAAAAATACATCGCGGTAGTCGAATGATTCGTAATAAATGTTCAAAAATACACACATAGATTATATTTCTGAAAGTTTCAAACAGGGACTAAGAAATAGAAGTGTAAAAATACAATGAATTCGTCCACGACAAGCTTACGAGTTATTTAGAAAAAACGTTTTTCATTTAGGTATATTTTGGCAATTTTATCGTCTACAAATCTCGAAAATTGCACGAAAAAATTTACTCTTACTAAATAACCAACCATCAATTTTCGAAAACCGCCAAATGCGAAATAAACAAACAACTTTAGACAACAAACCTTAATATAAAACCAACAAATTATTGCCCCTAATGTGTAGATAAACGAAAAAATTCGCTACATATGCACATTAAAAAACGTTACAAAAATCTTAACGTAACACCGGAAAAACAAGGCGATTTTTTCTGCAAACGGACAAAATTATTCAATAATAAGTCCTGTAAGTATGAAATTAACAAGTTTTTGTGATTATATATGCTTTTACACCGCGAATGGAGAGGAGAATCAGTTTACAGTTGTTGAAAATATTCAAAACTTTAGGAAATATAGCCCTTTAAAATTTTGAAAACTAATTGTGGCCTTAATATAAATAAAGCTAAAATAAATCTCATCACTTCTAATACGATAAGCATAAATCAAACACTAAAATACCCATTAATTATAAATATAAAAGCGTATATAATCTTATTAGCAAACAACCTACTAAATTAATTTTGTTGCTCTAGACACTAGACACTTTTCCCGTTTGTTTCCTACGAAAAATATTAACCCAGGATATTTCACGAGTCACAGAAAAAATCTAATAAAGCACAGATAAGCAAACAACAGAATATTAGTATCATCGATTTCGTAAATTTTCTTTCTCTAATCCAGAAAGGCGGATAATACAATGCAAATTTTAAATTGTAGATATCTAAAAAAAACGCGGGAGAAATTCAAAATTCCGCTCGATGATTGTGTACGAAATAAAAAAAAGTTAGTCGATTTTGAATTTCTCCGAACATTTATTCTCACCGTACTAAGCACACGTAAAAATAGTAGTACCCTACATCCGCCTAATATTAATTTTAGTCATTATTGCAAAAGAACCCTCGTTCAGCTTCCATCGAACACGCTGTACATGTACAAGATATAAAAAAATGTGCATTGTTCTTCAATAATCGATTTTACTTCTACGCGGTTTTTTTTTGTCACAATAATTAGATCTATTAGATTTACCGGGTGTCCGATGATTTTGCACTCGCGTTGATTATTTTTTGAACTTGCCCTTAAGTTCACAATATTGATAAAATTCGTACGTGTTTTTGAGATCAATTGAATCAATATTTTGCGAACGATTATAGGCAGGTAGCAGCTGCCTAAATATCCGAAAATAACATTTCTAAATAGATTTGTATTGTGTTCTAGAGAAATTGTTTCCCCTTTTGAATTAAAAAAAACTAAATACGATGCTTTGTTAGGAAAACAATTCGTCTATTTGTAGGACGGAGAGAAGATTTTTTTGCACACATTTAGGTGTATTAAATAGAGATCAGGTGATGGTGGAATCGAGAAAAATCATCAGACACCTTAAAAATATTGCTGCATCCTTAAAAATAACAATTACTTATAATATTAATATTATTAATCGAAAATAAAATGACATTTATTCTATTTATTACTGGCAACTAATGGCACCTGACACAAAAATTACTTTTAAAGCGTTGCAATTGGTGATATCTTCAAAATATATATGTATATATATAGAAGTGGTAATTTGTGTGAAAAAGGCAAAAATAACTATTCACTATTGGTGAAGTAGTCCGAAGCGTCGCCCCGACATATCGGGCAGGTTCTATTTGACTGAAAAAATACAAAAAAAAATTACAATTACAATTATTTCACCACAAATCCTTAAACCGCGAATACACGCTTCTAGTAGCTAAAGCAAATCACTAAATCTAGTTACTTGTATGGTGTGAACAACTCCTGCAAGTACCTAATTTAATAAACTACTAGTTTGCACCATACAAGTAACTAAATATAGTTACTTGAAGCAGTAACTCGCTTTAGCTACTTGATACGTGTATTCTCGCCTTTAAACCAAGCTCCTATATCAAGTGTGGACAACTTGATTTAGTAACTCGTGCAAGTAACCAAATTCAGTTACTCGCTTTCTAGTTAATAAGATACAGTCATGCGACCGACAATCGACTTACTCTCAACCATTTATCGATACATTTGGCGTGGAATTCGTGCGAACACGGCAACACCCTGAGCACCTGACGAGCCTCGAAATCGCACATGCAAACGACGCACGACGTCTGATCGCCCTCGTGCGTCTCCTCGTCGAACTTGTAGCTCACCAGCTGTTCGATCTCCAATTTGCTCAGACCGCGCGGTATCACCTCGCCCAATTGCTCGGCCAGATTCAACAGCGCCTCGTAGTTCTCCGTTTCGGTCGAATCGGAGCTGCTCTGGCTGAACGGCGACATCGGCGAATTCGAAAACATCGTACTAACAAAAACAGGCACACATTTAACTCATTCGTTTCAACGATCGAATAGCGATAGTAGTCTTACAAGAAATGCAACAGGAATCCGGCAGGGGCCGCTATCAGCGGCGGGCTGTGGTGCCAGCGCGTACGAGGCGGCGGCAGGCGGGCGTTGCGGTGTTGCCGCGACCGCGCCGCGTGCAACAAATCCAACGGACCGGCGCGAGTCTCCGTCGACAGGAAGAGCGAGGCCGGCGAGGACATCTGGATGGGGGGCACGTGCAACGACGAGGCGCCGTGCACGGCCGAATGGCCGTGAGCGTGGTGATGGTGATGATGGTGATGGTCGTTGAGCAAATCCAACTCGAACGCATCGGGTCGCTGGAAAACGTTTCGAATAAAGCTCGTTAGTTACTCGTTTCGAGGGGGAGTTGGTGATTGATGTGGGATACTACCTGTTGGGGGATGCGCTGGTGGGCGTAGTGCTGGGCGGGCATCGGGACGGCGGCGTTGGCGGGCGGCGGCGGGCCGAACGCGGCGAACGTCTGATGGGGTATGCAGCCGGGCGGGAACTGTTGCGGCACCAGCGGCGGCACGGCGTGCGCGTAGACGTTGTGCAAATGGCAGTTGTGCATGTGGGGCGGCGCGCTCGGCGGCACCGTGCATATCGAGACGTGCGGCGACGTCGAGTAGCTCCACACCGCCTCGCGGTTCACCGGAATGGTCACCGGTACCTGCGATCGAATTGCCAAATTGATTAAAAGGACGTTCGTTAATTTCCAAGCAGTTCAACAGTTTCCCTAGTGTCAATGGTAATTCTACCATTTAGTAGAGTAGCGTAGTTGAAAGTCGAAAGCTGTCATGTTGTCTTGCATTTAGTCTCAACATTCGCAATATTTAGGGGCGCTTTGTAGTTGACACTTTGACAGGTTACAATTTGGAGGAACTAAGGACTACAATTTGTTGTTTTTGCGCGATTTTCCTGTACGAGTAGGTTTTGTGCTTTTCGTTCGTTCTAGATAGTCTTTCGTGCGGTTTATGTACATTCATCGACAGTTTCTCTCGCGATTTTCGGCGTTTTTTCGATCAATTTCGGGAGGGAACGTGGACGATGTAGAGTCTATAGATTATACCTGCATGGGTTGGTGCGACGTGGACGGCGGATGTTGCCTGGGCGAGCGTCGCGGCGGCGACGGCGGTTGCACGTTCAAATCGATGTGATGGCCGGAGCGCGACAAACGCCTGCGTTTGCACGACGGACTCTCGCTCTTTATGTAATCGTCGCTCGATTGCCGGTAGAACGGCGGCGAATGTTGTTGGAAATGCACCGGGCTAACGCGAACGTCTAACCAAAAAAAAAATGCATTATAATATACAGAATGTCGCAAATTAAAAGCTCCGTACCGATTCCGTGCCGCCTGCGGCCGTGCGAGAAGTCCATCATGGCGCGCTGGTGCATCTGCATGCCGTCAGAGGGCGGCTGGTTCATGTTCATCATGCCGTTGCCGTTCTCGCAGATGTTGATGTGCAATGGCGGCGATATGTGGCGGCGGTCGATCAGGCTCGGCATGTGCCTGCGTTCGGCGTTGTTCGCTAGAGAACTGCCGCCGCCTCCGCCACCTCCGCCGCCTCCGTGGTAGTTCTGGGCGCCGCCGGTGGCGCCGTGGCCGAGCGACATTGGTACCACGCGCACCGCCGGATGCTGGTGTTGAATGCCTTTAGTGGAAATTAAATAGATTAATAGTATATTGGATACTGACATGGTAAAAGGCCGGAATTCGACGAGTGGAATTCGGATCAGCGCAAACGAACGAAAAATGACAGAACGATACGTCAACTTGGATAATTTTCAAAATGGCGGACGATTTTCGATTTTAAATCGCGATTGCGAGTCGAAACGAATGTAGCTGGGAAAATGATGGTCGTATTCGTAATCAGCGGATCCGTTTCCATCTTCCTATACACCTACATGGCCCCAAAATAATTCAAAAAAAGAATAAATCTAGCCAACGGTGGGATATCGCTTCGAGTGTTTAATGAAATTACAACGCAATTACCTGCATCTTAATTAATGGAATTTATTTAAAAAGATAATAGCGCTTCAATTCGAGATACTGAAAATCATGATTGAAGGTTGGCCGGTCGACTAGCAGAATCGAATTTTCAAGGTCGCAATATGTTTGAAACGAAAAAATATAAAAACAAAGAGCCTCGAAATTCTAAATAATCATTAGGAATTCGTTAATAAAATCGCGCTTTGTGCGCGTAACGACCTCGCGTCAATGTCGCTTACCCGAGGCTTCGTTGCCGTAGTGATTGTGGTTGTTGCGGGCCCCCGGACTGAGCTGCGGGTTCTTCGGGTAACTGTGCAGGTGATTGGGCTCCTTGGGGCTGCCGTTCGGAGCGACGAGGCATTCGCTGCGAATGATAAACAACGAGCAACGTTAGAACTAAAACGATACGTGAATCACTTCAAGGACTTACCGACGGGAGAAATTTGTTTCGTACTCTCTATTGTAGTCTTTGGGGTATCTGCTGGGCCATTTTTGGTGGTTGTGGGGATGGTTGATCGGGTGATTGGAGCGATTCGGGTGGTTGTTGTTGTGCCTGTTGAAATTTGAGGAGTTTCTACGATGTGGGTTGTGGTTATTGGAATTCATTATGGTACCTGAAAACAAATAGAGTCTAATAATAACTACAAAGCCACGAACCACGCGAACGGACTTACGATTGTTCCACGCCAATATTGCTTTTTATAATGACGAACTACGAATGTAATGAACGAAATCTATCACCATTCACAATAATCACTAATTATTGAGCAAGAGGGGAAACAGTCATTTCACTATTGTGTATCATGCTATTGATCCATAGCCATTTCATAAGTTTTGCGAAGCTATACGAGCCGAACTTATCGATATTATTGCTAGAATATACTAAAAACGAGCTAAACTCTAAATATAACACTAAATTTTGATTCCTAAAACCAAAAATCGGGAGACGTAGGACACCACTATTTTTTGTTTTATTTATCTTGTGCTTAACTTTCCAGTGTTGCCAATAATGCAACTACTAATTGTCATTTTTTACACCTGCCACACCCGCCAAATTTGAATTTCATCAACAGTATACACTACCGATTGTTGAAAATACAGGATAAAAAACTGTTATAGACTCAATTATTTAGATTTACTGCTTTTTTAATGCGTATCTACACTCGAATTGTCTGATAATTGGTGTATGATTTCAGTTCACAGAGAAAATACGAAAACGTATTTACCAACTTCCTGCGTACAGCGCCCTCTCGTCGCAACCGCCGCAAACAACATCTTGTATGTACTTTTCTATGGATTGGAGGAGTTTAATAAAACACATAAATGCATATTTAATTAATTAATCTTACTTCATTATGACAATTTAATACGTTTTTAGAATACTATTTACTTACTATACTAACATTCGATTGTTTTATAAGTAAAAGTTGTTGAAATGTATAAGGTGTTGCCTAACTTAAGGATTATATTGTAAATCGATTTTTTTATGACCACGGCCGTATATTTCTAAGGTCTGGAAACAGGTTTGCTTATGCACCAACTTATCTCAGCCAATCAGCGTCGCGCTACAAATAAATCGCGTTGTGTGAAACGACAGTTCGAGCTGTCAAAACTTCAAAAATTATTTTTTGACATTTCGAGAAGAAAATGGAGAAATACATTTACCGAAGATACGTGAGGCGTGATGTTAACAACAAAATCATCGTTCATTTAAGTATATTTTTATATTTCGTATCTATTTTTAGTTTGAATAAAACCTTTCTAAGTGCTTAATAAAATTCGTACGCAAAAAACCGTGGTCCTTTACATCGCCTCCAAGCGGACGTTTTAGGAACCCGGTTTTATCCTAAAAAAATTTTTTCTACCTATATTTCCAGACCTTTAGAAACATACGAACCGCGCGATACGGCAACAACGCATCAGTATATCAACCGAGCGTCGTAAAATTCCCCTAATCAAACGCCCGAATTAACATCGACCCTAGGGACATTTCGAACTGCGTGGAAATCACTAAAACCGACGTCATCGCCATTTTAAAACGCACACATACGGCTTCAATTACCGATTTCTAGTCAACGAATCGTTCGCATACTGACATACCGTTCCAAAATAACGATTACCGGCCGGTCCCCAGCTCTATGCAGGTCTTTCTCCCGCCCGTTGAGCATTCGACATCGGCGATCGGGAGGCTTCTCTCCGTGCCCCGTGCCTCGAACTTCCAGTCTCGCTCCGACGTCGCGCGCGAACGGCCGGCCCCGTTTCCGCTGAAAACCGATCGAAACACAAACAAAAAAAGAAAAAAACCCGAGAAAAGAGAGGCGCGAGCGCGCCGGGAAGGGCGCCCTTAAAAATAGTAGCACGAGGGAATTACCGATGTGGTGAGTACCGGGCCTGCATTTCCTGCTCTTCGGGCGTATTAATAGACGCCGTGACGGCGGCTACCTGTGTCGGAGTGGATGGAATATATGGAATGGAAAGTGGAAGGAGTTATCGAGAGGAAAATAATCGTCGAGTGTCCAACGCGCTTCCGCCGTTGCATCACTTAAATAGAATAATTAACGCTATTATTAACGGCGAAGTAGGTGCGTTTGAAACTTAACTTTTAACTGCACGAAACGTGTGTAAATAAGCGTTTTATATTAATAACAATCGGTTGGTTTGAAGCTGGAATAACCCTGTTTTTTTTTTCTTCGTCTTTCGTCGAGTCGACCCACTCAATTACACAGCCTTTTTTTTATGTAGAGAAACGGTGAAGTTTATGAACGAGGAAACTTCGGGGCAAAAGAAGCCGTCCCTTTATCCTGCCATTAATTAAATTCAGGTCCGATTTGAACGCGCAACTCGGTTATAAAAAGATTAAATGTTGCAATTATGTTAATCACGTTAATTACGAAACTCTCTGATTAATGAATCGCGGGCTTAGGGCAAGATATAGCGAAAGCGAGTTGAATATTTCGCTAACTAAAGGGTCGGTTCATAAAGAAGTTTCCTAGTACTTAGCAGATAAATATGATTATATTTAAATGAATAAAATCCGGAACTATGCAATGGAAGTTTCAAAACATCCTACGAACATTTATAGTTACTATAAAATGCGAAAAAATCTGCAATATTCGGCCGATTTTTCGAAATTGTATTATTAGTATGCAGATTACAAAAATCTACAGAATTTTTGTCGATTCTAATAAGCAAATCCTAACAATTTGTCTCGCCTAATTAGTCAACTAGGTTCCTCCCGATAAATCTAATGAATAATTTCTTTATATGTGAGGTCAATAATTTATTGTAATCTACAATTTTCAACACTTCAATGATCTCCTTGCATCTTCGCATTTCCTATATTATAGAGGAAATTGGAATTAATCTCGCATCGCGATTATTTCGATTATTCGGTGGTACAATATTTTATTAATAAACAGTCACGGTTAATGGAATAGTTCATAGGAAATTAGCCGTACCCCGATTAGAGTTCAACGATCGTTTCATCATTTACCTGGATTCGATTCGCTACAATTATTATAATCGCTTGCGAAACCGAATTTCCTCTATCGAATCGCCGCCCCCCCAGAAAACCCAGAAAATAGGTGCAATTTATCCCGCACCGGGTGTTTAGTTATCTTAATCGAAGCACCGTCCATATGGATTTACTCGAGATAGGCGCTTATAAAAAAGATGTCTTGGGTTATGGATTTTATTGACAAATTCCGGTTCGATACAATCGAAAATTCAATCAAACATCTCTTCGAGCCGTTAAATTGGATTATTTTCGTACGCCAATGCTGGTAAATAGACCGGATCGCGTATTTAGTATTACATCAGGAGTTCGCTTTGAAAGCGCCGCTGGTGGTTCCCCCCCAAAAGAGATATTATATATCTTTCGTCGAAGACGGGCGACATCAATGGGCGAGTGCCACCTGAAATTATATATTTATCCGCTGAAATTTTACGAGCGCTTCTACTAAAATAATTCGAAATTTCGTTTAAATTATGAGCATTATTAACGCGAGCGTTTGCGTTGCAATTTTCAATCTAAAGAAGAGTCTTTTGTTGGGGTTGGGATGCATGAAAATAATAAAAAAAATACAACAGAAATTAAAGTACAAAGTAGTATGTTTTGTGGTTGTTTAGAACACATTAAAACGTTAGACTGGGGAGGAAATGAGCAACTAAAAGAATAAATTGGAAAAGTTTGTTGTACAAGCTTTAATGTACTCGCAGGAACGTAGTAAATCGTAACCGTAAGTCACTATATTCGGAATGTTTCCGGTTGTCGCTCGCAGGAATAGCTTTGCGTTTCATCACCTGTTATAATAAATTTGTATTCGAGGTTTTATCAGTACCGTAACGCGGAAATATAAAAAAAAAACACTTTATGCTACGATATCATTTTTTGCGAATTGTAATACAGCCGCTTCGTTCTCCCGATTTGAGTCCATCAGATGGCTCATTAAATCCTCCAATTTCTTGCGATTTTTTCGCAACGCTTGTTCCCCTATATTACAACACTCGACTTTCCCATTATATTCTGCGATACCTCGAAATCGCCCGACTTTTACCTGCTTATTTCAACGATATTTGTTTCGTAGATTACCGCAAGAGAACTGACTATAAAACTGACTCTTTATTTATCGTTCGAGAAACTCTCGAGCCCCGAAGAGAAACCGAATTCGTATATACATACATTCAAACGAATTACCCGGCGAGTTTATCGAGCCGCTTTTACCTGTTCGAAATGCATACAAACAACATTGCGAATGCAGAAATGCAGAAATGCAGAAATGCATCTCGTCTAATTAAGTTTACCAGTTTTACCGGCATATAGTGTGCTCGCTTTAATAAGTTACTGACGTCACGAGATTATAATTTTTTTTAAGATTAAGCCGATTCGAGATGGCTTTGAGAAGGTAAAAGAAAATCGCAAATTCGCCCGGAGAAAATCTGGTCTCATTCGATTACGACCGGGGAATTAAAATGGCCGTTTGGCAACTTCGTAAAAGTCGAATCGAGTTAATCGCAACTTTTCCAACGTCTAAAAGTATCATCTTCGTCTAATAAAACGTTAGTCGATTGATGGAGTTTAATCTAATTATTTGAAAAATCTAATTACTCGTTAATTAATCATCGGTGTTACGCGATATCCGAAGCATCCAAGAGATTTTATCGATTTCCGCGTGTTTTCGCATTTCATTCGCGACTCTTCGCTTAATCAAAAAAAAAAAGCTCTCGAGGATAATAAAACGCGCGGGAATATTCCAACTTCTTGTTCTCGAGTTAATTCCAATCCATGTGATAGTACAGGTCGCGAGAAATAGCATCTTCAACGTTGATTCTACGCTGGCAAAGAGCTATGAAGAAAGAGTCGATAGAGCTGTTTGCACATGCTCAAATATCGCACTATAATCGTGCAATTACTAAACCAGGAATGAGCTGCACGTGTCCCGTCCCATTACGAGGAGTTTAACACCTCTTTATAGTGAGGAACAAATCCGAGTTAATTAAATTTCTCGTCTAATAGATCAAACAGTATCGGATTAACGGCGAGATTGAGTCAACTTTGGACAGGCCCGGAGCATTCGAAGGCTCCTCCGGGCGCTCTCGCCGAAACAATTATCGTTTCCATTCCGGGATTTTTCTCGCAAAGCGAACCCGTTTTCGTACTTTTTATCGGAAAGTTTGCGAAAATCTCGAAATATTTCGCTGCGATATTTCCTTCGAAAAGGGCTAGTAAAACCGCGGGGGAAACGTTGACAGCCCTGTTAGTTACCAGATCGGATATTTATTTACCTACCCCGAAATCGGGCGATCGTGTAAGAATTTACGCTGGGAAAAAAAACTAGAAATTAACGACCGGAATCGCTGCGGTATAGTCTTCACTAGCGATTAGGCTTAATAAATCAATGCTGTGGTGTGAGATGGCGGGAAACCACTCAAGGGACGAACGTGGAAAGACAGTAGATATAAATTTCACGGTTTGCGTTACCCGAGAAGCGTGAATCATAAAATCGCTCGGTATGTACGACGGGTTTCGGGTTTCCCCTATTTTTTTATTCGACATTAAATACATTCTAGTGTGTGGAAAAACGCGTTTAAACAGGTTTTTACCTTCAGAATTTTACATCTGGTAATAACAGTGTAAGTATATACGGTTGGTTTTCGATTTTCACGCCGGGGAGTCGGGAAAGATTGTTGAAAGTTTTTCCCCGCTAATTGGATTGCTTGGTATTTGCCGCGAGGGTTCAACGATAGGTCGAATTGGCGAGTGTAATGAGAAAGTTAGGGATTAGAATATTGAGTAGCCCCGGACGGGATGTGGATAAGATAAATTGAAATTTCCCATCGTATAGTTAGTTTATAAATATGCTAATCCGGCGAATAACTTTCCTCGTATATACGTGTGTATATAACTCAATTTTCTGGCTCGTTTTTTTTGGAGAATTCCAATCATTTCGTACGAAGAAAAGCGCTTGTTCGTTCGATGGATTATCGCGCGATATTTGGTATTTAAATGAAGCCGATTTGTGGACACATTCGCGCCTTTTCGAGCCCACTCGCTTTAATTAAAAACGCCGAAGTGATCCTCAATTAAAATGTGAGAAGCGACGCGTTTCTAAAGAAAACTAATTCCTTATGTTCCTTCCTCTTCTTCTATTTCCTTCGGTACACATCGTTACAAATCGAGCTCGTTTAACGGGGCAAATATTGCCCGACATATTTCCGTTTAGCGAACCTTTTTTTATTCGGGTTTTTCAAGGAAAATTCGCCTTTATTTGCCTACATTTGAGGCAAATTTTTTTTGTTCAACATCAAACTACTATAATCTTTCGCGTGTCGCTGACTGACTGATTGGCGGCGTATTTTCTTCATGAAGCTCATGGAAACAGCGGTATTTCTTTCAACTAGAATTCCTGGCGCTTTTCGAATAGCGCAGGAGATGTTTTATAGCGCGTCAAGTATATCTGCAGGAAAAGCGATGATAAATGCTTCAGTGATGGTTCGTTCCCCGCGAATTCCGGTCCATAAATCAAAAACCTTGTCGGATTGGACTCCTTCAAGTTCCCGGGAATATTTCATTTTTTTTTTCCCAAAAAATTAACCGAAGCGCCGTGGAGCTACCAGGAGCGCTCAAAGGACCAATTAGAGTCTTTGTACTCGCCTCGAAATTCAATTACCAAAGCGCGAAATAATTAGGTACGGACCGAGAGGAATAGCCGGAGCTCCCGTCTTCCGCTACGCTCATCGATCCGTAGAAACTGTTAATTTAATAACGCGGACGTATAAAAAGGATTTAAGGGCGCTATGCCGGGCGTGTAACGGGGGCGCAAAGTGGCCGGGTCCAGATATAATTGCGACCGTATATACAAACGGCTTAAATTTCAATTTTGATGAGCTCCATTCGAAATCCCGGTTGATCCCTTCGTGAAATAATCAGATTTTCCGTTACCAGAGGCGCGTCGATTTCCGACGCTTTAATTTTACAGAGGGCGATCGCAGTCGCCTAATTGATTGCAATTCGCCCATACGTCAATAGCTCGAATTATCCGACTAAACGACGAAAATCTACCGGTATAACGACGTGAAGTTGTCGCTATGGCCGCTTAACCCTCATCGGCAAAGGCCAGCAAAATGATCCTGTTGATTTGATACTAACGCAAATTACAATTTCTTCTTGATATAAATACTAATAATACCTACAAACGATCATTTTTAATGCTAATTAACCGTTTACAGAGTCTCTTTAACATAAACAATGTTTATAGTTGACAATGTAAACTGTCAATTGAAAGATTTTCCTTAGTTACTCCATAACAACAATGTAAAACTGTCAAATAAAAAACTATTAAAAAAAGAGCTCTGGATAATCTAGTGTTCTGATAGTAAATGTTCTGTTCGTTTCGCAGATGGTCGAATGGTTGTGTTAAAGCGATTACATCTAGGCGATGTTACAATCTGATCCGTTAGAGCAGCAGGTCGGCATCGTCTCGAAAAGCGACGGATCAGAAGAGGCTCAGCAGCAGCAGCTCGTCCAAAATGCCTACGACAGCACGCTCAATCACGTGCTCGACTACGCGCCTGCGCCCGGATGGACGCTGCACGTCACCAAAGAGGGACGACTCTACTATTGCAAGTAAGAAAATAAAGTTCGTAAAGCTATTAATTCAAATTTATCACTGAAATTGAGTTCAAGTTTCAAGAAAATCAGTTTTATGTTCCATGTTTTATGTTCCATGAAAAAATTGACGTATTTGACATGTAAATGTCAAAAGAATTGCAGTCGCCTACCTTAGATAATTAAAATTTCCAGGCGAGCCGTCTTTTGCATTTTATAATTTATATCTTTTTATATCTGGTAGAAAATAAAGTTCATAAAGCTATTTTTTCAAATTTATCACCGAAATTGAGTTCAAGTTTCAAGAAAATCAGTTTTATGTTCCATGTTTCACGTTCCATGAAAAAAATTGACATTTGACATGTTACTGTCAAAAGAATTGACGTCGCCTACCTTAGATAATTAAAATTTCCAGGCGAGCCGTCTTTTGCATTTCATTTTTAAATGGGATATTTCGCTTTGAAGAATCCTATAAAAAAAAAAAAAATCCCGTCTCATTATAAGCGCCCCGTCGAACCGAGAGGGCGGTTTTATTTTTAAACGCAACGACGACGTCTCCTCGAAACTGCTCCGCAAAAGAAGCGACCCCCGTCGAAAGTTTCGCGATTTTTCGCATTAAGAAATTAATTCGGCCGGTCGAAAGAGAATAAAAAAAAAAAAGGGGTTCGATTCGTGCGGGTTAATTTAGCGCGAAACGAACTAATAGACGATTTTATTTAGGGTAATTACCGGCGGTTTGGGCACCAAGCGAGGGTCTCGTATATGTATCGTTTAAGTGCAAGGTAAGCCGCTACAAGGCTTCCGCTCGAATTGCTTTTAATTGATTAATCAACTACTCGCATCTGCGGCGTTATAATTATCCTTATATATTTTCTGGAAAACCGTGTCAATGTGACGAACGAGCAAGGATAAATCAATCCTTTCTAACGCGACTTTATTGCTACTAATTAATGTGTTTTTATTAACTCTTGAGCTGATTGCGTAAAAGTTTGCAAATTAACAACGTTTCCGATTTTTTTCTTCAGCCGGTTATTCATTAACCCAAGATGTACAATAAAAAGTTACTCCCGACTTTTATTACCCGGCGATTTTTCCGATTTTTCCGAACGACGAAAACGGCTTTTCCGCTCCCGTAATGGCCGCATTTCGAGACGTTTCCTCGCATTCTCGCCCGAGCCATTTTCCACCCATTTCTCATCCGAAATTATTTAATTACGAATCGTCGAATAAAATGTTGACGAAACGAAACGTCCAAACAACGTTTATTTTTACCTGTATAATAATAAACGTTCGAAAATAGTGAGATTTCGGGGAGTCCCGAAGGATAAATTGTATACAAAGTGTACTCGTAATTAGATGCAGAGTATATAAAAATTCTTCTAGTATACCTTCTACAGTTCGTTAACTATAGGATTAGCACCTGTTAACAAACACCCGTATAGTAAGTGTATTTAATACATTACATGAAATTCGTTGGATTTGGTCCGATCGAGCGTTAACCGAATAATTTATTACCGTTAATTCCATATACGCTTTAAGAGCGTACTCGATTCAAATCGAACAGTACCAGTTCATAACAGTTCATACACAAAATCCTGCTCGAAGAATTAAACATTTAAACGACATTTAAAACGTCCAACTCATCGAGAATATCGCATGTTCGTCGCATAATAAGAAGGAATAAACCGTAATTAAATTTTTGCTCGGGACGTGACCGAAGCCCACGAATGTTTTTCTTCTTTCTTCTTCTTTTCTTCAACGGGGAATATTTCGGCGTATTTTCGCGTCGAAATTTCGCGATGAAGTAGTCGTTAAACTTAATAACGTTACGTTTCGCTTCGATTTCGATTTCGATTCTCTCACGTACATTTCCATCGACATTCGAACTTTCCTTCGCCTCGGTTTCCATATCCATTCAGCGCCGCAGGTATTTCCGAAATCTATCGGAGCTTCGAAATTTCTATCGATAGTTTCTCGTTGCTCGGCGCGATTTAATTTCCACGTTACTTTTACATCAGACAAATTTTTTATCCTTTATTTAGTCTCCAGCAATTTCTGTCGAGCTATAGCTACATCGCGGGGAATTTTGTTAGCTGTTTCGTGGGGATTCTCGGGGTGGAATAGAGTCGCATTCTCGGGGCTCGATCAAATTTTAAGGGTTGTTATGCACGTGCCTAAGGTTGTTTTAGTGGATTTGCGCGCGTAAATAGGACCACGATGTCCTTAAAAGCCGTCCTCGAGAAGGAACTCGAAGTTTCTTCGAATTTTCGGGATGTATCTCGAGCTTTGATAGGGCTAATGAAACCGTTAAGGATTAGAGAATCTCGGCGCGTTTACACCCGCTTGGGAAAGGGAATTTTCGTTTTTCTCGTAAAGTTTAAAAAAAATCCAGCTCGATTTTCAATCAAATTTTTCTATTTACTTATTATAACTCACACAATCCGATTTCCAATCGAACAAAAGCCTGTTTTAATTCGAATCTATTCCGGGCAAAAACAATTAAACTAAACTAAAAAAAAATATATATAAAATTGGCAAACAAAATCGCCAGCATCGCCTTGTTTCGAAATGGGTCATTCAGAGAGATCCGCCGAAGACCCGATAAATCAATAATGGGCAGGATTAAAATACACATGGACATCCCGTCGAGCAGCAAGTGGCTGTGAATAAACCAGGGACGCAGATAGACGAGAGTCCTTGAACTTGCAACAGACACGGGGCTCGATAAAATATTCGAAAATTTACCCAACAAATAGTTTAAGTTCGTTTTCTTGAAGATATTTCGACAGTTTAATGTCGAATTGAACCACTGGGGATACCTGGAAGGATTCTTCTTTGTAACTCAGAATGCTATGAAGAACTGAAGACAGATCCTTCGGAATAACCTTTTCCTCTTTCGCCTGGAGTGTTCTAAATGGTTCTGAACAGTTCTAAATGATTCTGGAGCGTTCTAAATGATTCTGGAGCGTTCTAAACAGTTCTAAATGATTCTGGAGCATTCTAAACAGTTCTAAATGATTCTGGAGCATTCTAAACAGTTCTAAATGATTCTGGAGCATTCTAAACAGTTCTAAATGATTCTGGAGCATTCTAAACAGTTCTAAATGATTCTGGAGCATTCAATACAGTTCTAAATGATTCTGGAGCATTCTAAACAGTTCTAAATGATTCTGGAGCATTCTAAACAGTTCTAAATGATTCTGGAGCATTCTAAACAGTTCGTAATGATCCTGGAATGTTCCAAATTATTCTAGACCAGTTATTTCTATTCCCTCCATCTTTCCCAAACGAAGCAACATTTTCCTCACATCTCCCGGACGCTCCGGGCTCGCGTTATACACCGTTCGGAGCGGCACCTGTTTGAGCCGCCTCCGACGCCGCGACGCCGCTAACGTCCCTCGGGGGGGCGGCGGCGGGGGCGGTTTCGGGGGGCGGTAGGGGGTGGGTGGATGCCATTTCGAGCCGTTTGATGGTAACGATATCAGCGATGTCACCGCCGATTTGAATGCCGCCGCCGAACGGCGGTAATGGTAATGGGTGGCGGTTAATGGCCCGTCCGTGAAAATCCAAGGGGGGTGGATGATAAAATTCGTTTGATGCTCGACGGGGATGTTTCCGATTTGTTATATTGGGGAATTGCAAAAAATATACAGGGTGTGCTTGGTTATCGAGCTGCGGATGTATTCTGCGATTTTTATGACTCTCAGTATACAGTAGTAAAAAAAAGCTATCCGGATACCTACAGTGCAGGAATATATCGAATTAATCAATCTCTATAAGCTTATCCAATCGATCCCGATCGGAGTTATTGAAAGCCAACGGCCCTTTGGACAGATGAAAGGCGATGAAGGGCCCCTTTTATTAGATTCCTGCGAGTATTTACAATAGCCGGAGGAATGCCGGAAGGAATCGCTTATAATTCCATCACCGACCCTCTACATATATCAATCCGACGAAGATTATATTATAACAACCCCGAATGCAACCCCCATTTCCGATTGCAACATGGTAATTTCTATGAGTGGAACAAAGAAAGATTATTAAAATGACAGGTGTCAGAGTGAAAAGTTGCAATGACACAAATGTCACTTTTTCCTGTTCCTTTGTAAGTGTCTAATGGAAGTTGTCTTTGTCGCACCCATGGCCTATATAACCTATAATTGCGATCAAAAATGGAGCAACCTGTATATATTCGTATTGTTCCAGTCACGTTACTCGCACGGCAGGCTGGTTGCCTCCTGCAGAGGCCTGGAAATGCGGCGAAGATGCCCTGCCCTACGGCTGGGAGAGAGCCGTGGACGATTCTGGAAGGACCTATTACATAAAGTAAGTCAAATTCACCTCCGTAATTAAATATAAACCACACCAAACAACATCAATTAACTTTAGAAGTAGCAAATGGTTAGTATAGCATACTCCAGCGTTGCCACGTTGTAGTTATTTTATTGTGGTTTGGTACAAATGACGTTTTTTTCGATCCCGAACACTAATTTCGGTTAATTTGGATGGGAATAAATTGATATAAATAGGGTCTTTAAGTAATTACGCTGCGTCGTTGATGGTTAATTACGGTTAATTTTTAGATTACAGTAATCGAGGAGATTAGGTGGATGTAACTGATGAATGGACGTAGCGAAATTGAAATGGGGAAAAGGAATTCAAGTAGATTGTGTGCCGGTTATTCGGGATAGTTATCAGATAACAAATAGGGAAATTGCTCGACGCAAATGGAATGGGAAACTTTGATTAGTAGAAGCTTTTTGTGTTTGATTAGTTTGATTATGCTGCAGTTTTGCTATTATATTAAATCAGTAGGTATACTCCCTGGTGGTAATATTAAACTCAAATTCCTTATACGATTTAGAAACTGTATACAGAGTTAGTAAATTTATCTACTAAACTACGAAAAGTAAACAAGAAAATCCGAAACTAATGTTAAATTCACGTGGCGTTTTCGTCGTACAAAAAAACCCTTTTCGATCTCCGATTTACGAAAAAAAAAAAAACACATAAATAAACTGCTCCACAAAAGTTAAGGAAGTTCGCAAATTTTGCGATTCTTTTAAAATTACAGACTTTTTGATCACCAAATTTTCAAATATTCTAAATTAAATGTTTCCTCTCATATCTGAGTGGATTTTTTGTCCCTACCTCTACAACTCATACTAAATTTGGCGATCAAAAAACCTTCAACTTTTAAATTAATCTCAATATTTGTGAACTTCCTTAACTTTTGTGGAACAGTATATTTCATCGGACCGTTTTTCCTCGACTTTCTCCTTTACTTGACGAGTCCGTAAGCGATGTGATGCCTTCCGTTTGATTCCAGTCACGTGAACAAAACCACCACGTACGAATCGCCGGTGGTGAGATGTCTGGATCCGGTCCCGAAACCGGAGCCCCGATCGGTCACCCTGGAGAGGTCCCCGTCGTTGGGTTTCGGCTTCGTAGCCGGCTCGGAGAAGCCGGTCATCGTGAGATTCGTCACCGAAGGAGGACCCAGCGTCGATAAGGTGAGTCTGCGATACGCCGCTGGCTGGATGGATAGACTTTTATCAGAGAATATATACAGGGTGTTAATTAATAAGTGCGACAAAGTTTAGAGGGCGATTCTGCACGAAGAAATGATGATGTTTTGGTATATAAACGTTTGTCTGAAAATGCTTCGTTTTAGTGATACGGGGTGTTAAAGTTACTTTAGTAGTAGATAAGGTGTTGAATGAAAAATGCACGTCGATGTGTTTTATTTTTTTACTCGAAAACGGCGGGCCGTACGAAAAAAATACAAGAGAGTTTTTTTGTTATAAATTGAACGAGGAATTCATTCGTAATTGAATTTTCAATAAAAATGCCTCAGTGGCGTACCAATATTATTTTTTTCTTTAAAAAACTGCTATTATTACCCCTACGCGCGTCAATGATGAGCATAAAAGTTTTAATTTTACATCAAAAAATGCGTAATAGTTACCTCTCAAAACCCACCAAATTTCATTCGAATATCTCGTCTAGTTCCAGAGAAATAAATAAATCTTCGGTTTTTAGGAAGAAACGAAGCATTTTGCATTATTTCTTCATGCAGCATCACCCCCTGAAGTTCGTCGCTCTTATTAATCAACACCCTGTATATTCTCTCCGCTTTTATCATAGTTGCACTCCCGCATAATAGCAATTTTCGCTTTGTTTAATCGCCTTCGTTCGCGAAACGTTGCGATATAATAATCTCGCGATGTGCGAAATTAGTTCGAGTACTTTACTTAACGAATCTCTTATACACTTTAGACAGTTCGGTTCAATTTTATCATTACGTAATCGAGTACGTTAAAATAGCGTATTTCGTGCGACGAATAACGGGAGTTCTCCGTTGTTTGGTAATAATTTCTTTGCGGATTCACAATCACAATAACAAAGAGTCTCGAGTAAAAGTGTTTCGTAAAAGCAAAGACGCGGGTCTGTGACTTCGAAACGAAGAGGAAACTTTAAGCTGTTTGTCGATGTATTCTAATTTAAGTGGAAGCAACCCGAAGGGGAACTAAAATATACCAATGCAAGCGCTAAAGGGATTTACGATTATGAAGATTGATGTACGATTTGAATTTTTATTATTTACCTAATGTGTGAGATAGAAATATTGTTTTGATCCTGCAAAGCTCGCGAGCGCTTTCGCGGATTTCTCCAGGAAATTATTACGGGAATGGAAGCGGATTAAATTTTCTCATCTGCTTCTGTCATTTTATCGATCATCGCCGCACTCGGCATTCCTTTAACGTAATTTACCTAACGTATTTCCTCGGCTCTTTTTCCACGAGAACGTGACTTTGTTTTCTACCGAAGGAAAAAAATCGCGTTCTACGAATAAGGGAATACAATCAACCCCCGTCTCGACATTGTTCGTGCAAAACGGACATCAAATATATGAATTTTATGGAATTTTCACCGCGGCTTTTATTTAGGATTCTACGTGAGGATTACCTCGTTTTAAAAAAACGCACGAAATAAGAACGATTAGGTAAGTGGGAATAATGCTACAAATTATGTAAAGAAACATTATCTAGTTCACTAGAATGTGAGACGATTTATCTGTGGGAATTTTCGGTTGAAATAAATTTGCAACACTCTAATTAAAATGGTCTTGTAATCGATTACTCGCGAAGAGAGAGAATATACGTATAAATAATTCCGAATTAATTAGATTCGAATAAACAATTCCTATATACTAGTGCTCGATATATAGGAAACGAATTCGATATCAAAACGCGAAACAATGTTTGTCAAAACAAATCAAAAGCCCTAACTGCACAATGGATACCCGAAGACATGCAAACAATAAAAGCAACGCGAACACATCATGGAAATCGGAAAATTACGGTCGTACGTTCCTAAAAATACGTCCCAAACGAAAATCGAATTAAGCTCGACTTTGATTTATTCCGCATATTTTATCTGTTTGTTCGCCATAAAACGCCCCGTCAATCCCTTCGATAGTCGCCATATTATATATTTTAACATTCGACTCGCTCCTCTCCCGGATTATCCGTCCTCTCAGTCACTGTCTATGTCGCGCGAGGGGATTCCCAAGGGAAAAAAAAGAGGGAACATTACGATTGAAAAATTAAACGTCGAGAACATTGCATCGCAATTATATCCTGCGCTAACTGCACTATCTGTTTTCTGCTCTCTCAACTCTCATCTCTCCTGACTCTCATCTCTCATCTCTCATCTCTCATCTCTCATCTCTCATCTCTCATCTCTCATCTCTCATCTCTCATCTCTCATCTCTCATCTCTCATCTCTCATCTCTCATCTCTCATCTCTCACCTCTCATCTCTCATCTCTCATCTCTCATCTCTCATCTCTCATCTCTCATCTCTCATCTCTCATCTCTCATCTCTCATCTCTCATCTCTCATCTCTCATCTCTCATCTGTGTTTTTTTTTCAGCTACTTCCCGGCGATCAAATCCTGACGGTCAACGGGGAGGACGTCGAATCGGCGCCCCGTGAACACGTCATATCGTTGGTCCGGGCCTGTACGAAGACGGTCAACCTGGTGGTGTGCCAGCCGGCCGAACAGCAAGGGGCCAGGAAATCCACTTTGCTGTCGGCCAGCAAAAGGGCCCGGTTGAGAGACAAGCCGTCGAGGGTGAGATTCGCCGAGAGCGTGTGCGTCAACGGGGCCCCCTTGTTCCCCGTAAGTATATGTTTTTTTTTTTTTTAACAATGATCGATTCTATCTACAGTATTGTTATTTGTAATTCTTGTGTAACAAAAGGAGGGGGTTTTGTTTTGCGGTGGAGTTTCCAGCGATGTTTAGAATGCCGAGTATTTCGACTGTAAATCGAAAGCGGTGTGTTTGAAATCCTGCCAAGAGACAATGGCGAAGTTTTCGACGAAGCTCAAAGGCTAATGAGTGGAGTCGTTGATAGCGACGATAGAGCCGGAATCGCTAAAATATTCGCATAAATTTATTTCCAAGCCGCAGTAATATAACTAGATTTTTTTTTTAAATTTATCAAACGTATATACTATACCGCGTAGTGCGATGTTGCCAGATTGTAACATTTTTCCGAAACAATGGAGCTTTTCATCATCGAATTATGCGGTTCGGCGAACGGCGTATTTCAAAAGGAATCCCCTTAATTTATCATCTTTCGACGCTATTGTTCGGAGGAATCTCCGAAAGACAGGCACACTTCGTGGAGAGTGCTCCTGGATACCGTTGCGCAATTATAAATTCCATCTGGAGGATTAGCGGAGATGGAAAAAAATGGAAATTCAGACAATGCAGACATTACGCGAGCGATCGCTTTCGTGAATATTTAGCGGCGCTTTTTTTTTCGAACTGTCGCACGGAAAAAATAGAAATAGCCGTGGGAATTATATCAACGCGGATCTATTTGGGTACACTAAAACACCTTTAAATAAAATATGAAACGCTGAACTGGGAGCCTTTACAAAATCGATATGTTACGTTCTATTTTGTATATACAATTGTTCTTCGAGAGTTATTAGACTATCTACTTTGCAATTCGATGCCATCTTTTGTTGAATTATTCATATATTCTGTTATTTTATCATCATAAATCGAATGAATTTTCTTGGCCATAGACCAACACATTTTCAATACTGAAAGTTATTTCATCAAAAAAAACTCGCATCAACACGACTAGAGTACATTTTCATTTAATGCAGCTCAAAGCGATCATTAAATAATTACGTTTAGAGGTCTTCTTTTTCAATATCATCGCGAACTAATCCGCTTCATTAAATCCTTTAAACAAAACATGCCGATTAATCACGGCGGGTATCCCTTGAACTCTGCCATATAGGGAGCTTTTCAATAAAGCTCGCCGCTCTCCTGGTTCGTATCAAAGGGAAAATCGATAAACTTTACCGATAAAACTTTGCGTTATTTTATAACGTTACATTTGAACTCGTTGATAGTGTCGATAAATGCGAACAACTTTCTCAGATTAGTATAAATATCGGATAGTAAATGAAATTTGTATCGGGAGGAAATAAATTAGCAGTTAAACCGCTTTTACTGTCTCGATCGAATGCAAATCGAGCGATTAATAATAGCTTTTATTTTGTAAAATACTGCGGTTAATATACCGCTTCTGTTTCATTTTTATAGCCTTTCACTGGAACAGGTTTACCAGAAGCATTTCACCATCGAAGGAAAATGAAAATATCGTTAAACCTATACATGCTTCTGACATTTCACTATATCAACTCTTCAAAATGAAATAAAAAAACTTGTACAGCTTGTACTGATAAGGATTTCATTGGAGGTTTTAACTGGTAAATTCTTTTGTAAAATAAAATTCTCCCCAACTCGAATTTCAATACGTAACTCCAGCATTAAAACCATCCCGACTTTCAAACTTAAACAAGAATTTACCGAGCGAAATGCGCTTTGAAAGAATTCGAAACTCCCATTTTAGCTACTTTCTAACTACTCCATTTACTATTCAAGCCGTCGGCTTTTTCGCTGGGCGAAATGGTGGTGCCTCCGATGGCGAACGTCCTCAAAGTGTTCCTGGAGAACGGCCAGACGAAGTCCTTCAAATACGACGCCTGGACGACGGTGCAGGACGTCGTGGCGTCGCTGGAATCGAAGCTGTGCCTGCAGGCGACCGAGCATTTCAGCCTGGTCGTCGAGCACATCAAATCCCTCAAGAGGAACAAGCTGACCTTGTTGGATCCCCAGGACCTTCTGGCTAGAGTGAGTTTTACGATTTTTTTTTGTTGATATTTCCCGATTAAAAATGAAGTAGGATTTTTTTTGTCGTTGTTTGGACGCCCACATGGAAAAAATCCCATTGCTAAATTACGCTATTGTTGCGTGTAAATGTTTTATTTCAAAAAAGGACGGCGTTAATTACGCTAATATTCGCCGCGTTAATTACCATATTGTTTCGAGTCGTTTATTACGATGCGATGTTCCTTCCACGCTAGAGATTTGTTTGCTGAATGATGTAAGATAATAATTTCGATCGTTACTCATCTAACGTTGTGGGTAATAGAATATCGAGCCCGACTTTTTTTTTTTTAATTTATTCAAATTCGAATTGCGATATCCAATTGATTTATTTATTTATTTACGTCTCATTTTCGAGCAAGACCTTATACATAGAAATTCGATGAATATTCATTAGTTTGGTTTATAGCAGGAATTACTGGCCATTGTAAACATATAGGCAACACATAATCCTGCATATTTTAATCCGATTATAAAATTGTCATTAACGATATCGTTTTTCATGGTTGCGAATATTTAAGAGAGGCAATTAACCACCCAAAAGAGCCATAAATTCACCTAAAAGAGTCGATTAATCGCCCAAAATTGTCAATTAACAACCCAAATGAGACATTTAACCGTCTAAAAGAATCAATTAACCCAAAAGCGTCAATTAACAACCCAAGAGAATCAAATACATACCCTAGGGAATCGATTAACCATATAAGTCAGTCAATTAACTACCTAAAAGAGACAATTAACAACCCAAAAGTGTTATTTAATAACCCAAAGTCACAATTAACAACCCAAAAGGTTCAATTAACAACCTTAAACAGTTAATAAATTTTCTAGTACTGTCAATTAACCCAAAAGGTTTAATTAGCCCAAAAGCGTCAATTAACCACCCAAAATAGACAATTAACAACCCAAAAGTGTCAATTAACAACCTAAATGGATCAATTAACAATCCAAAAGGGTCAATTAATAACCCAAAAGTATCAATTAACAACCCAAAAGGATCAATAACCCCACACAAAAGTTCCAAAAGTAGTTCCGCCTGTTCCGTGTAGCTTCTCAGTTCCTAAAGCTTCTTCACCTATCTAGAAAGCTTCTTCACCTTAGTAGAAAGCTTCTTCACCTTAGTAGAAAGCTTCTTCACCTTAGTAGAAAGCTTCTTCACCTTAGTAGAAAGCTTCTTCGCCTTTCTAGAAAGCTTCTTCACCTTAGTAGAAAGCTTCTTCACCTTTCTAGAAAGCTTCTTCACCTTTCTAGAAAGCTTCTTCACCTTTCTAGAAATCTTCTTCACCTTCCTAGAAACCTTCAACCCAGCCACTATAACAGCTTCGTTTCTGCCTGTTGTAGATAGCTTCGAGGCCGGGCGCGCACAAGCTGCGCTGCCTCTTCCGCGTGGCTTTCGTACCGGCTTCGGCGGCTGCTCTCGCTCAAAAGGACCTCCACGCCTTGGACTATCTGTACACGCAGTGCTGCAACGACGTCATCCAGGAGCGATTCGCCCCCGAGCTCCAGTACGACACGGCCCTGCGGCTAGCCGCCCTTCACATCTACCAGCACGCTCTGGTCCACAACGTCCCAGCTTCGAAGCTCACCGTCAAAGGCATCGAGTAAGTCGAATCGTTAATATCCTTAATAAAATCGTTAATATCGTTGATAAAATCGTTAATATCGTCAACAATATCGTTATAATCGTTGATAGCGTTAATATTATCGTTAATATCGTTAATAATATCGTTAATATCGTCAATATCGTTGTGGATAGGAGGGAGTTCGGCTTGGAGCGGTTCATTCCGGCGTCGTTGCTGGAGAACATCAAGCGCAAGGAGATCCGGAAGCTGATAGGGCACTTTTTGAAGCTGCATTCGAGCATGGCGGGCATGGGGAAGCAGCTGACGGCGTTGCAGGCGAAGCTGCACTATCTGGACATCGTCGGGCAGCTGCCCAGCTACGGGGCCAAGTGTTTCTCGGCGGGGCCGCGTGGGGACGCCTTGGAGAGGGTCATCCTGGTCAGTCCGAAGTTCGGTATCAGCCAGATAACGGGTACGAGAAAATCGGTTGTAAGTATTGAAAAATATCGAATTCTCGTAGAATTTTTTTACGATCGCTTCTCGAGACGCTCCTTATTTTATGTTCCATTGAATCCAACGTAAATTTCCTGCAGACTCTCTCTCTTTCTCTATAGCAGGAAGCGTTCGATCGACTGGACGATTTCAATCGGTTTCGACAAGTAGAAAATAAATCATTTTAATTTTATTGCTACGACTCTCCCAGTTCCGATGCGAAAAAGCGCATTTCTGATTCGATGTAGATGTAATTTGATTGTTAATTCCTGCATTATTGATTTCTCGCCTCAATCCCCGCAGGCATTTTTTACTCGCTGCTACTGTTGCTTATTCCCGTTGTTTTCACAACAAAACCGTTTACAACAAACCGAAGAATTTCGAATTAGTAGCAGAAGAATTTAACGATTTCCAGTTCCAGCCGATCCCCATAGCGAACATAGAAGACATGCGTCGCCTGGAAGTGCGAAGCGAAGACGAGGTGACCAGGACGGTGCTGGTGCACCTCCAAAGCGACAAAATCGTTCCCATTTCGCTGGAGGAGCGCGACGCCTGCGAGCTCGCCCTCGTCCTGCGCGGCTACTTCCGCCTCTCCACCGGCCAGAACCTGCCCGTCGACCAGGAGGAACCGCCGCAAATCGAGGACCTCGCGCCGCCCTATCTCTCCCAACACAAGGTCGTGCCGGAGAAGTGGAGCTTCCTCGACCAGTCGTCGATGAAGACGTCCTGCTTCGCCGCGACGCCCCTCTACAAGCCGATCAACAGGAAAACCAACGGCTTGTACAACACCGTCGGCAGGCAGTCCAAACCGCCGTTGGTCATCCAATACAGCCTCGACAGCAACATGAACAGATCGATGGCCGACAGGAATCGGTTCTACAGCGTCGATGCCGGTAAACCCGATCGCATTGAAAGCGACGCCTACGAGAACGCCATACTGGAAGCCAGAAACGACGAGGCAAGCATCTCTTCACCCTCTTCCAGTACTAGAACTAATAAAATCGCTATTGCAGATACTGAGGCGGGTGCAGGAGATGCAACAACTGGTGGAATACTCCGAGCAGTATCTGACCGAGCAGGAGAACCTGGAGCGGTTGAATTCGCTGGCCGAGTGGCAGGAGACGAGCGTCGATGTGGAGAGCGACGGCGACGAGCCCGGTAAGTTGAAACACAGCGATTCGTTGTTGCTGTTGAACAAAGGCCAGAGCGGCAAGGAGAGGAAGCAGTCCTTCTCGAGCGCCGCCATCGAATTGCTGCGACAGGAAACCGTTTGCTCGGAGAGCGACAACGAATCGCTCTACACGCCCAACGATTCGCCCAAACACAAGACGATGCCCAACAGCTTGGATAATAAGCTCAACAGGTATAAATACGGCGATTTTAGGTGTTCACTTTTGGTGTGACGAGGTGTTGTTTTAGGGTGAGTTTCGGGCTGCGTAGCCCGGACGGTCGTACCGAGAAGGAGCAGGACCTACAGGCGTACCTCCAGTACCTTCGAGAGACCAAAAAGAACGAAGATAACGTCTCGACTGCGGATACCGAATCGATCAATGACATTTACATTTTCGATCCGGATATCATCGATTTGACGCTATTACCTCCACCCAGTACGCCGGATGAACTGGATTGTGCCTTACCGACGCCCATTAACCTTCCGCCGCGCTCGTTCGCCGACTCCATCGATAAATTAAACAAATTAGGTAAATAATAGTGCATCATAACTCGATGTCTATCCATAGAAACGTCTATCAATGTTATAGTATTCGATATCGTAGGTATTTTAGATGAGCACCAAGATTTGGAAGACTTCCTAGCTAGCGTTACGGTCCCTCCGCCGACGCAAAAACTGACTCCATCCGTAGAACTCACCCCCGAAGAGATAATGTCGTACATCATACCGCCTCCACCGGCCCAAACCAGCACTGAGAATTTGACAATAACGCGAAACGGATCGAAACAAGATCAACCGAACGTCATCGAGTACGCCACGTTCGACAGAAAGGGGCCTTTTTCGTGCTGTGCGAAACCGAAGACTGACAAAACCGCCGCCGAACCGCCGCAGCGGCGCGGCTCCGACGACAAACCGCCCGACCGGCCGCCCAAAACCGCCGCCGTCGACCGGCCCAGATCGCATTCTCTGACCGGCGCGCCGCCGAAGCTGCCGCCGCGCCTCGCCCTGCCGCAGAAACCGCCCCTGCCGCCCGTCCCGCCGCTCGACGCGCTGCGCCAGAAGAAAACCGTGCAGCAGATGAAGCAGGCGATCGAGACGCGCACGGCCAGCATCGGCTCGCCGCTGTTCCAGCGCAGCAGGAACGTCTCCAACGATTTGGATGTCCGTCAGGTGGAAGATACATCCACTAGGTACTCTCACGCCACGGCGGTTAGTACTCCGACGTCGCCGCACCTCGGCAGAAACGCGCACTTGAAGCTGGTACCGATCGATTCGCCCGATTACTCCGGTTATAAAGGTATAGAGAATTGTAGCCAGAAACGCAACGGTTGCACGTCCAACAGGGAGGACCTCCTGCAGAAAACCGACGTAGCCATGGCGAATCTACTAGCGAGGTTAAACCAAGTAACCGAGCAGTGTACTACAGCGCAACAACACGGCGGCGGTAGACTCATCGACGAGGATAAATTCCAAGCGGCCAAAGAGGAACTGACAGCGCAGTGTTTGCAATTGGTGACGTCGAGCAAGATGCTGGTGATAGCGATGTCGGAGCCGAGCCTGCCCGAGCTGCCCGAGAACCTGGCCGTGTGCCTGACGATCCTGCGCCGGTTGACCGAGCTGTGCCAGGATCTGGGCGATCACGCGACGGCGCCGCTGCAAACGAGGAACCTGGTGGTGAAGGTGGGCGACGTGACGGCGGCGTTTCGGACGTTGCTCGGCGCCGAGATCGACAGGAGTTCGCGGAAGGCGATCGAGGAACATCTGGCGGCGCAGGCGGAGTCGCTGGCGAACGTGCTGGCGACGTTGCTGCGCAGCTTGAGGGTGTTTTCGCCTTAGAAAAGTCGAAAGCGGAATAGAGGATTTGGTTTGTTCGTTGTTAGGTAGATTTATAAGTTTATAGATTTTTTTTTATTTGTTTTCTTCTTGGCTCGATTGGTACGAATCGCGGTCGTATATTTCTGAGGTCTGGAAATATAAACAAATAGGTTTTTTGAAGGTAAAACAGGGTTCCTAAAACGGCCGCTAGGAGGCGATGTTTGTATAAGCTTTCTTATAATTCTAATTCTATATAATAATTATGTTCGTACGCAAAAAACTGTGATTCTAAAGTCCCTAGATACTATAAATAGCACAATAAATTAGGCCTATAAGATAGAAAAAGATAGCTAGCAAAATCCCAAACATGGCCGCCTTTTGACATTTTTTTTTTGGACAGAAGTAAACATAACTCTTTCAAAGGCGTGCATTTAACCTAACATTTCTGTTGTGTCGGTTTATTAACAATCTGACATGTTTATAGAATGTGTTCAATAAATTTGTTGCAATATTTGAATTTCCCGCTTAAAAAATCCCAAACATGGCGGACGATTGCGCTACTTATAGTATCTAGGGACTTTAAAATCGCGGTTTTTTGCGTAGAAACATAAAATTATTATACAGAATTAGCATTAAGAAAGCTTATACAAACTAAAAATAGATACAAAATATAAAAACATACTTAAATCAGCGATGATTGTGTCGTTAACATCACGCCTCGCGCTTCTTCGGTTAATGTATTCCACCATTTTCTCCTCGAAATGTCAAAAAATGAAGTTTTGACAGCTCGAACTGTCATCTCACAACACAAACGCGATTTATACGCAGCGCGACGCTGATTGGCTGAGATTCTTTCTCTGTTTCCAGACCTTAGAAAATTTAGAAATATAAGGCCGTGGTACGAATGAAAGTTTATCTAATAGAAGTTATCGTATCGAAGTTGAATCGATAATCTGTACAGATTTTATTATAGTTACGGTGATGGGAACATACTATAAAAACGTGCAGTTTTAAGTTACAATCGCACGAGTTTTTCTCAGCAAGTATAAAGTTGAAGGAGTCGTTCTTTGACTGACTGATTGATTATAAAGGTATATAGTATAGAGATGTTTATACTGATCGTTTAAAGCGAATCCTCGTGCGATTGTAGTGCAATGACTGCGCTTTCTGTTGTACTAATTTTTATTGTTAACATAGTTTGTAGTCGAGATGGTTACCGAAATTGATTTTGTTTCTCTCGAAACGGACGTGACTGATTTTTATTTTTTGCTTTACGATGTCCGGTAACGCGAAAATAATGAAATTATATCGATGTACAATAGTGTATTCCTTAGAATAGTGTGAATGTGTATTTTTTATTAACGCGTTTTCTTTCGGTTTTTTTTTTCATAACGTTTTCTAGTCAAATATTCACACGATATTTTAAGTTTATTTTTACGCAATTTAATTTAAATTTCATGAAATCGCGACCAAATGTTTGTGGCATAAGTCTGAAATATGTATCGGTCAGTACACGGTCGTACATACAGGTTTGGAAACTCCACGAAATACTAGCGCCCTCTGTCGAGAGTCATCAGTAACACCTTCTCTAGAGTTTCTCGACCTGTTATGTACGACCATGATCTGGAAAAAGAACGTACTCTTTATGTGATATTACACCCTTTAATACTGTTAGGTTTTTTTCCGTGTTGTTATAGGATTGAATAGGATGAAATATAAACCAAATAATTGTTTTACAGTTCGGATTCGTAATTTTTTTTTTTTGAATTTTTGGAAAACATCGCCTACTGCTTCGGTAGTGACTAGTCAAGAAGTACAATAAACTTGAGATTATCGAGTTACCTCAGATATACCAATTTTTAATCGCTATATAAAACCTACTGTTTCGTGTACAGGGTAGTATCAAAAATTCGTTGTTTAATGAAATGTGTAAATTTCATTAAATGTTTTATATGCTATTTCGATATATAGAAGACATGGCAAATTTATTTAAAGTATAAATTATGTTAAAACGATAATTTGTCAAGTCTTCATTTTTTATCATATATATATTTGTTTTGTTTTAACTGTTTAACTGTTGGTTAATTAATATTAAAGTTAGTTGTACGTTATATTTCTCGTTAAGTGAATAGTTCAAATTTGTTAACATTTAATTAGTATTTTTTTTATCGATGCGTGAATGGTTTTTCTCATATCATGTATTACCAATTTTAAAAGTGATAAAAGTATACAATCGTTCTGCAATATTTTAAATCAATTAGAAACGACTGAATGCAAAAAATATACAGGGTGAAATCATCCAAATATTCACATCCTGAGTATCAGCACTCAATTAATTGACACCCTGTATAGTGGAGATGAAACGGAAAAATTTTCTAATATTTTGAACGTGCCATTTCCAATGTGTGCAGTAACTAAAACTTTTCTGTTTCATCGCTGAAAATTGAAAACTCATCAATGTACCTATGATTTCTCAACACCTGTGTAATATTTCTAACATATCTTATTATGAATGTATTAAACTCTATATAAAAAAATCCATTATTCGTCATATTAGTTTTTTTTAAAAATTCCTACATCATTCTACGTTGTTCCGCTCGATTTGAATACAATAACCAATGGTAAGTTCAAAGTTGAACATTTTGAAATTTACGGTCAGTAACTTAAACCACAGCATAAATAAATATACTTGAATTATAAATTTTTATATTATCACCAACATTGCATATCCAAAAAAACCCTTCTCTCACCCAAACCATCATATACCGATTTTAAAGTTATTTACAAAACGAATCCCCGTCGCATTATAAACCCATTAGAATAGCCAGCAAATCCGATACATCGCTACCTTAACGATACATTTTTATGACCGCCGACAGTCCATCGCAAACAATTTCACCGATTCACATAATTACCATTCAATACGCCATCGATCGTATTAATTACCGACATTCACCTTCCAACCGTCGTGTCGCAAGGGTGCCTGCAAATTACTCTCCAAGATGTCGAACGTCGTCACCGAGACCATCCAGAAAAACGCCAAAGACGAGCTGTCCCATTCCAGGGAAATCAACTGGATGAAAGTCCTCTTCCAGATACAAATCACTTTATCAGCGTTATGCGCTTTCAAATTCATCCTATACGATTCCTATTGGGCCACAATATGGTTCGGTAAGTACTGTTTCTTGGACAGTTTTGTCCTGGAGTAGATATTTCCCAAGTGTGGACTCTCTTGGTGGTGCTTTATCAGATGCACCTGGAGTTTGTGCTCTTCCAGGTTTGAGATCGTCGTAGACTTTGCTGATTTGGTGATTCTTGCTCAGCATATTCTCGATCTTTGCATTTTCTTGATCTTCTTGCAGCGATTCTGGTAATGTTCCTGGGCCACGTGGGTGTAGCAGCCGGAGCTCACAGACTGTGGGCCCATCAAAGCTACCAAGCCAACGGATTATTAAGGTTTTTCCTAATGATATGCCAAACGTTGTCTGGAACGGTAAGTCCTTTAAACCCTCGAAATCTCGCAATAAGCAAATGGTATTGTTTCGTAGGGATCGATATACGATTGGGTGCGATGGCACAGATTGCACCACAAGCACTACAACACCGATTTGGACCCTTACAACTCCACCAGGGGATGGTTTTTCGCTCACTCTCACGGCGCCGTATTAGCTCTCAGTCCCGCCCAGCAGAGGGCGCTCAAAAACATCGACATGAGCGACATCGAAGACGATGAATTGGTCATGTTTCAAAAGAAGTGAGTCCTCACAACGTTTCCTGTAATAATCTATTGAAATTTCCCGCCGTCATTTTAGATGGTACATCCCGATGTATTTGATAATTACATTGTTGTTGCCGATAAACGCGCCGGCCGAGTACTGGGGCGAGAACCTCTATTCGTCCGTATTCATCCTGGGTTGGTTCAGGTGCGCGGTGAATTTGAACCTCTCCGCTCTCATCCACAGCGCCATCATCATCTGGGGACTCAAACCGGGCGAAAAGTGAGTCGCACTCCAACCCGACAAATCTCCGTTTTATCCGCGAATCGTTCCGCAGGTACCCTTGCGATACGAACCTGGTGTTCATACTGAACAAGACCAACTGGATCTCGTACCACTACATCGCGCCGTGGGACTACAAGACGAGCGAATTCGGCCAGTACGGCAGCGATACCATATCGAAGTTCATCCAAATCTGCGAGGTGTTGGACTGCGCTTCGGTGCTGAAGACCATCGACAGCGGCACGGTGAGGAAGGCCCTCACCGCTTCGGTGCTGGAGAAGCGAAACATCACCGAGTGCCTGTTGGAACTCTGCGATTACTCGCCCAAAACTCCAACGTTCTATTAGATTATTTTTTTTCCTATGTTTGTGATGAGATGTATTTTTTATAAGAACTAGCGTTTCGAATAAAGTAAAAGGTGCTTAAAAGATGGCATTTCGAGTTTTCAAAACCGGATTGTGTATCGGCGACGCGAATTTTTTCGTTTATAGGTTCGTCGAACTCGCCGCTAAATCGGACGAGTTTTGAAAATTTTAATAAACAACATTTCGCATCAACTACAAAAGCAACTGCCTTGCAGATTCGTCTTCAACCAATTCACGTACTTGGACACTCTGGTGTAGACGCCGGGGTAGCCGGGTCGGCCGCAACCCACGCCCCACGATACGATCCCCACGATTTCGTATTTGTCGCCGCTGTGCACCAATAGAGGTCCCCCGCTGTCCCCTTGGCAGGAATCCTGCGTACCTTTGCCCGCGCACAACATGTAATTCGTTATCCTCGACGCTCTGTACTTCATGCCCTTGCATTGCGCCTGGGTCAATATGGGCACCTCCACTTCCTGCACCACCGTCGGCAGCATCCCGCCTTCCGAAGTCCTGCCCCATCCTACTACGGTACCTGTCCTGCCCGAAGGATCGCCGGCTGAAACGCCACGATGTGTCGTTAGTACGCTGAAATATTTTTAAGCGGGTTTATATTTACTCTTCGGCAGGCAAACCGGTCGGATTTGTTTGGTGAACTCGACGGGTTTTCGCAGTTTCAACAGCGCTATGTCGTGATTGAACGTGTCCGCGTCGAAGCTCTTGTGTCTGATGATCGACGACACGGCCCTCATCATGGCCGGGATCTCCGTCGTCGTCGAAGCGTCGTGATCGCCGAGGATCACGCGGATCTTCGATTTCTTCAACCTGAAAATGATTCGCCTTAAAATTCCCTTTCGCTATCGCCGGTTAGAGCAAAGGGGAATGAAATGATGTTGTCTGGTGCCTTAACCACGCTATTTTATTGGCAAAAGTTGCTCATTGAAGCACGAAAATGTGCTGGTTCAAAGGGACTACGAACTGATGCAGGAAGTGTTACCAAAAACTTACTTTTCTATGATGTTAAGTAAGGAATTTATGAAGCAGTAACACAATTGGTTTCATGGGACCAAAGGGAATGTAATGAACATGTTCTCTGAAACCTTGCTGGTGTATTAACCACGCTATTTTATTATTAAAGACTGCTCATGGAGCACCAAAATGTGCTGGTTCAAAGGGACTACGAACTGATGCAGGAAGTGTTACCAAAAACTTACTTTTCTATGATGTTAAGTAAGGAATTTATGAAGCAGTAACACAATTGGTTTCATGGGACTAAAGGGAATGTAATGAACATATTCTCTGGAGCCTTGCTGGTGTATTAACCACGCTATTTTATTAGCTAAAGCTGCTCGTGGAGCACCAAAATGTGCTGGTTCAAAGGGACTACGAACTGATGCAGGAAGTGTTACCAAAAACTTACTTTTCTATGATGTTAAGTAAGGAATTTATGAAGCAGTAACACAATTGGTTTCATGGGACCAAAGGGAATGTAATGAACATATTCTCTGGAGCCTCGCTGGTGCATTAACCACACTATTACATTGGTTCAAAAGGACCAGAAACTGGTGGAGGAAACTTACTTTCTCAAGCAATGGGCGGCGGTAAGGACGAAATCTTCGGTGAGAAGGGAAGCCCCGCAATGGTAGTGACCGTCGTAGACGAGCCGGGCCATCCACGGGTACCGGTTGACGCCGGTGGGATGGCCCCCGACGATTCTATTCTCTTGGTTGGACACGCCGCATTCTAAACACGAAATAAAGATCAATCGAAGGTCGCAAAGTAGGTCGGATTTCCGCTCACCGCACGTGCAATTCTTCGCTTTGATCAGCTCGCTGTCGTTGTCATCGTCGTAGGCGGCCTCATCGGCGCCGCCGCCGAACAGATTCGCTATGTTGAACAACTGGTTGAACAAGAACCTACCCTTTTTCGCGTGAGTGCGATTCGATGCGACCTAGAAAGCAAAAGTTCAAGGCCTCGCCGAACGAAAGAGAAATCAGCGAAATCGGCACACTTACGTAATTATCGGATGGTTCCGAACCACATACGACCACCACGAGCACTATTACACCAAACCAAAGCCTCACAACTGACATATTCGACAGTCAGGCGGAATTTGCGTCACCGTTCACGAAACGCCGCGGTTCCTCTGTCACCACCACCCATCACCTTATATAGATTATATTCGAATGGATCGAAAAGCGCCGGCACGCGAGCACTTTCACTGCGCCGTCGGTACTGAAATTCCTCGACCATAACCCTCGGAAAGAAAGTAAGTTAATCGATCGCGCCAGACGCGAATCGAAGCGAAGATGAAAGTAGAAATCGCGGCGGAATTGGCGAGCACCAGAAAGATCGAAGGCGATGATGGAGTAGAAGACGTTTAAAGGCTGTCCATTTTCGTTGGACTGGTGGAGCCGACTGCGACGTTGCCGGGTTGTGATCGATATCCTTGATGTGACAGATATATTCGATTTGAGGTTATGTTTACTTTCGTTGTTTACAAGTTAAAAAAAAGTCTTAAATGGTAGAATTTAAAGATGAAAAAGTAGATCAGGAGGAGATGTGAGCTTGTGAGTATTGATTTAACAGAACGTTATGTGATTTTTTTACGATTAGGTCAATTATTCCAATAGTCTTCTTCCTCTCCACTGTCCCGTTCTCTATCGAAATAGGTCGAAAAAACAAACCGAAAACCGCACGAAAAACTCTCTAAAACGAACGGAAAACACAAAACCTACTCGTAAACTTGCATAAATTGCGAGAAAAACACGAAAAATCGCATAAAAAGTAGCAAAAACAACAAATTGTAAACATAACCTCTCAACATAAAAGAACAAAATTTTTAAGACTAACGCAACGACAACATCGCTTCGGAAGTCCAACTGCTCGTCGTAAAATTCCCCAAGTCAAATGGGAGAATTAACATTGACACTAGGGACATTTCGAACTGCGCGGAAATTACTAAAAACCACCAAATAGTCAAACGAACATGGATATCCTTCAGCAGGCGAGGTTCTGGTTCAAAAAGATGGTACGGTACCGCGCGAGGCGGTTATTAAACGGTACGGGGAGCCGATCGGGCGACAGTGGTACCGTCTTCGCCGGCCGGAGCAGTTGGGATCGTTCGCAGAAGACGAAATGGCCGAGTACGCGAGGATCTTAGGTGTGCTGGTTGGGTTGTCGTGCGTGCTGGGATCGCTTTGCGGAGCTGTAAGTAAGTTTTTTTTTTTGTAGTTTTGTAGTTTTGTCGCGCGTTGATCGGGTTCGGTAACGGTGAGGAATTTTTTTACCGATGAGCGGTTCGTACGTGTTTGCGATGTTTGATTGAGGAAAGTGTGTGGGTTGGAGGTGTTGGTTTTTTTTTGTTTGTTTTGTTGCTAAAATGTTGGAATATGTTGTATGTAAAGAGATGTGTTGTATGAAAGGTGTGAAAATGTAGAAAAATTGGTATATTTTCATGAAAAATCGAGTTTGTTTGCAGATAAAACATTAAACTATCTAGTAATTTGCGCATATAAAGATGAAAATCTATTATTTTACCAAAAAAAGGTGTGAAAATGTACAAAAATTTGCATATTTTTTTGAAATATCGATTTTGTTTGTAGTTAAAACATCAAATTATCTAATAATTTGCGTATATAAAGAGAAAAATCTATTATTTTACCAAAAAAAAGATAAGAAAATGTAGAAAAACCGACACATTAAACTTACTATTCAGCTAAAACCACGAATAATGTAATAATTCCTGCATATAAAGCTAAAAATTGACAAACATTTACAATAAAAAACATCCAAAAATGTTCAGATTAAACCAAAGTTAATAGACACACCAATTTCTACCATTTCAGTCCCAAATGCAGAAAGGCCTCTTGGCCAATTTGAAGGAAACTTTAGCCCCCAAATTGGGCAATTTAGCCAGCAATCGCCCGCCCCCGCGCCACGACACGCCCGCCTCCCCTTGTCATTGCAGTAAGTACCATTCAATAACTTTACCATCAATTTTATCATCAACTACATCGATCATCCATTTCGCCAGCTTGCGGCGAGAAGAACGAGGATAGCAGGATAGTCGGGGGCAGGCCTACCAACGAAAACGAATTCCCCTGGATGGCCAGACTGTCATATTTCAACAGATTCTACTGCGGAGGGATGCTCATCAACGACAGATACGTTTTAACAGCCGCCCATTGCGTCAAAGGGTAAGCTTTTTTAACAATTTTCTATACCAAAAATTCCAGCTCATAGTTCTCCAATCAAACCCATCCAATACTGCTGTTCTGATGGATAAACATTCAGATGGAACTCTTCTTTTCTCACGACTAGCTTAAGATTGTGAGTACGCGGATTGTTTTTCGTTCTTTTTGCGGTTCATCTAGCGTGAAATCGATTCGACTGATGTACAGTTAGGTCGGCTGTAAAAACGCCATGGCGAAAATGGGAATTGCTCGGTAATTATGGTCAAAAGTGGAAGTGAAACACGCTCGATCGGCCGGGCGATTTCCATAATAACAGCTCTCGCGGTACCGGAATGGAGTACCGGGCGAATGAAAAAGTCGCTAGTATTGTTAGCGATTAAAAAAAAAGATTCTCGAGACTTTCTACTCCGCTTGAATCGCGTTTTGAATCGTAAAAATCGCAATTGATCGGATTGCGATTAAAGTTTATAAAGAGGTTTTTTTTATCGGCGTTGCTTTTTATATTCGAAAAATGTGTGCTACTCCGATATGCTAATTAAAATTGCTGTGTTGAATTTGAGAGAAAATCCACTATAACCGGATTGGTCCTTGAGAAATATAAGCAACCATAAATCAACAGTATAGTAGAAATCTGGTTTTTTTTATGAACATTCTGATGCTGGTGTTATAAATAAATTATTATAATGCTGTTGTTTTCACTTTTCTATAAGCAAGGTTTGTGGGTCATCGAACCAACTTATAGAACTATAAAACTGAACCCACAATATAACATTCTACCTGATACATATGCAACCCTTTACACACCGGCCAGCGGTGCAGGAGAAACATCATCTTCCACCTACTCTATTTCTATCAGAGAATTTATCGGGTTCCAGATTCATGTGGTTCATGATAAAAGTGACCTTCGGCGAGCACGACAGATGCAACGACAACAAACGACCGGAGTCCAGGTTCGTGCTCAGAGCCATCGCGGGCGCCTTCAGTTTCCTGAACTTCGACAACGACATCGCCCTGCTGAGGCTCAACGACAGGGTGCCCATCACGCAGTTCATCAAACCGATTTGTTTGCCGAAGAACAAAGGTACACGATTCGAGCCTAACCGGCGGTTTGTTTAATGATAAGCGCTTTTAGATAATCTCTACGTGGGTGCTATGGCGACGGCTTCCGGTTGGGGAACGCTGAAGGAGGACGGAAAACCCACCTGCATCCTGAACAAAGTCGATGTGCCGGTGATTTCGAACGAGGAATGCAGGAGAACTAATTATTCGGTCAATATGATATCGGATAACATGCTGTGCGCTGGTTACCCGCAAGTGGGGCAAAAGGATTCTTGTCAGGTAAACTCATCGTTAATACCATCGCCTAAATCTTCTGTAATTAATGATTTATTTCAGGGAGACAGCGGTGGTCCGTTGATCACCAAGAAACCCGACTCTCGATACGAATTGATCGGTAAGAATCAATTTTTTTTTTATTAATTTCATCGTATAGTACTTTATGAATTACAGGCGTGGTTTCCTGGGGTAACGGCTGCGCTAGGCCGGGATATCCTGGTGTTTACACCAGAATCACCAGATACTTGGACTGGATACTCCAGAACTCTCAGGACGGATGCTTTTGTCAAGACTGAATTAATAGCTTACTAGAATAAATTTATCTCATAGTTATTTCACAATCCAGTAACGCGCAACAATTGCGCTTCTAATTTATTGATTATAGTTTTATTATCGTATAGACTGTGCTGTAGTAAACCGTCTTTTAACTAAATAAAATTAATTCGATGCCTAATACTCAATTGCGGTACTCGAACGGTTGGGCGTTGTTTCTAACCAGAAATTTCACGTAAGTATCGAAATCCAGCTGGGCGTTAATCGCACCAGCGGTATCGGAACCGTTCTGGAACCGTCTCTTCAGATTCCCGCGTATGATCCTGCGTTTCTTCCAAACGCACTCCAACGACATCAGCACCAGACTGGCCATCCAGCCGATCAGCACGATGAAGAAAGCCGTGGATAAATCCGCCAATCTGGCGCTCTGGAACGAGGCGTGCTTCATGCACTGCTTTATAGCCGGATACACCGCGGAATTGATGTACTTGTACACGCCGGTTTCGAACATTTTTATCACGCTGTAACGGCAAAATGTCCAGCACGAGCTTAGCTATGGAATACAGTTTACCTGAGATTGATCAGTTTCTTGTAGGGCGAGTTCTTGGACATGAGGATGGCCATGTACTCGTTGGTGTAGGGTATTTTGATCTCCTGGATTTCGAATTTGCACCGGCCTTTGGTGACGTTGAGAAGGTGAGTTCTGGCCGATTGGCCGGAGGCGAAGAAGGCGAAATGATCGCTGGTGACCTTCATCAGACCTTCGGAGATGTTGATGAGGTCGTGTTGGAGGTAACCGCGCAGGTAGATTTGCTTCAATTCGCTGATGTTCACCGACTGAAGACAAAAATAATCAGATCGACAAGATTAGGAGGTGCCTTATTGGACGTACCCTTAGGTAATCTTCATCTTCTCCGTTCTTGACATACCCGATTTTGTAGTCGCTTTCTAACAAATCCGTAACGCTTTGGATTTTGTACAGTTCAACTGATAGAATCGAAGTGATAAAGGCGGAATAGGAATTGTAGGTGAGCACGGTGAGGAAGAGAGTTATTAGAACGATTATCTTCTCGGTTAACGATCTGGTTTTCCAAATGCTGCCTAAAAAATACATCTTTACATCGGTTTCTCTCTGGGATCTTTTAGTAGCAACCTTGCTGAGTGAATATCCCCACGCACCAGACGATCGACTCGGAGAATTCCCTTCTTCTGCCGCCCAGTTTATGGCGAACCCAATTATTCACCGTCATCCCCAGGGATAATATAAAACCGGTTCCCACCACGCACAGTATCAACCTGGAATCGAACGGCGTGGTGAAAATGTTGCGCAGCTTCTCCGACTCCTGCGGCGTCACGTAGATGTGTCTCCTGCAAAAGAAATGTTACCAACAGAAACACAGAACAATCAACGCTGTTGCCAACTGTACGTTGTACCACTTAGGGCTCTAAAATGACTGTTTATTTACGAGTTTTTCAAAATGTCGAAGCTGAAGGCCATGTCGTTGATCTTCCCGGTGGTTTTGGATATCCCTTGACCGCTGATGTCGACGACTTCGTCGACGAGGGCGTGCAAAAGGTCGGTCCATTCGTTGTTCTCTCGATTGCCTAGCTTGACGAAGCCCACGTAGGATTTGCTGGAAGATGGGTGATTTTTTTGGTGAGAGTAGAAATATGATTTAAATGGTGTTAATTGTAACCTGGAGTTTAGAAATTGGAATATGTAATCGGCGTAGTAGATTTGGGTGGTATCGACTTCTTGTTCTTTCATCGGTCCATCGGAGGGTGTACCGTGAATACCGACCACCAGAGGGTACTGGTGGAAGTTGTCTCTGTCCTCGATTGGCCAGAAGAGTTTTAGATTTTTAGTCGAATTTACCGGATTCCAATCGCCTGAAAAAGTTATGTATGATTTTCTCTCTAGTTGTATGACTGGTTCTCACCCAAAAATCGGACTACAAGGGACGTGTTGTAGTTTCTCCGTATGTTGTATATTTGATAAAGATAACGCGTTTCCTGGGTTTCGTTTGAAGGTAAATTAACGCAAGTTATGGTCGAATTTGTCGCTGTTTTGTTGAAATTATACCTGAACGGTAAGATGGAGTCTTCCTTGTTTGTAGTTATTTCGTATTGGGTGCTATTCAAATCGTCCTAAAACAACAATATATACATTCATTTAATTTTCAACTACTATACCTCGGTATCCATATTGGTGAGAGTATCGAAGACAATAGCAATATCGCTGTCGATTCCGAAATTCCCGTATCTCAGCTCGTTCATTATGTTAGTTTGGAGATGACAATGGGCTAGTAACAACCAAGAGACTTTTCCACCGTAGCGGCCGATGAAATTCGCATCTTCCAGAAGATTTATGACGGTGAAATTATCTTTTAAAAAAGTAACCACAGCTGTCTTGCAACTGGTAATATTCAAAGTGGCTTCTGACGAAGTTAGTAAAGGATACGTTGCGAAGTAAATGTTTTTGTTCATCAACGTTTTCAAGTTGTCTTTGATTGTTTTTATCCCGCAAACTGAAAGATAGTCGAGTGGAAAATATGGAAGGATTGATTTGATTTGTTGGTGTAATTACCAGAGTCTATATCTTCATCTATTATAATCAAATGGTTTATTTCCCTCCAGTGGACGTAATCGCAGATGAAAGCGATGTTTTCGGATATACTGCAATTTCCTGCAGCTTGGGATAAGTAACAAAGGATCAACACAAAATGAACTTTCCTGATGTACATTTTGATCGTTTCTGTTCATAAATTCTACTTATTCAAGTGAGTATGCTATAATTTTTCTTCGTCAATCAAGTCTAGAGTGGTTTTGTTGTAATTGAAATAAAAATTCCATATATGATTGGTTTTTAATTATGCATATTGAAGTGTAATTAGTTTTGAGTTGTACTTTTTTATTGGATAATTAAGAAATGTCGTTTCTAACGAGCCCTTTCTATACGCCTTTAATTAGACCGAAAGGAATCAAAACTTCGATTGAAAATGAGTTAATAATTGGCAATTGATACGATATAATTAATAAAAACAATGTCATAGTGATCATTAATCATCAGATATCTTTTTTGACATTACATCCCCTTGCGGATAATACCTAATAAGTTGTTCAATAATATCTTCAGCTCGATTAGTTCAGTATAAATTAGTTATTACATAAATGAGACAAAATTAATAGATAAAAAGTACGATTTTATTTCAAAATTCTGATACTTATCATACAGAAAAATACCCAACTAACCCTCGAGTCTCAGTAACCAATCAGCGACGAGAATACTTGACAGTTGACATTAAAAACGTCTAAAAGGTCATAGAGATAGAGAAATGACATTTGGTAACTACTCTGTGAATGACGTTTCTACATTACAAGATAGGTGTTTCAATCTAAAATAAAATGATCCATTACTGTGGAAATTTACAAGTAAGTGACAATTTTAATTAACTCAAATATCCTTTTTACATAGTTATACTGATTTTACTTTGTACTTTCAGTTCTAGGTTAGCTTTTGGAGTTTATGTGCAGGGATTATTAATACACTACTACCATGTCGAATTCAACTACTACTGTGATAGATAAGAATAAATCCAAATCGGGGGTAGGTATTCGATTAACGTTTAATAAACAATAATAAATGACACAACATCTAATAAGTGACATTTACATGTTGTAAGTCTCATCATTTGTAAGTTATCATGTAACTGTGTTATTAAACAATGTAAGTAATATTTATATGGTTATTCCAGGAACCTAGGAACCATTTAATGTCCATGTGGGATATATTATTCGGAGATGCGCCCAAGGAATGGATCGGATTCAAACCCACGAAAGGTGCTTTCGTATATCCTTGTTACGCATGTAGAAACTTGTAAGTACATCTATTAAATCTGTCAATTCATAAACATGTCACTATCTATTATTAATACACGTGTTGTTCGATTTCAGGTTTTCATCGTTGGCTTCTTTACAAGATCACGTTAACAGGAGAATATTGATTTTGAAATACAATTGCACTCACTGTTCTACACAAGACATGACGTTCTACAACAGGTGCTCCCTTTTATTACACGCCCGATCCCACTTTACCTCGAACGAAGGCAAAATCAATCTGAGCGACATGAAAACCCTCACTCTACCGTTACAACTAGCAGGTTTCCTACCCGTAGCAGGAGTACCGATGATATACGAACACGAAGAAGAACCAGCAGACGACAGTCGTTACTTGAACGTACAATTCTACGTGCCGAATACCAACGATAAGGGTAAAGAGATAGTCGTACTGAAACCCACCGATTTCGTCTACAACGACACCCACGAAAAACTAGCGTTGAAACAAATCTGCGAAAACGTACCGAAATGCCAATTCATCGCGCTCGACGAACAGGCCCGTTCGAGACAGTCGTTCGTGAAAGTCGAACTGTTCGATTACATCGATCAACTAACCCTACCCGTCATATCGAAGGTGGAATCGCTACACGACAAATCCCAACGAACCCAGCGTTGTTTGGACTGCGACTCGCCGATCGACACCACCATGGCCTCGCACTATCAGGGCGCCAACAAACCCACCGACGACGCCCTCACCTGTCCCGTGTGCAAATTCATCGCGTCGAGCAAGTGCTCGTACAGCGCCCACGCGCGCGTCCACAACCACCAACCGCCCCACGTGTGCCCCGATTGCGGCGATGTCTTCGCCGATGCGCAGGCGCTGCAGCGCCACCTCAACGACGTGTGCTTCCACATCGCCAAGAACGTGAAGTACCGGTGCTCGGGCAAGCGGTGCGGCAAGCTGTTCGCCTCCCTGGGCAACCTGGCGTTGCACTTCAAGCAGCACTTCCAAGCCGCCTTCGCCTGTTCGACGTGCGGCGGGACGTTCTACGATGAAGCATCGGCGGACAAGCACGCGAAGTTCCACGGCGGCCACTGCGACTTTTCGAAGGTGTTCAAGTGTCTCGTTTGCGCCGATAAAGGGCCGTTTGGAGAAGGCGATTTCGCCGAGCACATCGACAGTCACATCAACGCCAGTCGATCGGGGGTTTACGTGTACATGTGCAGAAGATGCAGGAGCTACTTTAGATCCACCGCGACGTTCGCGACGCATTCGTCGCGGTGCTCGAAGCAATGTCCCGACAACGGGATATTCATGGAGTGCGACAATTGCAAGAGCAAGAACTACTGCGACTTCAACAAGACGTTCGGTTGTTGTTGGAAGTGCAAGCGACCGCCCGTCAAGAAAACTACGGTGCTGAAGAGGTACTTGTGCATCTTGTGCAACGAGCACATCCAGTGCGAGGATAAGCTGAGTCACAGGAAGAATTGTAGATACGCTTATCCTATTATACTACTGAGGAACATCAACGACGAGGCGTTGTCGAGCGAGAAGGTGCAGGAGAATCGTAAATCGCCGAGGTCGCGCTACAGCGAATCGCCGAAGTCCGACGAAGGCGCTAATAAGAAGAAGCGGAAGCGGAATTTGTGCGTCAGGCCGAGGCGCGCCGATCGAGACGCCGCGCCGGATCCGATCGCCGAGAATCCCGTCCGATTCGACGGCACCTACTACTGCAAATTGTGCGATTACAGCCAAGCCGTCAGGGCGGCGTTTCACGCGCACGTGAAATCGCACAGGGACATATCGACGGCGTACCAATGCATGGAGTGCGGCGAGTGTTTCGTGGTGAAACCGTCGCTGTGCAAGCACCTGCGCCATTTCCACGGCGTCGCCGACGGCGAGGCGTACTTGAACGAGAACGATTGCTACGACGTGGGCGCCGTGAAGGAGTTGGAGGATAACATGAGGCTGGCGCCGGGCGAAAGCAAGGAACCGGTGAAAGAGAACCAATGCAGGGTGTGCCTGGCTGTATTCGACGACGCCGTCGAATTGAAGACGCATTACAGGAGCCACGGTATGGCGTTTTTGCTTAAGAATGTTAAACAGGTACAATAAAAGTTTCGTTTTTTGTTTGTTTGTGAATTTGGCGTATTAAACGCCGTCGAGTTGCATCACGACGATCAAGTAGGTGAGTTTGATGCCGAGTATGTCCAAGATGGTGGTCCTTTGGATGTCGAAGAAGTTGGCCGACGTGAATTTCGGTGGAAAGTTGGTGATGTATTCGATGAAATCCAGAATGGCGGTCGATACTTCTTCGTTGTTTCGGTGGTTGATCGAATCGTTGTGTAATTTGTAGCAGGTTTTTATGAGATCCCGGCCTTCGCCGGTGGCTAGATCGCAGCACATTATCGAAAATACCAAAGCGATCTGGAAAAAAAATCGCAATACACAAGAGAGACTTTCGATTATAGAGTACTTACGAATGTCGTGGAGAACGGCGCGATCCCGCTAAAAAACACGTAGATTTCATTATCCGAAAATTGAACGTTCGAAATCTTCAAATTCGAAACGATGAAATGCACACCATTAACGAACTGCACGAGCAGAAATAGATGCGCTAGTAGCAAAAAATGCCCGAAAATGCATTCGATATTCTCCACTTGTTCGACGGTGCTCTTGTAGGCCTCCTTCATCTTCAACACATCGTTGACTGTTCGTTTCTGGTGCGGGTATATTCTCAAGCAAACGCTCTTCAAATCGCCGTGGATTCGGCACAATTTCCTCCTGAAAATCAGCACGACGTGCCCGTAGAGCAGAACGGCGAACACCAGCACGTACCAGAAGATCAACGCCAGGCAGAGGACTCCGAGCGATTTGTGCCTCTTGATCTGCGCTTCGAAATTCAACGAGTTGACCAGCAGGAATACCACGTGGAAAAGGATTTGCTCGTAGGGAAAGGGGTTTCGACTGGCCGATAGGAACGTTTCCAAGCGAGCCGACGCCCGGGAACCCCGGAAAAAGTGCGAGGAGAAGATGAGCGCGTCGAGCGGGATAATCGAAGCGAATATCGTTAGAATCATCGCGATTTCGTTGTTTGCTGCTAGAGTGCTAACGAAATAGTACGTGGAGCTGGTGAACGAGCAGATTAGAATCGAGGCGTAGATTTTGTTGAATAAAATGGTGGAGTTTGCGAATGGCAGGAAACCGAACAGTTTGGCGAAGAAAAATAGGAATTTACTGGTGTGTCTGATTCGCATGGTTTTTCTTTGATTCGATGATTCTACTGTAGTAATAGCCATTTTACTTTGGATCGTTAGTACTCACTAACTTATATATCCTAGATTTTTTTCGTTGAAACTTAATGACAAAATCGATAATAATAATTGCTTTGTTTGTTTCATTAATTCCAATACATCTCTCATTAATTATTAGAAGAGATTGTTTGATTATTTCCTAATTTTCTATTGAAAAAAGGGTATATTTCGAAAATGACAGAATAATTACCTCAAACGAGACCTCGAAATATTTATCAAATATTAATCTAGGAGATATCATTTAATTCTCACAAAAATCAATCACGATTGATAAAATTAATTGATTTATATTCTTGAATTACATTTTCGCATTTATATTACCAAAAAAATAGATATTTAACAAAAAAAGAAGAAAATCACTGTAACTTCTTAATGACACTAATGACAGAAGACCGTTATTTCAGTTACTTCAAGAAACCGACTGCTCTACTTTACTCACTTTCTCCCTCTGGCGCGCGCTCGCCGGTATCTCCCGTCCTCGTTTTCTTTTTAAACGATTATTGACAAAATTCGGAGGTCTGGAAGTGTTTAGTACTTATTTATTTAACGCGTTTACGTTAATTCAAATTGCGATTCGAACGTAATTATAACTCAAATTAGTTTCGTCAAGTTAAAACGCAATGAGTCCCATTCAAAAAGTAAGTCGCTCGTTATTATTTAGCACGCTTATGTTTCCAATTCATAAACCTCACTTACGGAATATTTCCGAAATATTTTGTATGAGAATTGTGCTAGTTGTTCGCAGGATTGATGTATTTTTTAATTTGCAGGTAAATCGAATTTGATACAAATTTTCTGCTAAGTAAATTAAATAATAATGTGCACGTTGTGGGTTTAGTTTTACGAAGAGTAGTTCAAATGTACCGAAGCATTAAACCGTACGAAAATAGATCAAATTTTGCATAAAATTGAAATCAGTAGTAGAAAATGTATACTGAATATTAATAAGGTAACACCGAAGAGATAGTAATTAGTAAATGAGTTGTTACAAATAAATATTTATTAATCGAACTCGAGAAGGTAATCGAGTTTTACGTTCGAAAGTAAAAGTCTTCACCGTACGATTACTTATTAATTATATTATTAAATAGAAACGATTTGTAGATTCCTTTGTACTAATCGAATGTAGTTTCGTAACGCTTTGTTCGAATCACGTTTCATTGTTTATAAACTTTTATCCAGTTCGTTCGAACTTCTTTGTAACCCCTAAAATCTAATAAAACGGTAAAGTTCCATCGAACTCGAACCACGTGAATAGTTTAACAGCCGCTTATTTTTAGAACGTGATTCGAAAAAAGCACATGCTCAAATACTGAGGTTAAAATCCACGCTTGTATCTCTAACGTTGCACTTTAGGTAAGCCAATGCGCGTTGATTTCTTCAATAATCTGCATTTACACACAAACATTCTTATCATTTGCATGTTTGCCCAAGTACACGGCTGGCGTGCTTACATAAAGTATCGATTTTTACGAGAAATTATCTAAAAAAACTGCCATTACGCCGCGTAATACGTGATAATTACGAGTGTAGGGTGAGAAGTTCTCGACTGAAATCGTTTAGAACTGTCTAGAGAGCAATTTAGAGTGCTCCAGATTCGTTTAGAACTGTCTAGAACCGTTTGGAACCATCCAGAATCCTTGAGAACTCTCTCAAATCATTCAGAACGCTCTATAGTCATTTAAAAGGCTCCAGAATCATTTAGATTTTATCGTGAGGTCTACAACATTTCACCTTACCCTTGTAATTAATTTCACCACAATTAAACGGGAGCATTGCGCGTCATACTAAAGCTAACGTTAAATTACTACTCTATCGAGTAGATTGTAAAATTACAGTAATAAAAATTAATAATTCGAGCATCGAGCGGTTGTAATTATTGTGCAATAGGTATAAATGTTTAAGCACACTTGGTAAAAAAATTCGATAGGTCGATCAACTCGTTCGCCACCACGTGTTCGTAGGTTTTGTACCTTATTTTTTTTTTATCTGTCGCGTTCGCGTGTCCGTTTCCGTTGCGTTTAATCGATACAGGGTGTTTGTCGGAAAGAATTCGTCTGTAGGTGTTATTCGAGATGAAAAACACCAACAATTTCATTAAAATTTAACGATATAAATTGATGTACAGTCGGACAGATTAATCGGCAATTTACCAATTTAGCGGGATATTTTTTTAGTAAAGCGCTTCTTGCGTACTTTGGAATATCTCCCGACGTGGATACTCCATTGTCTCGGGCGCCGATAAGCGTTTCGTAACGGTGGAAAGGTTTTATTTTACATACTACAAAAATCGTATCCCCGCCGAATTGTATGAACAATTCCGACGATTAAATTTGCCCGGCGATCTCGCGCGAGATATTTCGAAAACGCCAACTCGCAAAATCGTTTATCTTCTCGACGTTTAATGCTGGATAAACACGATAGAAATGCCTAATTTCTTGGTGATTTTCAGGTCTTCGACATGAGCTAGATTAAAGCGCAGCCATGAGTCAGTTCAAAGGATATTACGACGATAAAAACGGCATTGGATATTCGCAAGGTGAGATATACTTATTATAATACTCTATTTATTCTATTTAATTATCGCCGCTACCGATTAAATAAAGTCTACTCGAATATCGAGTGCGATTGTGCCACATGTTCGATTCCATTCATATCGCTAAAGGAATGCAAAAGAAGAAGGTTTTTAGTTGTACTTTTAGAAACGATAATGTTCCTTTCAAGTCAATCGCTCCATTGTTGACGAATATCTAATCAATGAGGGTAATAGCGATGCTTATTCATGAACAAACAACATCATCGTCTTTGTCCCGTTCCGATAAACAAACAAATGTTTTACCTAATTTTCGAGTTTAGTTATTGATATTACGAAATGTATTTTTACAGATACAGTTTCAGTCGACTATATAGTTTTGTTGCTAAATATTAGTGACCTCGGTAGATTAACATTAACATTGTCTTATTACAACAACACGAGATAAACAAAAAAAATGCCAGACGAAACGCAGTTAGAGTCGATTTAATTCACAACAAGCATCGAAATGCTGTTGCAGGACGAGAAGTTCAATTGCTACGGTAGCATCAACGACGATAAAACCGCGAAATCCTCGTTAGGTACAAATCGAATAAATCCAACTCGTTAATAGTGATTTGTGTTCTCGTGTTTTCCCAGGCATGAACAACGAGCTGTCGGAGAAGGCGCGCCTGCACCAACAGCAACAGCCGGTGAAGCTGCAACCGGCTTGGGAGGAGAACAATCTACCCGACGACGAGCTGAATTTCAGGCATCTAACCATGGCGGAAGCGAGCCTGGCCCTTCACGAGCCCCGCGATCGCAACAAATTCATCTACATCACGTTCCTGGTGCACGGCATCGGCGTCCTCACCTCCTGGAACATGTTCATCAACGCCTTCGAGGTACCTATTACATCGAACTAACGTATTAAATAATGTTTTTCGTTCAGTATTTCAGGTTTTACAAGTTCTCCGTCGAGTACATCGGCTTCAGCTTCGATTACAACAGCAACTTCATGCAGTACTTGACGTTTTGCTCGCAAATACCGGCGATCGTGTTCAGCTGGGTGAACGTGTTCCTGCAGCTGGGAGGGAATATCACGGTGCGGATCGTGTGGAGCATCGGCGTCGCCATCGTGGTGTTTATTGTGACCATTTTGCTGGCCATGTTGGACACCAGCGAGATTCCCTACGCTTTTTTCTACGTCACGCTCGTCTGCGTCGTTATTTTGAATAGTGAGTATCTGTTTTTTTGAGTGAGGTGGAATGTTAATGGAGTTTTTAACCGGATGATATGATTAGAAATGGGTTTACAATGCAGTTTTCAGTTGCTGAATATATTCGATATTTTAGGAAATGTAGCCATTTTAAATTTAAAATTTTGACACTTGACGTGTAAAGTCATTAACTAATCACTAAACGAAAGACGAAGACGAAAGACGAAATGTTCGGAAGAGTAGAAGAAACGAACAAAGGTGAAATGTAATATTAAATGACAGATGACATATCTAGGGTTTCTAGATCTAATTTTTGTAATCAAATTTTTTTGTTTGAAGTTTCTTGGGCCAAAAATAAACACTTTTTTTAGAATACAATGACGAATTTTCATAAAACTGTATTACAAACTAATTGTGGCCTTAATAGGAAACGGAGAAAATAAAAAATTTCACCAATGACTTCATAAGAATACGTAGTTTTATAATCGTACTCCTCTCAATTGTATTGTAATTTTAGGTGCCAATGCAATTTACCAAAACACGATTTTCGGTATGGCTGCGAAATTGCCGGGGAAGTACACGGGCGCTATAGTAATAGGAAACAACATTTGCGGATTATTCGCGTCGAGCGTTAGTTCTATTTCGAAATTGAGCGCGAGTAATCTCAAGATGGCGGCGATTTACTATTTCATAACCGCCTTGTTCGTGTTGTTAATTTGCTTCGATACCTACTTCGCTCTACCGTTGAACGTAAGTACCAAACCAATGTATTTAACGTTAACGCAATTAATAATGTTGTTGTAGAAATACTACAGGCACTTCGATTTGAAAGAGAAGAAGGAGAAACAGAAGGCGCTGGCGTCGAGTACCGGCGGCAGGCCGCCATATTGGTACATCTTCCGGAAGGCTCTACCTCAATTGCTCAACGTGTATTTGGTGTTTTTCGTCACCTTATCGATATTCCCCACAATACAAACCGGTAAAAATCATCGCCGGTTATTTACGTGTACAATCGCTGATTATTTCTTTTGATAGGCATCACCAAAAGCGATCCGGGTTTCTTCGTATCGGAGGATTTCTACTCGGAGATAATGTGCTTCATGACCTTCAATCTGTTCGCTTTGATAGGTAGCTGGCTACCTTCGTATTTCATATGGGTAACTTACAGATAACCTTCCGGTTAAAAAAAAACATTTTAATAACGCTTTGTATTCTCCAGCCCGGTCCTAAATGGTTGTGGATTCCTGTGGTTCTTCGACTGGTTTACATACCGCTGTTTCTACTCTGCAATTACAACGTCGAAGGAGTCGATAGAGTACTACCTATTGTTATACAAAATGACTATGTTTACTTCTATTTAAGCGCCACGATGGCCTTAAGTAGCGGTTATTTGAGTTCCTTGGCGATGATGTACGTTCCCAGGTAAGTAGCTGGATAACCGCTACGATAGAGTCCTTATTGTGTTTTATTTGTAGCGCTGTAGAAGAGCGTTACGCCACTACTGCGGGGATGTTCGCCGCAGCGGCCTTAGCCTCGGGGATATTCTCGGGCATCGTGATGACCTTCGGGTGGCCTTGGTTCATATCGCACGTGGGCAACTAGCAAAAATGTTTGGTATATGACACAGATGTGAAGGAGTTCGTCATAAGGTTTAGTTGATTACTCGGAACTGGTCTGGTCATATACCCCGCTAAGGCGAGAAGCGTTAGGTTTTAGTTTTTGTCTATAATTACTATTTTTTTTTTTATAATTAAATTTGATGTTTATTTTTGGCGGTTAGTTGAGTGAATTTGTGTTGAGTTTGATTTCGAATTCGTTTTTTGTTTTAATATTGATCGGTTGTGCTTGTATGTTGTAACCCTACTTAGTACAAAATATGTTACTATAGTGGGATCCATGTTGAAATGTTGGTATTACTGAAATTTGAACGTGGATTTCATTAGAACCGTTGCCAATTTATGAATGATGTGTTGATAAACTTATATGTTGTGGTGAATTAGTGTTAATTTTATGGATTAAATTAATTAATTGTGCTTCCCCCATTAGTTGGTGAATGTTAGATAAACTATATGGGAGATGCACTTCATTTTTTGCCAACTGTACCATCTAAATATTCTTGATATTTTTGCGATTCGAACGTCAGACAATCGGTATTAATATTGAAAATTACTATCGTACTTTCTTTCATTTTAACCAGTATGATAAAGCCTAGTTTATATAGATGCGAATTGCGAATTTCATAATAAAAAATACATTATGAAATATTTAATACAAATTATACTGTGTATTATTCGTAATATTCGTAAAAAGTTACATCTCTAAAATTTTCCGACACTGAAATCGACCAATCAAAACAGAATTCGCATCTATTTGAACTGGGCTTTAGGCGAGTTATATAAACGCTTCGTAACTATTCGAAATAACTGCCAACATTGTAATATATTAGAAACATTGTTAGTTAATTCATAGTCCGTGCGAATTGTATTGTTGAATGTAAAAATGCTATTTATCAACAAAGCGCGTATAAAATAATCATAATCATATCATCAAAATCACCTCACATTAACTATTGGAAAAATTTTATTAGGATGAAAATGTATTAATTTATATTATATGTATAAAACTATTTTATTATATAACAAACAGGGTCTTTTTGACCAATATAGCGGCGTATTAGATATGTAAGTTTATATACAAATAAAAATATACCTTTTATGCACTATCGGTGAGTTGAAAGACCAATGTAAGAAGACTAGTGGTTTTAATCGTGCCTTGGTTGGTTTGTAAAATAACGAGATATGGAATAATGAAATCGATGATGCACAGAAGATTAATAAAAGATGAAAAATCCCGGGAAATAAACTTTGGTTTCAAATTCTATTCATTAAACGAGAAATTTATAAACACGTCCTGGCATTTTCCACCTTGCACCTCATAAAGTAGCGTAAAAATCGTTTCGAAGTTGAAAGAGTTTTTTTTTAAATGATATTTTTTATATCGAAAGTTTGAATTGAATTTTACTAACTTTTATACTTTTTTTGTAAACTGCTGTATACCTACTTATAGTAAACTTAAACACGCGACATAATAACGTATATCTTACCTATGAAGATTATTCTGATTAAAAAAATATATACGAGTATAGGTAATTCCGATTAAATTAAACCAAGAAGACAATAACGTTGTCTTTGTAAGAATAAATAAATAAAAACGTTCACACCAACACATCAACAGACAAGTTTTATTTGCAAAACGCACGAATAAAACAACTTTACACGTAACATTTATTTAAAAATCGGTAACGTACATAAATTAAACAAGATCGTAAACTATAACTAATAAATCGTTCACCTTAAACGTACATTCTTTGGCTTTAAAAAAAATTCGTAATCGCCGCGCTTCTTTACAACGACAAGAACCACAACAGTTGCACCGTTCGTTTTATACAAATAAGGCACTGGAACCTCTTTCGAACAACAATTAGATAAAATTCAAAACACACATCACACCATAGGATCGAGATACGTGACGAGATCCTTCTCGACCGGCTTCAAATACCCTTCAGCGTCCAGCGAATCCCCGCCGGGCATCACCAGCGGCGGCGGTCGCGGCAAACTCCTCGCCCCCTTCGTCCCGCCCGTCCCCCGCGCCGCCTCCGCCTCCAGCCACTCGCAGATCGTCGCGAACGCGATCCTGCCGCGCGGCTCCGCCACCCAACAGCGCCCCATCAGCTCGTAGACCGCCGCCGGACATCCGCCGGGCCGCTCCAGCCGCACGTCGGCCAATATGAAGCGCAACACCTCCTCGTTGCCGTGCCCGTAGTACGGCTGCTTGCCGTAGCTGAAGATCTCCCACAGCACCACGCCGAACGACCACACGTCCGATTCGAGCGTGAAGCGCCCGTAGTGGATGCTCTCCGGCGACATCCAGCGGATCGGCAGCAACCTCGAACCTCCTATCTACGAACCAACTCGTTAAACACCGTCTCTTAGTTAACGTTCGGTTGCTTACTTTGTAGTAGTCGCAGGTGTAAACGTCCCGGCTCATGCCGAAGTCGGCTATCTTCACGACGAGGCCGTCGCCGACGAGGCAATTGCGACAGGCCAGGTCCCTGTGGACGAACCTCTGCGAGGCCAGGTACTCCATGCCTCTGGCTATTTGGAGGGCGGTGGAGAGCAGCTCGGTTCTGCCCAATTCCGGCAGGTCGGAGTCGGGTTTGGATTGAGTTTGGGCGCGCAGCAGCTCGGCCAGGTCGCCCAGCGGCATGAACTCGAACACCATCATGGGGTTCACGTTTTCGTCTAGAGGAAATACACGAGGAAGTAGTCAATTTGTTTGAGTGTAATGAAGGGTTTGGGAGATTGTGGAATGATAGTTTTTGGATGAAGAAGATGTAGTAGAAGATGAAACATTTGTTGTTGGAATGATTGGAGATTACAGGCTTATTGGAGTGCAAGGGAGGATGGGGCATTTTTGGTCTGGAAAGGAATTTGATGAAACAGAAAAAGATGTAGTAGAAGATGAAACATTTGTGGTTGGAGTAGAATTTGGTGGAACAGGAAATTTTTGAGCAATATAAAAGTACCTACCTACGTTGAATTTGGTGGTTTTGTTGAAAAATTCCTGAATAACGATTGTAAATGAAAGTAAGGATAAATAATTACAAATACAAACATTATGATAACTAAATATACTAAATATTTGATGTTTTAGGTGAAAATTTAAAATGTTACGACGATTCAATAAAGAATTTAAAAGCCAATTAAAGAAATTAACGAAGTCAAACCAATTAAAAACATCCAAAACGACTTAATTTCAACATCAACTAATTACCCATCGCTTTTAAAAAAACCCTCAATTCGTTTCGATCTTTATTTCAAATCCACCATTCCCTCCACCCACTCCGCAACCGACCAATTCCTTTGTCAACCCACCTTTCAGGACGACTCCGAGCAACGATAGTATATTCGAATGTTTGAATGCGCTCATTATTTCCACTTCCCTCAAGAAATCCTCTTCGGCCTCTTTGTTTGCGGCGTCTTTCAGCACTTTTATCGCCACTACTCTAGTTTGGTCGTCGTCGCAGTGCAGTTCACCTGCGAATAACCAAAACGAACAACCTCAATAACATTTCTAATAACCGAAGAATATGTTAGAGAAATAGATATTGTGAGTGCAAAGTGTAAATGAACCACCACCCCTGTTACCGGGGTTGTAATTCGAGCGGTGTTATGTTTAGTTTGCTTCCATAAGCGGGTAAGATTATGTTTCTTTGTTGTACAGAATGTGTTGATTTTTGAATGATTTTGTGGTGGTAAAGAAAGGTTGTTTAGAAGTGTTGTTAAAATTGGTAAATGTAGCGAAATGTAAGGAAAATAATTATTTTCGTATGTTTAATACAAAAGTTTTAGGTACGCCTATGGCTAGGGTTTTTGAACCTGCCAAACTAACAATACACGATCGTTCTCAGCAGAAATAAGACCCGACGATTGCGTTTCAAACGGCACAGAGACCGACGATCCGGCGAAATGTACAACATGTACAGGCTCGTCTGCAGACGCTCCTCCACCTTCGGCTTCGGCGACGTCCCGGCGTCGCGACGGCTGCCGCTGCTCGGCGACGCGCTGCCCCTTTTGCTGGCCGGCGGCCCGGCCGCCCTCCATCGCTACATGGACGCCCGCCACCGCCGTTTGGGGCCCATTTTCCGGCACGCCGTCGGCCCCGTCGAGGCCGTTTTCATCGCCGATCCCGACCAAATGAGGCTCGTCTTCGCCAAAGAAGGTTAGATTTTTTTTTTTTTCATAATCCATTGAAAATTCTGTTTGTCGCGGCTATCGCGTTTTAGAATAAACAACCTTGGGTAATTAGATATTATGTGAATTAAATGAATCCGGCGAGATAAAAACGAGCAGTGGTGTAGAATTGTAAATTGTAAATTTGTTTGAGTGTAAAGAAGTGTTTGGGAGATTGTGGAATGGTGGTTTTGGATGAAGAAGATGTAGTAGAAGATGAAACATTTGTTGTTGAGATGATTGTAGATCAGATGAAGAACATATAGTAGAAGATAAAACATTTCTTGTTGGAATGATTGTAGATTGCAAGCTTATTGGAGGATGGGGCATTTTTGGTCTGGAAATGAATTCGGCGAAACAGAAAAAGATGTTGAAGATGTAGTAGTTAGTATCGCGTTTAGAATAAACAACCTTCAGTAATTAGATACGAAATAAAAACGAGCAGCGGTGTAGAAACGATTTTGCTAATTCCAGGGAAACATCCGCAACACATCAAACCGGAATCCTGGCTGGTGTACAACGAAAAACACAACTACACCAGAGGTTTGTTCTTCATGGACGGCGAAGAATGGCTGCACCACAGGAAGACCATGAACACCATCCTGCTGAAAGGCGATTTATCTTGGCTGGAGCGATCCTGCGACGAGTCCACCACCGCCTTCACCGATCGAATCCGCCTGCAAGCCGACCGGGAATTCCCCGACATCGAAAGCGAGTTATACAAATGGTCTTTAGACGTCATCCTATCGATTCTAGTAGGCGCCGGGAGTTACACGAGGTGCAGTCGAAGCGTGAACGAATCAATCAAACGACTATCGAGCATCGTGCATACGATATTCGAAACCACCTGCAAGTTGCAGCTGATTCCCGCCAAACTGGCGATGAAGTACAACATCAAACGTTGGAGGAACTTCGAGGAATCCGTCACGGAATCGCTGCGACTCGCCAATGAGCTACTAGAGGCGATTCGCGAGTACCAAACCGACGACGGGTTGTTGCATAAAATGAACCAAGCGAACATCGATAGAGCGAATTCGATTAGAATTATAGTGGATTTGATATTGAGCGCTGGCGATACCACAGCTTACACGATGGCTTGGTTGTTGTACTCGATCGCGAAGCACCGAAACGTGCAAAACGAGCTCAGAGAATCGCTGGAACTCGATCCGCAAACTCCCTACTTGCGGAATTGCCTTAGAGAAACTCTTAGATTGCACCCGGTGGCTCCGTTTCTAACGCGCATACTGCCCGAGGAGCTCATTCTCTGCGGTTATCGGATACCAGCAGGAACGCTGCTCGTTATGTCTATATACACCAGCGGTCGGGACCCCGAGTACTTCCCCGAACCGCTGGAGTTCGATCCGAAGAGATGGTGCAGGAGCACCGCCGGCGGGCGGAGCTCCAGCAGGCTGGCGAGTTTACCGTTCGGCATCGGCGCCAGATCGTGCATCGGCAGGAGAATCGCCGAGACCCAGCTGCAGATGACGCTGGCGAAGATCGTTAGAAACTTCGACGTGAGTATCCTCAACGCGGATCGGATCGAAGACGTTCTGATGATGGTGTCGAAGCCGTCGGTGCCTCCGCGGTTGGTTTTCAATAAACTTTAGAGCTACTCACCTTTGAATACTTTACCGAAACATCCTTCTCCTACTTCCTTGTGGAAGGATAGCGTTTCTTTTTTCAAAATCGGGATGGTCGTCGCTGGACAGGATGTGTACTGGGGATTCGGAGCGTACCTCTCTGGTATCAGGAAGTTTTGTTTTAGACCTAATGGAGACGACTGAAAAAAATATTCCGTTGTAGTGTAATAGAGTTAGATGTGCCTCACCAAATGTAGCTTGGACACAACACTGGAAATCTTGCGATCTTTACACTTTAGTTCAAGTTCTTAGTATTTTCCCCTGGAGCATCCAGTTTCTCAATTATCGCAACTACCAAGCTACTTTTAATGAGGTATAGATTAAATGTATTGAGAATTGTTTGCATCAAAGAATGGATGCTAAAAGAGCATCCAGTTTCTTTCACTTTTGATGAGGTACAAATTAAAAGTAGTGAGAATTGTTTGCATTAAAGAGGATATTACTAGATATATCATAAAAGCAAGTATATTTCTGAATGGGTGCAAAGTTTATCAGTTCTTTACTTACATTTTCCCTTCTTTTCCGTCGCCTTCGGTTCACGTAGATAAAAAATAAGGTACTAATTAACAAAAGGAACGCTATCACCGAAACCACCGAAACGTAGACGAGATGCTGGTTGAGATCCGGATTGGACACCACCGTCGTGGATTTATCCTCCTGGAAAAACAAACCGGAATTTCGAACGAATTTATCGTTATTAATCCGCCAATTTACGTTACCGTTAACGTTGCCAAATGCGGCTTGGGCGTGTTGTTTAAAGGCATGTGATTTTCATGCGAAGCTATCGGTTGCACCGGAATCCTCCCCGAGCTCTCATCCACTGAAAGATTACCAAAAAAAAAAAACTACTATAACACCTACTGAATAGTTTCTAATTAACCATCCAAATAACCCGATAATAGGTCGACTTACGTAAAGCTTATACACACATTAAAATAAACGTTATTATACATGCAACGTTTGTTGTTGTAGCTCTTCTCTTCCGACGTATACAGAACCAATCCACAAACAATGCTCGTTCGGCCAGTAACAATAAACTCCCCGTCGTTGTGGAAACAAACAGACAGCTTTATAATCGAATAAAACGAGTCCAAAACGCTACAAACCCAAATTTTATGGTGGATGTTACGACGGGCGAGCACCTGGTACTAGCACCATACCGTCGTAAAACCCAACACCGCGAGTTCGAGATTAGATTGGAGGTTTAAAGTGGAGAGAAAAGGGGTGTTCTTACCGGAGGCGACGACCTTCCTGGGACATGTCCCATCTGGGTAGGGTGGCTGGGAGTCGTGGGTGCACACGCAGGTGTGGTTCGCTCCGTTGTCGTACGGTTTGCAGGCGTTCTCTCCGACGCAGGAGCGAGCGTTACAGGGGCCCGGATAGGCCACGAATTTTCTATCGCCTGCGAAAAATAGCAATGAAAATGGATGTAGCAGAAAAATTTTATCGCTTGTACAGGTTGCTGCATTATTTTCATACATTTCTAAGGTCTGGAAACATGGGTCAAAAAAGTGCACCGTTATTTGAGGATGAAACGGGGGTTCCAAAAACGGCCGATAGGTGGCGATGTTGTAAAAGAACCACGGTTTTTTTGCGTACGAATTATATAGAATTAACATTAAAGATTATATTCGAACTAAAAATAGATAGAAAATATAAAAATATACTTAAATCAGCGATGATTTTGTTGTAAACATCATGCCTCACGTACCTTCGGTTAATGTATTTCTCCATTTTCTTCTCGAAATGTCAAAAAATAATTTTTGAAGTTTTGACAGCTCGAACTGTCATTTCACACAACCGCGATTTATATGTAGCGCGACGCTGATTGGTCGAGATAAGTTCAAGTGAAGCTCAAAAAGTCCTCAAATAACGGGACACATTCACATTATATACGTTGAAATAAATACCGAAACGATGGGAAGAAAAAAGTAGCATCTCGATCTCGCGTCAACGTCGATTAGACCGCGTGCATGACATGTGTAAAAAGGCGATTTCCATTGACCCCTTATCAGTTTTCGCTCACACAAAATAGGTCTGTTCGGTCTAATTGAGCGTCGCTCGGAGTTCCGAGTATTTCTCATTAGCTCGGCCACGCCGTATTTGTCGCACACAAGGCTATTTGTTCGGTAGCGTTTTTTTTTTATTTTTATTTTTTACCCGACCGGCCGATCCGATTTGCCGCCGATTTAACTGCGTTTTAACCGCGAACAACTCTGGGCTTTCACGATCGGGATTCGACGCTGTATCGGATGAATAACGCCTGTTCGCTTAAATCCCATAGATCATATACACCTTGCTCTATTTCCGATTGCAACATGGTCATTTCAATGAGCGGAACAAAGAAAGATTATTAAAATGACAGGTGTCAAAGTGAAAAGTTGCAATGACATAAATGTCACTCTTTCCTTTACCTTTATAAGTGTCTAATTCAAGTCTTTGTTGCACCAATAGCCTATGTTGCAATGAAAAATGGATTTGTATATGATCTAAGGCTTTTCCCTACGCGGAAAAATCGAAACATACGCTGGAAATCCGAGTTTTACGAGAGCGTTTATCGGTTATATTTCAGTAGGTCAACGGTAATTTCTTTTTTACATAGTTATTTTCGTCAATACATAAACACAAGTATCGTTTTCCTCTCTAGTGCTTTCTATTGTATTCCCTCGTGCTCGCGCGATTTCCAGTACTCGGCTTCGCCTCGGACCGCAAACTCGCCTCTCTACTGTAAATTTATTCGTCCACACATACGCGATGAATTTATCGCTTCTCGTGGGTACTCGAAACCGGGTAATAAATAATTTAACACGTAATAATACACCTTCGCGGGCAACAAGTAGGCATTAAAAGCGGAATAACTGACGGGCGATTTTTAGATTTTTTTATTGGCAATTGCGGCACTTCCTCGATGCTAATAGCACGCTCAAAGTTAATTTATTGTTATTATTATTATTATTTCTCGTCACAATGTGTACGAAGTTTGTTGAAAAAGTAATTACGGCACGCGTAAATACTTCTGACAATTCCAATTAGTCGCTGCTCTTTTGGCGAATTTAATTAAATACAAGACGATATTGAAATCAAGCCTTTTAGATATATTTATTTGATTTATTACGAGGGATTTCGATTCCTCCTTCGAGTACATTATTGTAACTTGCTCGCGTTCAAATCGCTTTGAATTACTTTTCGAGCGCCCAATTAATTAATATCCGACTAATTAAATCGTCTAATGATGTGTATCGGATTCCGAAATTTGAATAAAGAATTTTTTTTACGCCTGTGTACTTACCGGATTTTATGTACTTTCACTCTTAGCACGTGCACCTTGAGAATTTTTTCATAAATCGAGTTATTTATTCATTCGGAATGTATTAGTGGGTACGTTTGTTTAAGAAAATTAACATTGTTCAGGTAATTAGATAATCAAATGAATTAGTAAATGTGTCTCTATAAATAATGGAAGTTTCTACACCGGTGTGTGTCTAATTATTGATTTTAAATTAACAAGTCTTTTTCCCTAGATTTCAGAAATGATTACCATTCAATGGCAACAATGTACTTATTTAATAACAATAAAATAGGTAAATGGTATGTGAATCTGTTAAGGGAATTTCTCTCGTTAGCATGGCTGGAAATTCAATAAATCGAGGCCGGGGCGCTCTAATAAGGACTGGCAGTACAATTATTGAGTGATTTACGTTCGATGGCGATCGTGTTTTGCATCGACGAACGTTTTCCCTTTTCCCATTCTATATCTTTCCACTTTCCGCCAGTTCAACTTTACACTTTAATTGCCCCGACGGTACGACCGGTACCTTACATAGTTTGTAAATTCCGCCGTCTCTTTATTTCTAATAAACAATCGGAGCTCTCTAACCAAATAAAGACTTATTTCTACCTTTATTTATTAACGAACAATCTAGTTATAGCAAATGTCATAATTACCAATGACGTCATGAGCAATACTCGCCGATATGCGCACCTTGAATTAGACATTTGCTGGAGTGAAATTGAATTGCATAAATATATCGAAGTGGTCTCGTCAATCAAACAATCAATTAACGTCGAATCGGTCGATTTTTGATCATTGCGAATGGTAACGATGTGAAATAAAAAAAAAAGGATCAGGAACACCCATTCTCGCCCTGCGGCCATTTCGAATGGCCTTTTAACGAGCGGGCGTTCGGCCACAACCGAGTGCCTAATGTTACGGAGAACGGAAAAAAGGCGAGATTGGTAGACTTGACTATGATTGATTGTTAATGACGAATACAAATTGTTTGAAATTACTTTGGTTAATTATAGCGCGCTAAAGTAGATCGAGCTGGTGCCTCGGGGGGAACGAATTTACTCGCGAAGGAGATTTTGCGCAAAATTCGCTGTCAAAACTGTCATTTTTCGAATTTGACAGTTCGTATGTCATCCGCGTAAAATGATGTAAAATCACAAGTCTATTATTTAGAGATAAATCGTTGGAGTATAAATATTTTGCCACCGGTATTACCTCAAACATAACTCATGCTCGTCGATTATACACTCTATTTAACAAGAAAGCACTTTACAAATCGATATTTCTAAGTAAACATTCGATTTCGTAAAAGAGGTAAATAGTTTTATGCGCCCGTTTAAGACGCCATTAACTTCACGTTTTGTTTAAAGACACTCTACTTAGGCCGTTGCCTACGTTGTTTGTTTACCGATTAACACGTTCGTTTTAATTAGAAAACTAATGGCGCAAAAATATTCGATTCGAACACGAATCGCAACGCCTACTCTACACAACAAATATATTAAATTTGACAGATATGTCACAGGTGAAAAATATTCCCAAGGGTACTAAAATTCAAAGGATTGCTCGATCGGCACATGTGCGTGACGTCACAAATAGTGTTACGATGGTTTTTGAGCAATCCTTGGGAGTTATAAATGTCCTTGGGTAATGTGGTAAGTATAAAAATAAGAAGGCTTCGACTATTAATCGCATCGGACCTTGAATAGCCGCGGAATGATTAAGTTGTTTTCGAGGATTATGTTAAGTCGATTTGGGAATTTCGAATTGAATATAATCCCGCGGAAAATGTGATATATGATACGCGGCGGGTTCGTTATAAAGCGCGTCAGTTGATCGATTAATCGATAAGAATCTGGTTTTGTCCTGACATCGAATCCGAAAGAAATCTAATCGGGAAAATGAAATATATTGACGTGTTTTTCCGTTGCGACGTAAAAAAGGTTTTTTTTTATATTGGAAAAAGTAGGTAAATGTTGTGGGAATTAATTATCGCGATATGAACAAACTCTGCCGCGTAGAGATTAGATATGAATGGCAAATTTTGGTAAATTTCCCTATTATTATTTCCCTACAGCGAATAAATTACTAAAAATTAATTTACATTCGTATTTACATTTTATCTTACCCTATATCTAAAATAAATAGAAAATTCAACCGAACTTTCGTTTCGAATTAGCGAAGATTTCAAAACGTTGTTGACGAAAACTCGTTTGTTAACCATTAGTTAACGATATTCCAAAAGTTTCTAGATAACTTCCTTTATCAGAAGGATTCATCCAGGTGCTAATAACCTCGATATTTTAATTGAATTTAAAGAAACTACAGGACACTCATCACTTCTGCGGCTTTCCAATTTACAACCTACTACAACGGCATAATAAATATCCTCGTAAAACGTAATTAAAAGTCGAAAAAACTATAAAACTTTCGCAACGAGCAGGTACTTAGTTGTTTAATCTCGCTATCTACCAGGCGACGAGAGAAGTAGTATTCGTTTTTCCTCGATACAATGTCCCGCAAATGCGCGAATAAAAAATTCAAAACACAATACCTTTATCAGCGGCTCTTTTCTTCTCCATCGTATGTTATTCCCCGCGTCCCATGGTGCACAAGTGGTCGAACTTTAGGCGAAAAACCGGCGTCTCGGCGCGCGTCCGGAGCTTTTTCTCGCCGGCCGGTTCGGAGCTTTTCGGTAGCTTTCGAAAAACTGAACGCGGAAACGGAGACCGGAGGCTCCTCGATGTTGGTCGGGTCTCCCACCCGCCTCGACGCCGTCGCTCTTTCGCTCTTTCGCTCGACATCGCCCTCCGGGTTGTCTCTCTCTCGACGCGGATTTTTCGGGCTCCGGGGAGGCCCCGGTGAGGCTTACCTTTTAATCGCTTTTTGCGCTAGTTCTTAATTTTTTTTTTGTAATGTTCGTAATGACTTGGAATATGTCGAAAATTGGGCGATTTTTGAAATTTTTCGGTTCTTCGAAAATTGTAAAGGAATGTTTTTGCTACAAATTGAAATAATCGGGATGCTTGTATCTCAATTGGTTATCGAGATAATTGCGATTGTTAAACGAATTGCTCTAAAAATGGTAGTTTGTATAAACGATGCATAAAAACGCGAAATATCTCGAAAATTAGGTGATTTTTGAAATTTTTCGATTCTTCGAAAATTGTAAAGGAATGTTTTTGCTACAAAATAAAATAATCGCGATGCTTATATCTCAATTGGTTATCGAGATAATTGCGATTGTTAAACGAATTGCACTAAAAATGGTAGTTTGTATAAACGATGCATAAAAACTCGAAATATCTCGTAAATTAAGCGATTTTTGAAATTTTTCGTTTCTTCGAAAATTGTAAAGAAATGCTTTTACTATAAATTAAAATAATCAGGATGCTTATATCTCAATTGGTTTTCGAGATAATTGCGATTGTTAAACGAATTGCACTAAAAATGGTAGTTTGTATAAAGGATGCATAAAAACTCGAAATATCTCGAAAATTAAGCGATTTTTGAAATTTTTCGGTTCTTCGAAAATTGTAAAGGAATGTTTTTGCTACAAATTGAAATAATCGGGAGGCTTGTATCTCAATTGGTTATCGAGATAATTGCGATTGTTAAACGAATTGCACTAAAAATGGTAGTTTGTATAAACGATGCATAAAAACTCGAAATATCTCGAAAATTAAGCGATTTTTGAAATTTTTCGTTTCTTCGAAAATTGTAAAGAAATGCTTTTACTACAAAATAAAACAATCAGGATGCTTATATCTCAATTAGTTTTCGAAATAATTGCGATTGTTAAACGAATTGCACAAAAAATAGTAATTTGTAAACGATGCATCAAAACTCGAAATATCTCGAAAATTAGACGATTTTCGAAAAATTTTCATTCTTCAAAAATTGTAAAAAACCATTTTTCCTACCAAACAAAACAAACAGCTTGTTTTTATCTCAATTAATTTTCAAGAAAATAACAATTTTCATTAGCATTTCCATTTCTCCAAACTCTTACACATATCTATCAATGTTTTCTTCTTCTTCATTATCATCATCATCATTTTTTTTGTGACTTTGTTCGGATTGAATTCTTCTTCGGGCCGAAGGTACTATTATAATAATCGAGTTTTATCTGCGGTTTAATGGGGTACCGATAAGATAGAAGAGATTAATTTCGAGAGGGAAGAGCCGAGGCGTGACCGGACCCCGACTTGAAAAAGGCCGGGTTTATCTCGATGAGTTATGATTTTTTTTTTTTTTTTTTCGTTATTGTTATCTCGAATTCGAAGATTTTAATTCGATATACGCCTACCTAAGCCCCTGCGGGTCGTTAAATCGCCCGAATTATTCATGCACTAAAAATAAACGACGCCATTTTACGTGAAAACGCATCAGTTGACTTGGCACTTGTCACCTGTCAAATTCGAATCGGTATGACCAACATAAACTCATCTTCTGATACGCCTACTGAGCCTATAAAATTAACATTTCTAATTCGACTTCTAATACTTATGTTCGGCCTAAAGAATATCTATGGGATTTTATTTATATCGTATAACGTTACGAAATTTCTCTATATACAGGTTTTCGAGCCGCTAGTTTAATTTATTTTACGTTTACCGCTTTATTGGAATAATAGTAAATAGTCCTAATGATATAAGTTAGGTTTCTTTCGGAGTCCGTTTTAACCGTTGAATAAAGTATTCAATGGGAAAATGGGATTAAAAATGTGAAAGGTTGTATTATGTATAAGGCAATTCATTGTAATTAATTGCGCATAAAGTAGGTAAAAATTACAAATATTACGAAACTGCATTTTTGCTCTAACGAAAGAACCTATATGTAGTATTATTGTTGATATTCCTGCTGGATATATTATAATAATTTAATACTTCTATTGAACTTTTCAACCAATAAAGACCGTTCGCTAGATAACCGATGTCAAAATGTCAATTCTTATCGTAACCCATAAAGATATAATTGTCGAGATAATGGCGTATAAATATTATTTTTTTTTCCTACCATTTAAGCCTCATAATGCGCGCTATATTTCGTGTCGTGATTACCGATGTATTAGACAAATTCGTCGAATACAAGACGAATTAATAAAATTTGTTTTGGGACGACGATAACGTTATAAATAAAAATAATTAAATAACGAAAGGTCAAAAAATTAAAATTAAATTATACGTCAATTATACGGACATTGGATGCATTTGTATGGAATAAACAGAGTTCACTGATTACCAATAGAAAGATTATTACAATTTACAATACAAATTGTTTTCCTGCTATCGAAGCATAAAGACGACAGATTGTGTAATTTAACTTGCTAGTTTACAATACTAATTTTATATTACGTTGATTTTACTTATTTTAAAATCAATTAGTAAGCTTATTAACAAACAAAATAATCGCTTATTGGCTGAAAATAAGTATACGAATAGAGCAATCGCAGTAAATCCGCAGAGATCTAAATAATAAAAAAGAAAAAAACACCCAATTCAATGCTCTATTATCATTCCCATGAATAATTTATGCCCGTTCACCTCACCTATGGATCGTTTCTCTTAAGTGTGCCTTCTTTTAAAAAGAAAAATCACAGCCGCATTCCATCACTAAAATCAAGCCGATCTTTTTGTACCAAACAGTTGCTTCCATTTGGTCCATTTAGTATTTTCATAGTCCGTCCCGCAAACCGGCAAATCTCCATCCTTTGTTCACAAACTTTATTCCCTCGCCTAAAACCATTTGCAAATACAAATAAAACCCTTATTTGCAGATTTTATTCCATTATTAAATTTGAGGAATTTACGCGATAAAATAAATAATTACTCATCTGTTATTTTGTATCTATTATTACTATACTATACAAAGTAGATGTTTATATTTTACAGCGCTTCAAATTGTTATTAGTTCTTTATATGTAAATAATTGATTGTGGTGAAAATTGGAAATTCGTCCGGTTTGCGGGACGGACTATAACCGTTGACGCCTCGTCAGTCGTATTGTTTCAGCGTTTCGGCGATTGTTTGTGTTTTCAGGAGGGCTCTTCGTTTGAAGGCGAGACATTTGGATCGTCTTTGAGCGTAAACGGCATGTCGCGAAAAACGCCGAAAGAAGTAGAGAGAAAAAAAATTTTTGAAAATTTCTGTTTAATTAAATTACATCGCTGCTTCCACTATCGCCGGGAATTTGTAAATATCGTTCGTAATAAGTAGATACAAATCGTTAATTCGAAACGATCTATCAAGAGTACAGCTTGTTCAGAGCTAATTGCCGGACGATATCGTGGAACGGTTGCTTCGGTATCCTCTCGGGGAAGTTCTCCACGATCTCGTGCATTTCCCCGAGAAACTCCTCGGTTCTCCTATCGTGCACATCCTTCAACTTCAAATCCTCGTACACCTGCATCACTTTCCTCGCCGATTCCGCGTCCCCGTTACCGTAATTCTCCTCTATCACCTTCCTCTGCGCCGGATTGGCCATCTTCAAAGCCGTGGTCACCAGCCAGGAGTTCCTCCCGTTCACTATATCAGGACAGCTATTCTGGAACTTGCTTTCCTCCTCGAACACCCCGCTGAAATCGTTCTAACAACAAACTTATTTACATCTACGAATGTATCAATCTTATACACCAACCTGCACTTGAAAGAACCGGCTCATCGGCACCGAAAACTTCTTCATGCAATCGTGGGTTTCCTGGTCTTTTACATTGGCCAAATACAGCCCGCTTCTGGCGCTGCCGTTGAACACGTAGAGGGCCTTGTCGAAGCGATGGCGCACCAGCTTCTGGAAGTCCTTCAAGTCGAGCTTCTTGATGTCCATGTACTGGGCGATGATCATCACGAACATCTCTTCGGCGTATAAATCGAGGATGTCGAGGCAACAGGGATGGCCGGCCAGGCGTTTCGTTAGCACCATGTAGGCTCCGGTGGCTAAATAGTGGCTGTCTAAAATGGTGAGCTCCATCGAGACACCGTCCTTTTTGTACCAGGCCGGTTTGTTGTAGCGCACTTCGGACTTGTCCAGAATGTCGTCGACGATAATCTGGCTGGTTTCCAGCTACAAACAATCGTTAATTGAATAGTAGAGTGTAAAATAAAGATGATAAATTACTGTTCTGTAGGCCCAGGACATTAGGCAGGCTCGTTTGATGTTTTCTTCGGTTAGTTTATCGGATTCTTCGACTGCTTTGTAGAAGTATAATGGTAGTACGGCGGAGGAGAGGAAATATGGATCGTCGTGGGTGACGGTGTAATCCATTAGAACTGGAAATCGTTCCAGGAGGCCTGGGAATTGTTTGTATTGGGAAATGGCGTCGGTGAGGTCTTGCACCATGAGTGGATAGTAGGTTTTTAGTTCGTCCATTTCGTGTTTGAAGAAACCATCATCGTGGGGTGTGGATGAAAAACTTGAAGAACAGTTTGGAATCGAAAAAGGTGTATTAGTGAAATTTTTAGTTAGAGCTTACCTGTTGGATGTTGGTGAAAAGAGTTTTCTTGCTGGTGAATTCGATCTGGTGAAATTTTTCAAACGGGGTAACAAAAACATTGTGTGGAATATGGTAGAGTATTTAGAATTTTGCACTTCTTTATTTATAAAGTGGAGTGTTGTTCAAATTGGGTATATGAAAAAAATTATTATTCTTTTTAATAGAAATACAGGGTGCTTCTTAATAACTCTAATTATGAGTAACACTAATGACGAAATATAACCTTCCTGTACTACACCCTGTATAAAAACCAAACAATATTTTGCAAAACAACTTTTTGTACTTAGAACATTGTATAATTGGTAATCGGTTTTTGTAAGATTAAAAAATTAATGAATCGAGGATTAATTAAGGACAAATTTATTATTATGGAATTCAAATTGGCAACTGTCTAATGAATCGATTAATTTAACAATACTATCGATAAATTTAGCTCAACAGAAACGAGTGCATCAATATAATCACTAAAAGATATTCCATTTTAAATGCTTTCCTTGCTTTGAACAATTTCATATTTTATTGTACATACATGTCATAACATAGAAACCATCATTCTGAAGTAGAAAGAAGTACATGAACCTCATGAATACAAATTATTCATAGCCAACTGCTGCACCAAATCGTGAAAGGGTTGTTTGGGTATCCTCTTCGGGAGCTTCTCCACCACGTCGTGCATCTCCTTGACGAATTCCACCGTTCTTTCGGCGTGCACTTGGTCCAATTTCAACTCCCTGTACACCTCTTTAACCAGCATCGCAGACTCCATCTTGCCGTTACCGTAATGTTCTTCTATAATCTTCTTCTGCGCCGGATTGGCCAATTTCAAAGCAGTCGCCACCAGCCAGCAATTCCTCCCCCACAGGATATCAGGACAATGCCTTTGGAACTTGCTTTCGTCTTGGAACACCCCATTCATATCGTTCTATAAAACGGTCGAAAAGTTTCGCATTGTTACCAACTGTCGTCGATCAAAATACTAACCGTAAGTTGGTAGAACCTGCTCATTGGAACGGTGTATTTCTTGATAGCTTCGTGAGTTTCCGGATCACTGATATTAGCCAAGTACAATCCGGCCCTGACGCTGCCGTCGAAAATGTACAAGGCCTTGTTGAGCACCAGCGGTACCAACCTGACGTACTCCTTCACGCCCACGTTCTGGGTGTCCATGAACTGGGTGACGAACGTCATGAACATGTTCTCCATGTAGAGGTCGGTGATGGGCAGGCAACACGGATGGTCGGCCAGCCGCCTCATCAACAGCAGATAGCCGCCCGTCGCCAGGTAATGGCTGTCCAAGATGGCCGACTCCATCGTGACGCCGGGCGTCTTGAACCACGTGGGTTTGTTGTAGCGCGTGTCCGAATCGTCCATTATGTCGTCGACGATTATTTGGGAGACTTCCAGCTGGAGGGAAATTGAAATCAAGTCAAGTTAGTGGATGTTTGGATGATGTAATCTAGTCGCTTGGAATGTTATTTGACAGTGTTTGAAGTAGGTTTGGCAGGGAGGCAACTTAAAAAAAAGGTAAATTCCCTATCTTCAAGAGAAATAATGTCGTCGACGATTATTTGGGAGACTTCCAGCTGGAGGGAAATTGAAATCAAGTCGGTGTGGTGTTAGTTGATGTTTGGATGATGTAATCTAGTAGCTTGGAATGTTATTTGACAGTGTTTGAAGTAGGTTTGGCAGGGAGGCAACTTAAAAAAAAGGTAAATTCCCTATCTTCAAGAGAAATAATGTCGTCGACGATTATTTGGGAGACTTCCAGCTGGAGGGAAATCGAAATCAAGTCGGTGTGGTGTTAGTTGATGTTTGGATGATGTAATCTAGTAGCTTGGAATGTTATTTGACAGTATTTGAAGTAGGTTTGACAGGGAGGCAACTTAAAAAATGGCGAATTCCCTATCTTCAAGAGAAATAATGTCGTCGACGATTATTTGGGAGACTTCCAGCTGGAGGGAAATTGAAATCAAGTCGGTGTGGTGTTAGTTGATGTTTGGTTGATGTAATCTAGTAGCTTGGAATGTTATTTGATAGTATTTGAAGTAGGATGGGCAGGGAGGCAACTTAAAAAAAGGTAAATTTCCTATCTTCAAGAGAAATAATGTCGTCGACGATTATTTGGGAGACTTCCAGCTGGAGGAAAATCGAAATCAAGTCGGTGTGGTGTTAGTTGATGTTTGATTGATGTAATCTAGTAGCTTGGAATGTTATTTGACAGTGTTTGAAGTAGGTTTGGCAGGGAGAGGCAACTTAAAAAAAGGTGAATTCCCTATCTTCAAGAGAAATAATGTCGCCGACGATTATTTGGGAGACTTCCAGCTGGAGGGAAATTGAAATCAAGTCGGTGTGGTGTTAGTTGATGTTTGGTTGATGTAATCTAGTAGCTTGGAATGTTATTTGATAGTATTTGAAGTAGGATGGGCAGGGAGGCAACTTAAAAAAAGGTAAATTTCCTATCTTCAAGAGAAATAATGTCGTCGACGATTATTTGGGAGACTTCCAGCTGGAGGAAAATCGAAATCAAGTCGGTGTGGTGTTAGTTGATGTTTGATTGATGTAATCTAGTAGCTTGGAATGTTATTTGACAGTGTTTGAAGTAGGTTTGGCAGGGAGAGGCAACTTAAAAAAAGGTGAATTCCCTATCTTCAAGAGAAATAATGTCGTCGACGATTATTTGGGAGACTTTCAGCTGGAGGGAAATCGAAATCAAGTCGGTGTGGTGTTAGTTGATGTTTGGATGATGTAATCTAGTAGCTTGGAATGTTATTTGACAGTGTTTGAAGTAGGTTTGGCAGGGAGAGGCAACTTAAAAAAAGGTAAATTCCCTATCTTCAAGAGAAATAATGTCGTCGACGATTATTTGGGAGACTTCCAGCTGGAGGGAAATCGAAATCAAGTCGGTGTGGTGTTAGTTGATGTTTGGATGATGTAATCTAGTAGCTTGGAATGTTATTTGACAGTGTTTGAAGTAGGTTTGGCAGGGAGGCAACTTAAAAAAAAGTAAATTCCCTATCTTCAAGAGAAATAATGTCGTCGACGATTATTTGGGAGACTTCCAGCTGGAGGGAAATTGAAATCAAGTCATGTAATCTAGTAGCTTGGAATGTTATTTGACAGTATTTGAAGTAGGTTTGGCAGGGAGGCAACTTAAAAAAAAGGTAAATTCCCTATCTTCAAGAGAAATAATTTTTCTATGAACTTAAGAGAGTCGATTTTATTATAATCGACCACTGAAAGCACTAAAATAAAATACCTAAAAATCAGAGTTACCAACACAACATTTGACATTGTTACCAACTTCGTTAACCAAATACAAGACAGGGAGGCAACCTAGAAAAAAAAGTGAATTCCCTATCTTAAAGAGCAATAATTTTTCTATGAACTCAAGACAGTTAATTTCATTATAATCTGCCGCTGAAAGCACTAAAATAAAATCAGCGTTGCCAACAAAAAATTTGACATTGTTACCAACACAAAACTTGACATTATTACCAACTTCCGAACAAAAAAAATTCAATGAAAGCGATAATTACAATTCTGTAGACCCAGGCCATCATGCAGGCCTTCCTGAGGTTGTCCCTGGTGAGTTTATCGGGCTCCTCGACGGCTTTGTAGGTGTAGAGGGGTATCAGGGCGGTGGTGAGAAAGTAGGGATCGTCGTTGGGCACTGTGTAGTCGATCAGAACGGGGAATTTCTCGAGCAATCCGGGGAATTCCTTGTAATGCGAGATGTACTTGGTCAGATCCTCGGCTATCAGCGGATAGAACTCGTTCAAATCGTTCATTTCGTTTTTGAAAAACTCATGGCGATCCGGGGGCGCTGCGGATGATAAACTAGAGAGAAAAAAATGGATAATTTAACAATTTAACACTAATTAATATCGATTAACTTACGTTTTGCGTTCGGAAAGAGAGCGATTTTTGCGCAATAAATTCGATTTTATTAGGCACCTTAAACGCAACATTATTAAAAATAACCACAAACAGCCACGAAATCCGGTATTTATATATTCGCTTTTAATCCTTTTAATCCTTCTTAAAAAGTACTTAATATATTTAAAGTATTAACTCTACTAATCTGGCGCATTATTGGAGTCCAGTCGCGATTATTATTAGAATATTAATATTGGAAAAAATATAATAAAAGGGCAATTAAGTGTAAAATAGTTCGTACTATATAAAATTTAACAAACAATGAGCCGCATTTCTGGCGATTGTCTTACCATTTTATTGCGGGATCCATTTAGATATTTGAACAAAATGGCTAACACAATTAACATGCGCGTAATGTTTGCTAATAATTAACGATATGATTCATAATACTATTCAAGAATTAATGCAAGTTATTCCTAAACCACAAATCTCTTACAAAATCTATACTTTGGATATCCCAGATTGGCTGTTAATAAAACAACTTAAGTAGGGTGCCATTTTTAAATTTCAATATCTACAGGGTGATCTAAAATAATGTACGATTAAGCACCCGTTAAAATCCGTCAATAGGCATCGTAGACAAACAATTAGATAATAAAACAGCCGGTTTAAAAAGAACAATGAGTCGAATTCGCGCGATTCGTTTGATCAAGAATTAAAAAATTCGTAAATCTTATCTCTGCTTTCGTTACATCTTATTTGTTTCTAATTATTTCATTAATATTTAACTTGGCGGTTAAGTTATACAAGAAATCAATTAGTCCGGGGGATCGGCGGAGATTTTACGAGGTGCCCATTGCAATTGTATTCTAAATAACGTTATCAATGGTAAAATAAATCGATTTTCTGTGGGCGCTATTTGAATTTGTAAAACCGGCAAATTATTCGAATTTTTACGATTCGTAAAAAAAACTGTAAAATTACGAGAACATTAAAATATATGCTCGAGATGGAAATGAAACGATTATTGAATAATTCAAGTTTGGTTCGGATAAATCCAGTTGGAAATATATATTTTTCAAATTTCGCCCAAATGAAACAATAACAATTTTCCCACAAAATTCGCAGATTTTCATGGAGGAAACTCCAAAATAAAATACCCACTTTAAACATGCAAATTTCAAGTTACCACGAAATAATAGAAAAGTGGAAGGGTCGCCCCCCCCGAAGCCCCCGCACTATAAATAAACATAACAAAACGAATATTTAGGATGGCCGTGATTAGTACCTATAAGAAGCCTGGATTTAACCTTGCTCCATCTTAGTATAAATCTTATCAGCACAAAGTGAATGCATAATAAAAATATTAATTTTTGTTTACAATACGTAGGTACTTCGAAGCGCGGGTTTTATGTTAAAAATTTATTATTTATAATGCGTTTACATTTCGGCGGCACCGCCAAAAATCTCTTGCTTTTCTGTTTTCTCACCCAAAGCGAAATCCTATGCGGAAAAACCAGGTGAGCACAATTTATCGATATTTAAACCTCTCTAAAATGATCAATATTAACCATCCATTATATCGAGTAACCTCACGCACAATCATATGACTCTATTTTATCGTTAATAAAAAAAGTTATTAATCAATATAATAATTCTAAAAATCACTAATGAATACACGATTTTATTGCTAGGAATATTGAGTCTACAAACGAGCAATTTTTTTTCTAGTTTAGTAGAAATATTTTCGAATTTATTTTGCGGTATAGTCTCAAGAAATAATCCAATTCGTAGAATCTTCTCCTCTCTGGTAAAAACTGGCGTATTTTCCTCGTCGCTGACGAATCGAATTTTCGAAATCGAATATGTAAGTGCTGGTATAAACATGAATAAAACATGCCGGGAGTTTTCCGATCGGATAGAAAAAACTTCCAAGTATCGTCTGTATAACTAATCTAATTGATAACGGACCGTTAATTAATTTTCTTTAATTACGCACGCTTCCCATTATGTAGTTTTACAACTATTTGCCACTTTGTTATTTATTTATCTTAATTACAACGCCTAGTCAATATTTGATTAGCTCAACCTTAAATTCGCCGTGAATGAGGATGCTAAATAGCAGATAGCGCGCCGTAAATTATGGATTTAATTTATTGAACTTTTAATCAATTTACTGAATATTAGGCATGCTCGAATCCCGCCGCATTTCACGCTCAATGGCAACCTTAAAATTTTAATCGATTTGCGGTGACAAAATCGATTACCTAGAGAGCGCAAAAAAAATTAGTTACAATGATAATATTTTCCTCTTCAGTCGCTCCATCGACGATTCCACCGGCTCGTCCATCATGAGCATACCCAAAAAAGAACCAGCCACCACCATTACAACTTATTTATACGAAAATTCCACAGTCGATGCAACGCCCGAAACGTTCACCAACAAAAGTACCGCCACAGTACCATCTAGTACTCCTATAGTTGCTCCACCTGCGGTAAGTACCGCTCGAATCCATCGTTTTCCAACCTTCTACCGAGCGATTGACAATTCCAGGGCGCAATCAACACAGCGAAACCTGTACTAGACGAATGTCCAGACTTGAGCAACATCTCCAATCTGGATAAATCCACCCAGGAGGAATTCACTCAAATACTAACCGACAGCTGTCGCTACGATAGATACATCAAACCGCCCGATAAGCGGGTGGTGGTGAATTTCCGATTCGACATGACCCACGTTGAATCCGCCGATCACTTGGTGAGCACCTAAAATTCCCACAACCAGCACAGCGAATGAATTGTTCCATATTTCTTCCAGCAAATGAAAGCCCACATTCTGGTCCAAATGCGCTACAGAGACGAAAGGCTATCGTACAAAGCCGTGTCCCCAGCGAGGGAGATCATCATGGGCGAGGAGGCGTTGAGGAACAGGATCTGGGTGCCCCATTTGATCCTCTCCAACGAGAAGGAGTCCACGCTGATGGGGCTCAGCGCCAAGGACGTCTTCGTTCGGATATTCCCCGACGGCGAGGTGGTCTACGCCTACCGGATGAGCACGCTCTTCTTCTGCTGGATGAACCTGAAGAAGTTCCCCTTCGACTATCAAGTGTGCGATCTCACATGGGTCAGTTGTGAGTACAGTGCAATGCTCCTTTTGTTCATCGTTGTGTATAGAGGTCTTTATTTATTCCGTTGTTTGTGTCTCCAGGGGCGTATAACGCGACCGATATGCTGTTGAAATGGGAGGAGGACACGCCATTCGTGATAGCGAACAACCTCCATTTAACTGAATTCGTTTTAGAAGATAAATGGACCGAAGAAGGTAATCGATCTATTAATTTTTTTTCAAAACCAACCAACAACTAACTAAGCACCAACAGCTAGCTTTAACCGATACACCAAAACGCTTTAAAACAAATTGTAATAAAACACGATGAACAGCATTATGAACACGAAGCACATGATGACGAATTGAGTCACGATTTCCGCGTCTTTTTTCCTCTGCAACTCGTTGGAGTAGTTCATCAAACGACACAACCTTCGAGCCTCTCTGTACCGATTCCCGCTCAAATGGTTCACACCGGCCATTTTACACTTCCTCTTCGGGTACTTCACAGCATCCAATCTCCCGTTGCGCCTCTTCTTCGACCGCACGCTGCTCGTCGACACCATTCAAACCCGTCATTCTCGACAGCTGTCATCGAGTCAAATAAAAAAGAAGATTTTCGTTTTTTTGGGTTGGCAGGTCTGTCGGGGAACTACAGCGGCATCACGTTCAAGCTGAAGCTGCGCCGCGAGGTCGGCTACTACATCATGGACTACTTCCTGCCGTCGATCCTGCTGGTGTGCACCTCTTGGGTGACGTTCTGGCTGCAGGCGGACGCGGCGCCGCCGCGCGTCACGCTCGGCGCCTCGACGATGCTGTCGTTCATCACGCTGCAGGGCGGCCTGAGCAAGAACCTGCCCAAGGTGTCCTACATCAAGGCGAGCGAGATCTGGTTCTTGGCGTGCGCCAGCTTCATATTCTTCTCGCTGGCCGAGTTCGCGTTCGTCAACGTCATATGGAGGAGGAAGTACGTTTTGGGCTGCTCGGAGCTGCTCGGAATGAGTAAATTGAACGTTGGTGTTTTTGCAGGAAGAAGGTGGAGATGAAGAAGAACAGCAGCGTGCATATTCTGAAAGGGGCTCTGACGCCGAGCTTGGCTAGGAGGCAAGTGAGGAAGGCTAGCTCGATGAACAGCCTGCACAAGGCCAGGTCTTGTTCGAGTTTGGATAAGGAGATCGCCGAAAGGAATACGCAAGCTAATTATTTGACTGTACATGTACGTTTTACGTGTAGTTAAATTTCCTCTATTTCAATAATATTTGTTTTTTTCATCCAGAGTTTTCCAAGCTCGTTGATTGTTCCGACGATAACTCATAGTGATGACGATCTCACGCAGGATAATGAAAGAGTGACTACTATTCCGATACCGGAGGCGTCTAATAATTCAAATAATAATCCTTTGCCGCACGCGTTTACTACGATGACTCCCCAGGAGGTTGCCATATGGATAGATAACAAATCCAGGATCGTCTTTCCGCTCGCATTTGTCGTTTTTAACATATTTTATTGGTCTTTTGTATACGCGCTATAAGAATTAAATCCATTATTTTTTTATTATTTACAGTGTAGATATCGATTTATTTATTTTTTTTATGAAATAAATACGCGCTATGATATTTTTTTTAAGTAATTATCATTAATTTTCGTTTTAATTCTAAACGCGCTGACCATTACCCCTGCTGCTTATACTATCCTTTTTACACGTCACATGTTACATCTCTAACCCGTTGCTAATGTTGTGATTAAAGAACAGTTATTTTAGTTATCCCCAACCTCTATACTTTGTTTAACTAAAATGGAGAATGACAATTGTCATTGTCAATAATAATTATAGGTTATGTTTATATTTATTGTTTTAAAACTTGGTTTATACTTAAAAAACTTGAATTAAAACAGTCACAAATGTGTACGTACATTATTTGCGGCACCTCCGGCGGAGGTTTGCCGTTATTTTCGAGGAAAAAAGGAAATTCTGAAACCGTAAGATTCTCGCGTTACTACATTCATTCAACATAACATTTTCGATTTTTAAGCTCCCTTTTTCGATTGTTGGATCTTTAAACGGCATCCACATGTTCGGTAAACCGCTGGGAATAGAAATTTTGGAAACTTTAACCGACGACTATGCGGTGTGTTGGAGGGAATTCGAAGACAGGTACGTTGATAATTAACTTATTTTTCTCTATTTATACACTAATTTTTAGCATAATTTTAATCGGCGTGGCGAGCGGATGTTCGGTAGAAGTACTAAACCAGTTGCTCGAAGAAATATTCAACACCATCGTACTGGTAGTCGGGATAAAGGAATTGAAAACTCAACGGAATATAGAAAGATTGAAAAGGGAATTGAGACTTTGTTTACCCGTTATCGATCGACTGTTAGATTCCTTAGATAGCGGCGATGCAAATAATCAACACGCTTCCGATATCGTGGGTTTCGTGGAGACCACAATGTGCCAGGAAAACCACCTTATACAGGTAGATTCGTTTTAAAATTTAAAACGTTTGTAATGTAATTTGTGGAGTTTTCAGACAGTTCTGGATTCGTTTTCGGAAAGCGTAGATTCCAGTTTCTGTTGTGTGTTAATCGATGGGAAAATATCAGCGGCTACTGAAAGTTGGTGGTCTCTACATCCGGTCGAGTTGAGATTGTTGTCATTTCTAGCGGTATCAGAGAACACGACAGATTCGAAAGACTTTCCTGTATTCCTGCCGTACAAAAGCCCCACTGTGAGTAATATTATCGTGAAGAATATTTTGTAATTAATGGAGAGGAGTACGAATTTAATCGAATTTGATCCAAAAAAACTCAAAAAAAAATAAACTACAATAACATAACCCTAGATATGTCATCTGTCATTTGATTGTTATATATTTCACTTTTGTTCGTTTCTTCTATTCTTTCGAATTCTTATGTCACTAATGACAGAACTCGTTCGTTTTGTGATTGGTTAGTGACTTTACACGTCACTTGTCAAAATTTTAAATTTAAAAAGGCTATATTTCCTAAAATATTGAATATTTTTAGCAACTGAAAACTGCTTTGAGTTCTAATGACTTATTTCTATCCATATATCTGGTTAAAAACCGTATATCTCACATCGTACTCCTCTCCATTGTGATTCTTTGTAGGTGGCTTTTCGATTTGTCGTATGCTTGCTCGTACCGAACGTGCAAATTTGCTGTCTTTGCGGCCTCACGCCCACTCTACAAGAAATAGAGCATTCCGTTAAGCAGTGCTTCAAAAACTCCACCGATCTACTAACAGCAGCCAAAAACTATTCACCCAATTTCAACGTAGATACTAACATTCTAGGGTAAGTACGTTACATTAACACTACGCCTAATAAACTAACGCTTTTTTTTAGTCATTTACTGATAAACATCACGGCGAAAAAGTACGTGATGTCCAAAAGCCTTCAACAATCCGCGAAGAAATCCAACGCTGGGAACTCCCATCGAATCGACATCCTGCGGACGTTCTTCTACAGGGCCGTGGTCGCCCATTTGGTCGACGATTCCGATGACGAGAACGTCGGTCTCGAAACGTACTGGTGCTCCGAGTACCACAAATGCCACGCCGTTAGAACCAACGATAACGTTCTGTGCGTATTGTACAATTCCACGGTACCCACTCACGCTTTGAATGGAATCACCGAGAAGACTCTTCGGGCGCTGGTTTCCGATAAACAAGTCTGTTGGTAGAACTGAAATGATTCGAAATGATTCGCTAAGTGATACGTCGAAGTTTTTTATCTTTATCTAATATTCATACGAGACATTTCTCTATCTTTGTCTGTTAAAGTGACATTTGACAGTTGTAGATGCAAAAGTCGCGATCGTTGATGGCGAATAATTAGAAATTTGAATTTTCGAATTAATAGATTCGAAAATATGTAGCTCAAATTACGGTAGATAATTAAATTCGATGGGTTTTATATGACTAATTCTAGCAGTTGAAGAGAATTGAAATTGAAGAGAATGAGCGAGGAATGAATTTTAGTGTATAAATAAAAAAAAACTAGTTTACTTATAGGGATTATGTACTTTGTGAATTTACTCTGAATCTCCATACTAATCCGTCCATATTTATATATTTTTGTACTAATATTCGATTAAACGTTTATTTATTGTTTTATTTGTTAAATTTACCCCTCAAAATTAGAACTACCAATCGTAGAATCCAGGTCCAGGTTCTAAATCCAAGTCAAAATAAAGAGGAACAAAAATTCAGAAAACTCCTAAAACTTGCAAGACCTCCAGAAGCTCCTAAACAAAAATCCAAAAAAACCCCAACACTCCTAAATCTCGCAAGACATCCAAAAGCTCCCAAACCCCAAAAAAACGAACACCCATTAGCAGAGCGTCGGCGCCGCCGCTGGCGGAATCTCCTCCGAATCGGGCGATCTGATGGCAAATCGAGCTCGACAGCGCGTCGAATCGCGTCGCGCCGCCTGACTCACTCACTTCACTTCATCCTCCTCCATCTCCTTCAGTCAGCCAGTCAGTCAGGCCGAATCGCTCGGTTTGTTATGTCGTGACGGCCCCCCCGGAGCCCCGACGAGAGGCCGCCGTTTCAGCGATCCCCTTTTCGCGCGACCGCAGCGACAGGCGCCCCATCATCGATGCGACCCGTCCTTCGGATTTGCGAGCAGTGATCGCGGAGATTCTGCACGGAAATGCGCCGGAATGTCAAAGTGCTCGTCCTTTTCTCCGCCGCTTGGATGATCCTGGTCGTGTTCTATCTGCAATCCGGCAAGGATTCGAAGGTAAAACATTTTGAACTATTAAATTGTATCGAGTGTTTCCAGTTCGGGGTTGTCGTGTATATTCGAGGGTGTGTTATATAAACAGCTGATCGTTGAAGGGTGGTGGGTTTGTATAAGGGCGTAGCGTAGGGTTTTGCTTTAAGGGTCGCACGTTTTATAGTTTTATTTCTTATCGATTTTACAGCTGCTTTTCTGCATATTTAACTATTTCGATTGATAGTTATCGAAGTACCTGCATAAAAGTCACTTTCATTTTAGAGTAAATTATAGTAGAAATTTCATGGAAGCGGGTAACATTGATATTGTTTGTACACAATACTATATTTGTAAAGCGATAGTGAAAAGTAATACCGGTAGTGCAAGAGCAATGTCTGATTACATTACCTAGATGGTATACACGTTAATAAATAATTCAACCACCGCTTTTATTTATTCAACATTCCGATATATCCACACATTAGCTTTCTATTAGTTGTTTTATTATCGAGCGTTTTATCTGATTGTTTTCCAGATATTTCGAGCAATTAAAAATAATTTATCCGCAGACTCATGTGTGACTGTTGCGGCGCATTTTTCCGGTTTATCTAATCGGAAAACGAGCCGCTAAGTCGATTAGGAAATTTTATTATTAGATCTCGCGAATTTATTTCGGGATTTTTCCGATTTTTTTGCTTAACTCGCCGCAACATCCGTCGAATTAAATCGAAAGTACACTCCGAAGTCACCTACTTTTACTGACATTCGCATTTTATTTGAATAGTTAATATGCAAAATCGGTGAAATTAAGTTCACGAACAGCCGCTTGATTTTTGACGCCTTTTCAATTCGCCCGCGAATTATGCATTTCTCCGATATTTTACTGTGTAGAAAAAAGTTTGTTCGATTTGTAGAATTCAAATTTATTCCAACTTTACTTACCTGTCAAAACTGTCAAAAGTTGCCCAAATATGGCCTTTTACGTCTCGGAAAATCTACCAATTAAATGACATTTCTAACGCGCAAAAAATCTACTACCTTTACGTTATAAACAATACAAAATTTCTCAATTAGGCAAGTGTCTATTATTACTCTATTCTCTGTTCACTCGCTATTTCGAACTCCCATTGTATCGAATCGACACGTTTCCCACAGAGGGTATTTTGAAGAAAAAAAATCCTTCGGGGCCTACTTTTGTCTAAACAAACAGCCATTAAATTCGCCCGTTTACGAAACGCGAACGCGCTCGACAACCGATGCACGTTAATTTGAAATTTATTAAGTAGAACATGCGAATTATCCGAATTTCTTTTTAATCAAGGCGCTTAATTTGAGCCGCTCGTGTCTTCGGAAATCCGGTTAAAATGCAGAAGAATCGGGGGGGATTTACGGGGATTCAACCGCTGCAAAAGTTAGCATAGAAACAAATCGGAGCGTAGGAGATGTGATGGAATTGCGCAAAAAAGTGAAGGGATTCGAAACTGGAATGCACTCTAAAATTTGCATTAGGCAACGCGAGGAGCATCAATCTAATTCTGCGCTATAAGTATACCTACTCAGATTAGTCTAGTTCCTGATGTAATCCATCGAAATTACGGAAGAGAAAGCGAAATCATTATGTACAATACTCATAGTTAGCGAATTAACTTCCCATCAGCGCTAATAACAGTATCCTTCGGTTACTCGATCATCCCTTTCACTCCGGCAGAAGCTGAATAATATAATGCTCTTTATTTTGTTCTATTTTTAAGCGTATACGCTTTCATTGTTTACTACGAAAAAAAAACAGTTTAAACGCAGGATATGCGTATGGGAATTCGGTAGATAATATCTTATTCTCGATTAAAGCGGTGTGAATTTATTGAACAAAGCTGGTTCACTCCTACGATTTTAATTCATTCAATAGTTACATTCCTAACCTACTAACATTAGGAATAAATTAATTTTGGATTTTACTATACTTGTGCGCGCAATCGTGCAATTTATAAGTGCAAATAACTATCAACCACAACCTTGAAAAACATCCTTTAATAATAATTTACCTGTATACTTTTACTTATGCCATATTTGAAATCTACAAGTACCAATAGAAGTGAAGTATTTGTATCGTGGTGATTCGGTTTCGGCAGTGAAAGTGTTAAATATTCAAGTGGCGATTCGGGCACTTAATAATGTCGTGACAAAGTATTTTTCCCAAATTAAACTCGGTAGGTACTTCTTTAAAATTCCGGCCGTTCGCGATGGAAAAAAAATTACCCATATACATTTATTAGAAGTAATTGCTCGTTTCGACATCCATCGGCGCTGGTTGTGTTTTTTTTTTTCGAGTTATTTTGCAATGTGGATCTGAGGCAATCGATAGAAAGTATAAAACGAATTGAACGAAGAGCCCCGACCAGCGTTATGAATTTTTAATTAGACTTGATTAACTCCCAAACCGCGTTAGTTCTTCTCGAAATATCCAATTGAAAATTACGCAACGAAATAATCCCATTTTTTTTCTAAGCGACTCGAAACGGACTCGTTAAAATTAATAATGTTTAATCAACGCATTTCGAACACAATGCCGCGTAAAAATTCATTATTATTCCGGACGAATCAATCAATCGACGACTTTTACGGTCGAATATACTACCAGAATCGAAAGCTTTACAACCGATAAATTTACCGGTTATTATGTAAAACTGCTGGTATTACGGACAATTACCAGCGTAGCGATGCACCATTAAAATATTCCTTATAAATTCTCTACTCTGCTCTGCTCTCTGCTTTTTGTCCTTTGCTTTCTTCTCTCTGGTCTTTGTCCTCTGCTCTCTACTCTTTGTTCTCTGTTCTCTGCTCTATGCTCTTTGCTTTCTGTTCTCTGCTCTCTACTTTTTGTTCTCTGCTCTCTACTTTTTGTTCTCTGCTCTCTACTTTTTGTTCTCTGCTCTCTACTTTTTGTTCTCTGCTCTCTGCTCTCTGCTCTTTGCTTTCTGTTCTCTGCTACTCGACTTTCCTCTAGGACAAAAGTTTATTCTCGATTTTTTTCCAGAGCGAGAACAAAGCTTTAAGGCTGAAGGAGAGCCCGACGGGGGCGCCGCCGCCGCCGGCGCCTGAAGACCCGGCGGCGGGGCCCGGAGTGCCGATGGCGCTGCAAAGCCTCGAGACCACCGACGGGCGATTGGCTTGGAACTACTTCGACGAGGCCAGTTACGTGTCGAAAGGGCGTTTGCTGGCCAACGAGGATCCCTACGACAGGAACAAGTTCAATCAATTGGCCAGCGACAATTTGCCCAGCAACAGGGAGATTCCTGATACGCGGAACGCCATGTAAGTAGTATATTACTTAATTTGTTGTTGTGATGAAGTCGAGGAAAGTCTCGGTGAGCGGTTTGATTTCGGTTATTTAGGATCGTTTTGAAGCTACCTGGTAATTTGGTGTTTCTAACGACTCGGCAAATGTAAAATTTCAGCGAATAATGGGCTCGTTCGAGTATAAGAACAATAATAATAAAAAAAAACTCGAGAGAGTTCCAGTCGAACGAACTCGTTGTAATTACGCAACGGAACGGTCTAGAGGAGGTCTTTGTGGTGTAGCGCTCGTTTCGAATAAACTGTACCAATTTCTCCGCTATATTAATTTATGTAAATATCAACGGCGACTTAATTATGTAGAAAAAAGTTTGTTCGATTTGTAGAATTCAAATTTATTCCAACTTTACTTACCTGTCAAAACTGTCAAAAGTTGCCCAAATATGGCCTTTTACGTCTCGGAAAATCTACCAATTAAATGACATTTCTAACGTGCAAAAAATCTACTCTCTACCTTTACGTTATAAACAATACAAAATTTCTTAATTAGGCAAGTGTATATTATTACTCTATTCTCTGAACGGTCTAGAGAGGTCTTTGTGGTGTAGCGCTCGTTTCGAATAAACTGTACCAATTTCTCCGCTATATTAATTTAAATATCAACGGCGACTTAATGAAATTGAATACGAAAAGTAAAAACGCGAATTTCTACTCGGCAATTAGCCGGAGAAAGATGGCGTTAATTTCTTATATAAGGTCACTGGACGCGCACGCAATGTTTTTTTAGTACTTTTCCTTATCAATTCCGATTTTTCAGGTGTCGAAAGAGGACTTTCAACACGGCCGAGTTCCCTTCCACCTCGGTGATAATTACATTCCATAACGAAGCCAGATCGACTCTATTAAGGACTGTCGTCAGGTAAGTTTTTTCCACCCAGCAGAAACTAGACGAGTTTATTAAACTTTTAAACATTTAACGCGAACGAGAAAAAAAAATTATACCAATTTACAAACTTTCTATATCGCTAATTATATTTTAATTGGCGTTTTTTTTCAGCGTACTTAATAGAAGTCCGGAACATCTAATCAAAGAAATCATACTCGTCGACGATTTCAGCGATAACCGTGAGTAACCAATAAAAAATTTCAATTAATATTCCCAACGAGCAACAACCATTTCAGCCTCCGACGGCGAGGAACTGTCCAAGATCCAAAAAGTCCGCGTCCTGCGCAACGACAAGCGCGAAGGGCTGATGAGATCCCGAGTAAAAGGCGCCGACGCCGCCACCGCCTCCGTCCTCACCTTCCTCGACAGCCACTGCGAATGCAACGCCAACTGGCTGGAACCCTTGCTGGAAAGAGTCACCGAGGTGAGCACCTCCAACCCTCCTTTCATCCACCTGGAGAAGGTTGCTTTTCTAGACACAAAGATCCTCTCTGACAGAAACAATGACCTCCCATCGATTCCTTCATCAGTTCCATGCTCTTCTAGACACGAAGATCGCCTTGGAACTCCTCTCTGACAGAAACAATGACCTCGCATCGATTCCTTCATCAGTTCCATGCTCTTCTAGACACAAAGATCGCCTTGGAACTCCTCTCTGACAGAAACAATAACCTCGCAATCAGTTCCTTCATCAGTTCCATCATCAGTTACTTAAATTTACTGGTAAATTAACGTTTGGATGGCTTTTGCAGGACCCCACCAGAGTCGTTTGTCCCGTCATCGATGTCATCAGCATGGATACGTTCCAGTACATCGGAGCATCGGCGGATTTGCGGGGCGGTTTCGATTGGAATTTGGTGTTCAAATGGGAGTACTTGAGTTTCGCCGAAAGGGAGAACCGCCAGAGGGATCCCACGCAGGTGACACCTCGATTTGTTTGTCTCTATAAGATAGTTTTAATTGAACTGTTTGATTGTAGATAATCAAAACGCCGATGATAGCCGGCGGGTTGTTCGTAATAGACAAAGCATATTTCGATAAACTGGGCAAATACGATATGAAGATGGACGTGTGGGGTGGCGAGAATCTGGAGATATCGTTCAGGGTGTGGCAGTGCGGTGGTAGCTTAGAAATAATCCCCTGCAGTAGGGTAAGCGAGCTGATGCAATCCTGTTTGTTTTATCTAAAATAAATCGGTTCTAGGTGGGTCATGTGTTCAGGAAGAGACACCCATACACGTTCCCGGGAGGCAGCGGAACGGTCTTCGCCAGGAACACCCGAAGAGCGGCTGAAGTCTGGATGGACGATTACAAGAATTTCTACTACGCCTCCGTTCCGCTGGCCAAAAGCGTACCGTTCGGAGAGTGAGTCCTCTTCCACCTCTACACCAAACACCACCAATAACTTCATTAATGCTTCCAGCATCGGCGAGCGGTTGGAGCTGAAGTCGCGGCTGCGCTGCAAGCCGTTCAAGTGGTACCTGGAGCACGTGTACCCCGATCTGGCGGTGCCGCAGTCGCCGGCCCAGCGCTCCGGCCAGATCCGCCAGGGGCGGCTCTGCTTGGACACGATGGGGCGGCTGCTCGGCGGCGCCGTTTCGCTCTTCCAGTGCCATCAAACCGGCGGCAACCAGGAGTGGGGCCTCACCAACACCGGCCTGCTCAGGCACCACGACATGTGCCTCACTCTCGTGCGCTTCGTTAAAGGTATATAGAGAGAATTGGAGAGTTGTAGGGAGGTTATATGGTGGTTTGTAGTGGGTTCGCAGGTGGTGATGAGGATCTGCGAGGGGTCCGACGAGCAGAAGTGGCAGGTGATCCAGCCCGATGGGTTGCTGCGCAACGGGAAGTACCCGCTGTGTTTGGATTCGAAGTACTCGGACGGGAGGGGCGTCACGGCGGAGCGGTGTAGCAGCAACGCGGCGTCGCAACGGTGGGAATTGATTAGTAGCGCTTGAGGGCGGAAATAAAGAAAGGGAAATTCGAATTCCGCGATGGGAGGTTCGATTGATGGGTGGAAATATGCTCAACATGTTGTCGCGTTTTAGTCGATCGAAGCGTATTTTTATTTTTAATCAGAGGTAAAGTTTAGTAAGTCGGAGCGGGATAATGCGCATGCGCTAATAACGTCAAATTTTGTGTTCTGACAGCGTCAAAAACTGTGTATCGTTGACAGATTGTGTAAATTGTTATTTTATGAAAAATTTAAAGTATATGAACCTTCCCTACCCTCATCTAACCATCCTCTACATCTACATCCCTTCTTCTACACTACCCTTCCTACCTCCTTCTATCCTTCGTACCCCCTTCTACACTATTCTAATCCTCCCTACTTTCTCCTGTACCCTCTTTTACTCCCGTCTAATAATTATTATTTTCTATCTAAAACAAATATTTCTGTTCATTTACTGAAATTAAATACACATTGCCAACTATGACAGTTATTGACGCTGTCAAAACACAGAATTTGACGTTATTGGCGCATGCGCCTTGTCCCGCTCCGATTTGGTAAACTTTGCTTAATCTGCGATTGGTTACCTTGACGTGATGCGTACGTAAAACGAACGATTTATTTTTTTTTTGGTTCGGATTATTTATTTTTGTTGAAAAAACGAACGACGTTTAGATATTTATTTGTATCGTCAATTTTTTTTTTGTAAATATGTACATCTATTAAGAGAGTAAATTAATATATTTTTCGTTATTTAGTTTAGATATAGTTTATGCCAGACTATGTATGTATAATAATTCGAAAAACGTGAAACATTCTCTCGATATATATTGTAATTTCTGAATAAAACATTTTTAGAATCGAACTGTCGAGGCTCTCTTTTATTTCGCTCTTCCCAGAAGTCTACAAAAGGGACAAAAAAAGGACGAAACGTTAGACGGTATTTTTTGGAATTTTGGAATAGCAGGTATTCAAATACCGAACGGTTTCGTTGAAAAATAAATGCTAATTTTGCGGTGGTGCACATTCACAAAAAAAATCTTTAAGAAACTAGTTATTTTTCGATTAAATTAGGCGTTAAAATGGATCTATTTATACTCGAAATCGATTAAGGTATAATTTCAATCGTTTTTGGGGCATCCCCGGTCACTATTAAGTGAGTTATTTTCCCTCCAATTTAATCGATTTTAACAGCACACTTAACTAATTAACGCCAATCCTTTTATTCAACCCAAACCTACAGTACACATCAATACATCGCTTCAATTACTCAACCGCTACATCGAAAATTAGCTGAGTAAAAACGACCGGTTTTATCTACACGACTCGCGACAATTTCCATTTCTCCTCGTCGTTTTCCCGCGCTGTAATAAATACAAATAAAACCGACGGGCCCCCACTAGACCCATCACGCCCCGGGCGCATGGAGCCTTCGAAACAGCCACACGGCAGATAAACCGGCTGAATAAAATCGGCTATCGGTCTTCCAAGTCATTCGAACTTCGAGTCTACCGGCGACACAATCGCATTTGCCCTCAAGAACCCAACAGCACTTCATCAGTTTCAGTAGTTCATTCGAACATGCCGTCGCCCGTTTATCAGGTGAGTCATTTTTTTATTTAAAAGCATCGGAACACGTGGTTGGAATCCGTCGAAACGTGCGAACGATGATATCCTTAATCGTTGAGGTTTAATTGCATCTGTGCCAATTTCGATTGCTCGTTGGGATAGTTCATTTTTCGGGTGCAAATCGGCGCTAATTTTGTCTCATTCGTCCGGATTTTTGGTGATAAATGAGTAAACGTGGCAACGTCGGTTCGGAGGATACGACATGACAGCGTTGTATTTTTAGCTTATACGCTAATGAAGCTGTTTATAAAAATGTATTAGACGCACGTGGTACGTTAACCTACAATATGTTATAGACTATATATATTTTTTTTAATTGAAATACTGTAAAATTCGATTCGGTGATGGCAACGTGGCAAATTTAATTGTTTCGCAATTCCGATGTGGCTTAATTAATTGGGTTAAGGTTGGCCCGCGTTTTTAATTAACTCGCACAATTGGTTAAATGGCGGTTTAAATTGTCAGGTAAAAAAAGTTTGTGGGAAACTAAATTGGATACGAAGGACCAAAAAGTTGGCTAAAATTTTGGAAATATTTCCCGCTAACTTCATTCGTATCAATTAATTCGCATTATAGTAAATATGTTATCTGAATAATAAAATTCGATGTAATTTGGTTGACTTTTCCATTCGGGGTTTTTCCAAAATTGCTAATTAAATTAATTTCCACTAAACGAACTATTTCCGAGTGGGTTACATTTGAAGTAAATTTCACAATTTTGATTAAACAACGCGTGTAGCAACAATTTGTCGAGATAAAAGGTCAATAACCGTATTTAAACGTAACACATTAGTGGAATCGGGTTTGCTTATGAGCATTTTTTTCCATATTCTAATCAATTCGGTTTCCTGTAAAAATAAAAGTGACGATTTTTTGTACTATTTTGGATTACGCAAAACTAAAATGCAGATTGTTTTGAATGCACTAGACCTTGGCAACGAATAATTTATTTTTAACTCACCATTAATTGGGCTGGTGTCAAATCCTTAGTGGTGACAATAATGCTCGATTCGATATCCAATTTTGCTTTATAATCCCGAGTGATAAAAACCAAAAGTAAGTGATCGAAATTTTTGTAGATAAGGAAACTTTTAATTAGGAATTATTTAATCGTAGGTACGTAGGCAATGGATAATTTTTTTTCTCAGTTAATAACTGGCTTTTTAAAATTTAATTAATATTTCCCAGCGAGTCGATGTAAAGTATAATTTTAAGGCATATATTACCATTGTTTCCGACCTTGTGGTTCCGTGATAACGATTTATGTAATCGATAATTTGATGATTCGAAATTTTTTCAAAAAATTTAAATATTTGTTCAACTATCGCCTCGTTTTTTGCATCCTCATTGTAAGGACGAATTTCTGCTAAATTTATAGCTAAATTGTTCGCATACTTAATTTTAATTCCGTATAATCTAATAATTAAATAAAAAAAATAATAATTTTCTATAAATACATCTCCATTTGCGCACTAATTAAGCGCCCTGCAATTTTAATCCTTGTTTAATATTGTGTAACAGATCGCACGATAATTATATTAATTGTACCGCTTCAGTGCCTCGATTTTATCTTAATAATGATTTTATCTATCGATTTGATTTTGAATTGCAATAAAAGTCACTTTTCCTGTTTTCATAAATACTCAAATTAATAAGTACCTACTATAGAAATTCCTAAATTACATCAAGTCAAGGGGGACCTTGAAATTATTGTAATATCATGTAATTTCATATTGTGCAATGTTTCAAAACTTCGTACGTAAAAGTTCAATGGTTTTTAACATGAATTAAATTAATTTCAATTGGCCGATTCATTTCAGATAATTAATCACTAACCGACAATTTTCCTTTAATGTAAGAAAATCGAAACAGATATTTTAAAAAATACGTTTTTGACCTTATTTTTTTGCAACAATTTAACTAAATCTACTCCAAGATAACCTATATAACCGTATTTGCACGTTTCCGATAAAAATTTGTGTAAATTTTAAACATGTCATACGAGCGAAAATAATTCAATAAATTCCTAACCTACGCTTACTACAATTATTTCAACATTTCAATATTACTATCAGCTTGATTTTTTTATATTATTCAGTCCCAATTTCGCACAAAATTATCAATCAAATTAATTGTACTTGTTGCTTTCCCCTCGTACATTCATCTCAATATCTACGCATTATCGCTCACAAGGGCATCAGACATTTTTGATGCTACTTTGCGTTAATTACCAACGACCACAAAATGGTTTTTACATTAACGATTATTCCAAAAAAGGTATTTTAGATAGCCACAGTTCAAAGTTTGCGTTGTTATTCATTTTTAATGGAAAACAATTTTTAAAAAGCCCAGTCCAGACAACGAAAATTCCACCGTCCGTTGTGTAATGGTATTTCCTCCCGCGGCGTAAATAACTCGATTAAATATTCACGGAATAAATTGTTGTTTTCTTTCCACATATTTTTATCGATTTTCCGATTCACAAGGACGCTATCATTGACCATTTGGTCTCTAGATGGTTCACAAGTGACCCTTCAATGATCCTTTGATGGTTCATTGAAGGTCCATTGAAGTTCTGTAGATGGTCCGTTGAAGCTCCATGCATGGCCCATTAAAGGTCCATGCATGGTCCATTAAAGGTCCATAGGTGGCCCATTAAAGGTCCATAGGTGGTCCATTGAAGGTCCATAGGTGGTCCATTGAAGGTTAATAGATGGTCCATTGAAGGTCTATAGATGGTCTATCGAAGGTCCATCACAGATGGTCCATTGAAGGTCCATAGGTGGTCCATTAAAGGTCCATAGGTGGTCCATTGAAGGCCAATAGATGGTCCATCGAATAGATTAATTAGAGTTAAACAAACGGATATCCATTTACTAATTAGATGCAATTAGACCGTTCGAATAATTACATATTCCCCGGCGTTTTCACGGCATTCCAATCGCATTTCGGTTCCTACAATATCAACAGTTGTGACGAAACGCCGACCCTCCGCGCTACATTTTATCGCCGACGTATATACACACCGAGAGTTTATCTATAAAGTTGTTGATCTTCAAAATTAATTCTCAGTTGCTGATAACTCATTCATCTCGGCGTCTGAGCGAGTCGCGATGAAGTAAAAACCGAGGATAGTGTGGTACGAACGCTTCCGGAACGAGAAGTACCAGATATCGAAAGGGGATCAGAAGATTCCGAAGGGTGTTTTATTTGAACATATTCGAGGGTATATAATGGTGGTTGAGAGATTCGAGACGATGGAAAGACAGGAACATTCTACATCGAGTAAGTCTATGTTTCTATATTATTTTTACACCAAGAAATGGTTGGGTTTCATTTAATTTCCACTGATAACTTCTCGTTTTAATTCGCTTTATTAGTTAATAAATTAAATGTTTGCCAAGCAACGTGGATAATTGTTTAGTGCAAAATAATGGGAAGGAGATTTACGACTCGACGCAAATATGTAACTTGAATAAATCAAGTGGAATTATTGTATTTTTTGTTATTTATGAACGTGCATATATGCTTCGAAAAAAAAACCCAATAAATTTCATGTACTAGGAATTGTTATCGTTAATTTCGTCTGTTGCACAAGAGAAAAATTATTGCTAACGACATTTTCGATAGGGATTGTTTGCCGGGACATTTTTAGCTCCGAGCAAACAATATTTAGCATTTGATAGTAATCGATTCTTGCGGATTAATTAGGCCCGTCGCGCGGTAAATATTTTTTTTAAACCGCAATTAAAATTTAACCAACGACTCGAAAATATTTGTGTTTTGCTGGCAACAATCGGGTTTCAGTTTCGTTCGAGGAAAAGCTTAAACGAATTACAACAATAGTTTGCGTATAGCAAAATACATTATTAAATTTTATTGCTCGTTGGACTTTGATCAATTCGTCGTGTCAAACGAATTTGATCAAGCATTTTTTTTAACCTTGACTGAAAAAAGTATATCGCAAGAGTTTTTCGGACGAAGAATTCTTTGTTAAACGTGCTATTTCATAATTAATATTGTAGTACAGATTCATAAACATGGTTTTGATAACAAGAATCGAGGAATTGAAGGCGCATTTCACAATGTAACATACAAATGTAAACAAATCTTGTTGTGCTGGTACTGAGTAAATTACCTAGAAATAGTTGTGTTATAATGAAGAAACTTATTATGTCCGTTAATTGATTGATTAATTAACTTTTTAGAGCCGCTATTCGGGAAAAGACACGTTCAATATCTTCTCCTCTTCAGCGTTACCGCTCTAGCTTATGGACTGAGGAACATTTTGAATTTAGCAGTCCTCGCCATGATCAGCGAAAATCCACCCGAAGGAGTAACAGTGAGTATTTATTAATTCCCAATTAATTCCCAATCAATACGCAATTGATTAGAAACAAAGCCAAAAAAACCCAATAAAACACGAGATATTAACGGCTGATAAACTTAATCTAGATTTTTACAAATATATAGTAGTTTCATTTTACATCGCTACATTATGGAAACTTCTACAGTTTAAAAAGTAAAGGATATCCATTTTCGTTAGACTATTTGGTGGTTTTTAGTAATTTCCGCGCAGTTCAAAATGTCCCTAGTGTCAATGTTAATTCTCCCATTTGACTTGGGGAATTTTACGACGAGCAGTTGAACTTCCGAAGCGATGTTGTCGTTGCGTTAGTCTTAAAAATTTTGTTCTTTTATGTTGAGAGGTTATGTTTACAATTTGTTGTTTTTGCTACTTTTTATGCGATTTTTCGTATTTTTCTCGCAATTCATGCAAGTTTACGAGTAGGTTTTGTGTTTTCCGTTCGTTTTAGAGAGTTTTTCGTGCGGTTTTCGGTTTGTTTTTCGAACTATTTCGATAAAGAACAATGGAGGGGAAGAAGACTATTGGAATAATTGACCTAATCGTAAAAAAATCACATAATGTTCTGTTAAATCGATGCTCGCAAGCTCACATCTCCTCCTGATCTACTTTTTCATGTTCAAATTCTACTATTTAAGACTTTTAATTTGTAAACAATGCAAGTAAACATAACCTCAAATCGAATATATCTGTCACATCAAGGATACCAATCACAACCCGGCAACGTCGCAGCAAGCTAGCCCGACATCCACCAGTCCAACGAAAATGGACAGCCTTTACATTGTTTCATAGCGTTTTTCATTGATAATGTATGTAAACCTACTTAACAACTAATCGCCTCGTTCAACAACCCCATTCCAGACCTACCCGGAGTGGACCGAAAGCAAAAACGTGATCCTGTCGTCGTTCTTCTGGGGCTACGTCCTCACCCAGATCCCCGCCGGTCAGCTGGCCGAGCGCTTCGGCCCCAAGCTGTTCCTCTCGGCCACCGTGATGATCTGCTCGCTCTTCTCCATGCTCATCCCGCCGATGGGCGCCAGATTCGGCCACGGCGGCGTCATGTTCTGCCGCATCGTGCAGGGCCTCACGCAGGGCTTCATCTACCCGTCGATACACCACCTGATCAGCGCTTGGGTGCCGCTGACGAGCCGCGCGAAAATCGCCGGGTTTGTTTACTCCGGCGGGCCACTGGGGACCGTCTTCGCGATGCCTGTGGTGGGGTACATATCGGGGTCGAAGATGGGCTGGCAGGCGGTGTTTTACCTGCTCGGAGGCATCGGGTTCCTTTGGACGGCGTTTTGGGTGTACTTCGGATTGGATTCGCCGACTCTGCATAAGACCATCACGCCGGAGGAGCTGAAGTTCATCCAAGATGGAGTCGTTGGTAAAATGAAGAAGGAGGTATTTGAGTTGGTGGGGTTGTCGGTGGGGTTGTTGATTGGTTTGTTTTGGTGTAGAATTTGCCGACTCCTTGGAAGGACATCGTGAAATCGGTGCCGTTTTGGGCGATATTGATCTGCCATTTCGGCGACTTGTGGGGCTTCTGGACGATGCTGACCGAAATACCGACTTACATGGATAAGATATTAAAATACGACATCGCATCGGTAAGTGTTGGAGAGAAAGGCGATTAGGGATTAGTGCAATACTACTATTGTTTTTTTACAGAACAGTTCTCTGTCCGCTCTTCCATACTTAACCTATTGGCTGTTAAATTTGGTGATGAGTCCTATCGCTGATTACCTTATTATCAATAAGATTACCTCTGTCGGTGCTAGTAGAAAAATATTTAATAGTATAGGTATGAACCTATGCCCTACAAAATGATTTTAATACGCCGGTTTATCGAGTGACAACGAAGCAATTACGATGTCTCGGAAAGATCCGTTTCTTTTAATCGCTAATTGCCTCATTTCTCATCCATTTATTCCAATCTTGTTTTTTTTTTTAGTATTTTGATCTCTAACACGAGTTTTGTCGTCTACCAGTTAATATTTTATGTCTGTATTAATGGTTTCTTTATCCTTATAGTGTAATTATGAGCGGTTTGTGTGTGTGTGTGATTGTATATACCAATTCTGTCATTCTTGACAGTGACGTAATTATTCAGCGAGCGCTCTCATTGGCTAGTTAAACGATCGAATGAAATTTGAGTTCTGTGATTGGTTAGACTCGTTAACGTCACTGTTAAGTGTTGCAGTATAAGTAGAATTTTATAAAGATTGACGTTTTTTTCGGGATAATTCGGTTACTTCGTTGTTATTCTGTATACAGACTGCTCGGTACTCAAAAAGCAAGCATCATTTTATACTACCTTTTATTTGTTACAAAATATTCACTATCTATTGCATAATTTAGTGCACATTGAAATGATGCTGTCGACGTGACAATACTTAGTAGGTCTTCGCGAATTAATAGAAATTTAGTTATTTTTATTCGCTAATTAATTGCACTCGAACATTCACAATTATTTCGCATTGAAAATTCAATTTCACTACAAAATGTTCGGCGGCAATTTTCGAAATCGTATTATATACATCGCGTATTCTATTCTAATGATACCCGATGTATATAAACAACCAATTCTCCTAGAATAATCGTTCTCGTCTTCGTTTTAGGCGTATTCATTCCGGCTGTTGCTCTGCTGGCTCTCGTTTTCATCGGTCCCGAGCAGAGGGCGCTGACGGTGTTCCTGCTGGTGGTGGCGGTCGGTTTCAACACCGCTATACTCTGCGGCTTCCACGTGAATCACATCGACATTGCGCCCAATCACTCGGGCACCCTCATGGGCATCACCAACGCCTTCGGCAACGTGGCCGCCATCTTGGCCCCGTTGGCCGTCGATTTCTTCAAGAGGGTCTGGAAATACGAAGAAGTAAGTAAGATGAATGCAAACGGACGGTTTTTCTACACTAAATTATCGGTTTTAGAATAATATTGTGTAATTTCATCGATTAATATTCATCGACAGTTGACAATGACTTAAGTAATTCTTGGCCTCAGCTAACAGGGCTATTCGGCCAGTGACATAACTTTGGCCGCGTTTTTTATTCAAGTTTCAAGCATCCGCTAGCATTACAAGTTTTTACTGTTTTTAATGCTTAAGGTTTATAAAGGCGTTATAAAGGCACTTCTTGTGATGAAAATAAAAAATTAAAAAAAAAAAAAACGCGACCCAATATCTTTGACAATTGACATTATTTGGTTGTGGCTCTAGCGCCGATACCGTGTGTCTAAGAGGTGTCACCGTGAACTTAACGCTGATGTGTTTTTTTTTTGTCGTTTTAGACGGATAAAGAGCTGTGGAATATCGTTTTTCTGACGGCGTCCGTGCTGTTTTTGACCACCGGCATATTCTACGCCGTGGGGGCGTCCGGGGAAGTACAGCCGTGGAACAACAAGCGATTCGAGAAAGAAGAAACGGTGCTGGAGAGGGAAAAGGAACCGATGTACCAGAACGGTACCGCGTGAGGTTCGAATAGATAGTTGATAGGCCGAAATCGATATTGGTTGTTTTTATTTTGGACATGTTTTTTTTGTAAATATTTTTATCTAGAGTTCTAGAAAGTTAGAGCTGGAAGTTTATTGTATAAGTAAGTCCCTTTAGAAACAATATGTAATTTATTTATTAAATTTTTTTTTATAAAATTTTGCGTTTTATTCGTTGATAGTTAAGATTACGATTCGCAGATTGTCAATTTTTTTAATGATTGATTGAAGGATTAGATAGCAAAAGAATAAATCCACAAACACTCCAGAATGTCACTAAAAATCCCGAAGATTAAAAGAACCGTGTCACACTAATCCTCTACTTACTCAATACATTTGAACACATTCCAAACAATCCTCTTTCGCAAACAATCCCAACAATGGAAACCCTCGAAGCCCGAGCAAACAAAACTAATAACAATGGATTAATCGGCTCTATCGCCGCCATACATCTTGACCCGAGCCCTCCACCTATTTCCCCGATCGAAGATTAGATAAATAAACTACTCGTAAGTACCGCCGTGCATTCGCTGGAACTCGAATTGCAATCGAGGCGTGATCGCGCACTTCACCACAACGATATGTCGAGTACTTGCAACGATAATGTTGCTAAAACCGATGGCGATCCCGCGCCCAAACCAGGTAAATTTCAATGAGTGAAAACCCATCAGCTTCGTAAGTAAATTAATGTTACTTACTCTAGTTTATCAACACATCATTGCATTCTTACTAGTTTATCAACACATCATTGCATTCTTACATTAATAGAATTTGGTTTGCGTTAAATTAAGTTTCCTTCCAGCCGGATTCGGTTACCGCCACGTGCAATACATTTTGATGCTAGCCGCTTGTACTGTAAGCTACGGCATAAGAGGCGTCCTAAGCGTAGCAGTTTTAGCCATGATAGCCGATGATAACAACGAAAAAAGCTACAAAGTAAGTTCATACCATTCCTACGAAGCATCGTTGTATCAGCCTCCTTGCAGACATACCCGGAGTGGAAGAGCAAAAAGAACCTCATGTTGTCATCGTTCTTCTGGGGCTACATCGTGCTACAGGTGGGCGCCGGCCAACTGGCCAAGAACTACGGTCCGAAATTGTTCCTCGGTAGCGCTATATTCATCACTTCTATATCCACCATTCTGGTTCCCATTCTCGGAGACGCCATCGGCTACGGCGGCATCATCTTCTGCAGGGTGCTGCAGGGCCTGTCGCAAGGCTTCCTGGTGCCTTCGGTGCACAATTTACTCGGCCAGTGGGCGCCTCTGTCGGAGCGGGCGACCTTCGGAAGCGCCGTATACGCAGGTAGAATCTCGCTCATCGCCGTTTCCTCTGGAGTTGCATCGTTTTGGTTGCTTTAGGTCAAGCGCTGGGTAACATGCTATCGATGCCCATCACGGGCGTCATGTGCTCGTCGAAGTTCGGCTGGCCGGCCGCTTTTTATTTGTACGGAGCTTTCGGGATGGTTTGGTGCATCTTGTGGTTCTTATTTGGCTCGAATCGGCCGGACGAGCACCGGAGCATCTCGCCGGAGGAGCGGCGGTACATCGAGGCGAGCCTGCCCAACGAGGAGGGCGGCAATTCGGTGAGTAGAAGTGGTAGAAATCGCTTTATAATGCTGTAATTCGGGCGATGTTTAGAAAGTTCCGACGCCGTGGAAATCGATCGCCACCTCTCTGCCGATGATATCGTTGGTGATAGCTCACATGGGCCAAAATTGGGGGTTCTGGACGCTGCTGATGGAAATCCCGAGCTTCATGACTAACATATTCGGCGATAATCTGCCTTTGGTACGGCGCGAGTTGCTAATTAAACTGCAAACTAACATCTACTTTTTTGTAGAATAGTCTTCTATCGTCCATACCGTACTTCATGATGTTTGCGTTAACGTTATTAATAAGTCCGATAGCCGATTACATAATCGATAAAAAATTCGTGAGTTTGATAGTAAGCAGGAAAATCTTCAACACCATCGGTACGATTTACTCAACAGCACGAATTCATCAACTTCTTCGTTAACTTCGATTCGGTTTTTCAGGTTTAGGATTGCCGGGTTTGACGCTAATCGCGCTGTGTTTCGTTGAGAATAAAATAGCAACTGTGGTTCTGTTAGTAATAGCAGTGGGTTTGAATTCAGCCCAATACAGCGGTTTCAACATCAACCACATAGATTTGTCGCCCGTCCACGCTGGCACCATGATGGCTATAACCAACAGCATGGCCACCATAGCTTCGATTATAGCCCCGCTGTACATGGATCTGGTGGAAAATTTGGGAGATTACGATGAGGTAAAGGTGCATTGCGCTTATCTGGGCGATGTTTAGCAATGTGTTTTGATTGCAGAAAGATAAGAGTTTGTGGAACATCGTGTTTTGCACGTCTGCAGGGGTTTACATATTCGCTGCGGCGTTTTTCATTATATTCGCATCGGGGGACCTGCAGCCTTGGAATAGCGGAGTAAAACCCGAGAGTGCCAAGTTGAAAGTCATGAGGAAGTTATCTGTTATATCCGTTAGTTAGGCATTAAATTATTCTCCAATTTCTACTCAGCGTTGTAATAAATTATTTTTATTATTGGTGTTTTGTTCGTTGTATCATTTCCCAACAACATGCAGTATCTATTGTTACAAATATCTACATGCACAAATATTTATCTACAAGTAGCAACTTTTCAAGAGGCTTATCTCTTATACAAACCGATCTAAACAATGTAGTTGATATTTTTTCCAAGAAGATAATACAAATCTAGTGAATCTAGATGTGAATAATGTCCACAAATCCCATCGGTAACAATGTCTCTAATCCTGCTAATCCGGGTAAGTTACCAACCTAATAATTTTAACGCAGTAAATATTTGATACAAGCAGGCTTGGGCATCAGACATTTGCAATACACTCTTCTCTTCACCGGAGCTGTAGTTGTATATGGAATGCGTACAGTTCTAATGGTAGCCATAGTAGCAATGACCGACCAGCACCAACCTAACACAACCTACCCGGTAAGTTCTTAAAAAAAAACTCTATTTACCAGCGATTCAAACAAACCAATTATCCAGACTTACCCCGAATGGATCGACGACAAAAACGTGATAATATCCGCATTCTCCTGGGGCCACGTTTGGTTCCAAATCCTGGCCGGCCAGGTGGCCAAAAACCACGGTCCCAAGTACTTCCTAGCGGCAGCCATAGCTGCATCTTCGATGTGCATCCTGCTGGTGCCTTGGGCGAGCGCCCAGCTGGGCTACAAAGGCGTGATAGCCCTGCGGGCGATCGAGGGCGCCTGCCACGGCGTCCTCTTCCCCTCGGTGCATTACATGCTGAGCAAATGGGCGCCCAAATCGGAGCGCGCCCAATGGGGCAGTTTCGTTTACGCCGGTGAATTGATCCAAAAAAAAATAACGGAATGATTCGTTGTAATTACCGGCGAGTTTGCAGGTCAGGTGTTGGGGAATTGCCTGGCAATGCCGGTGACTGGTTTGTTGTGCGCCAGTAAATTCGGATGGCCTTCTGCTTTTTATTTCTACGGTTCAATTTCGTTGGTTTGGACTGCGTTATGGACGATTGTCGGATCGAACACACCAGCTTCGGATGGTCGGATATCGGCTGAAGAAAAAGCGTGGTTGGAGGTGTTGATGGTGGATAAAGAGCAGATCGAGGTACAGGAACTGGTGATTCTGATGGTTAAATTAATAGTAGTTGGGTTTTAGAGGCCTCCGACGCCGTGGAAATCCATTTTCACTTCGGCGCCGTTTTTGGCTGTTGTGGTTACTCATTGCGGGCAAAATTGGGGATTTTGGACGTTGCTCAGCGAGATACCGAGTTTCATGAAATCCGTGATGCATTATAAAATAGCTTCTGTAAGTGTTTATTACCTAAAAAATAGGAATCTATTAGAAATATTGATTTGTAGAACAGCTTGCTGTCAGCTCTTCCCTACTTCGTAATGTGGATCATGAACCTCGTTCTAAGCCCTATAGCTGATTATATAATTTATAAAGGATATGTGCCTCTGATAACGAGTAGAAAAATCTTCAATTCTATAGGTAAAACAAACCCATTTCGAAATCAAATTCACCCTTCCTTTTTTTACAGGCTTCTTCATACCAGCGTTGGCTCTGATTTCAATAACGTTCATCCAAAGCGATAATAGAGCGTTAATTGAAACTATTTTGGTGATAACAGTAGCATTTAATGCTGGACATTATAGTGGTTTCAACATCAACCACATAGATTTATCACCAACGTTCGCCGGAACTTTAATGGGCATCACCAATAGCATATCTGCTGTGTTCACCATTATGGCACCTTTAGCAGTCGATGGGGTGAAGCATATAAGCGGTTACACCGAGGTGAATGAGTTAATTTTGATAAATTTAAATTATTTATTCGTTGTTGTAGGTGGATAAAGAGTTGTGGAATATAATTTTCGGAATATCCGCCGGGTTTTACTTGATGTCCGGGTGCGTTTTTATCGCCTTCGGTTCCGGGGATGTTCAGAGTTGGAATTATCCTGTTGATTTGTAGGATAAATAAATAAATTTGAGTTAATAATGTAGTGGTGAGATAGCGATTTATTGTAATTTGTGCGTTGTAAAGGTAATTATTCAGTTTTTATCTCGTGGAAAAAATTAACATAATAATCCAATAAATTTGAATGATTTTTTTTGACAATATCTACAAAAACCATTTAAATTATCGAGATTAATTCTGATAAATTACTGATATACGTCACATCAAATATGAAAACGATCATTATTCAATAACACTTAATGCAAATAAATTATTATACTTACTCCTATACAGAAAACATTAATTTTATTAAACATTAGTGATGAATTAAACTATTATAAACATGTAACTATTAAATATTTTAAATCCTTCCTTAACCCAAAAAAAAATAACTAAAATTATCCTCATTCTTCCACCTTCAGTACCATATTAAAGTTGAACTTTACAATATTTTAACACATTATACAACACCTGTGCGTAGCCATTATTTCAATACACCCTGTACATGGAAATAGCGATAGAATTACATCTTAATGTTAAGTGAGCATTTATCTTATCACAAAATACGAACTTCTTATATAGAAAATGTTGGATTTGTCAAATGATTGATCCATTCACGAGCTCACCGTAAACATGGGAACGTCTCTAGAAGAAGGATACAACGATAACGACCAGAAAGAGGTTATCGATGAAAATGAACGCGTTAAAAAATGTAAGCAAATATTTATAAATACTTTTAAATAGTTAATTATTTATTGAATCTATAATATACAGATAAAGTTTGCGATATAGTCAATTCAATGAGTTCAATGAGTCGAAGAAAGAAAGGTTGTTAAGATAACAATGTTGGTTGGAGCGAGAATGTTGCAATCTTACAATATCACTCTTTCTTTTTCTTTTATGTGAGGCTAATTGTAGTTGTCTTTGTTGCACCAATACACACACCACATCTCGTTGAAATTTGCACTTAAAAATTAGATTATACTATGGAGTATCTACCAATTATTTGAGTACAAATTTTTGTTGTTTGATGATTAATCTACCTACGCAGGATTTTAATTTAATATTACCGTTAATTTCGTATTGTATTTTCAGTACCATTATTAGGCGTCAGGCACATCCAAATCGCCCTGCTATTCTCCATGCTAGCCATAATATACGCCATGAGAGTAACTCTATCAGTAGCCATTGTAGCGATGATAGGCAATTCCACCACCGATAACCCAAACATACCCGTTCGTATCAGCACTCGATTTATACTCGACAACAATCCTAACCCAACCCGTTACAGACCTACCAATGGACCAACAAAAACGTCATCCTATCCTCGTTCTTCTGGGGCTACATCTGCCTGCAGATCTTCGCCGGCGAGCTGGGCAAGAAGTACGGCACCAAATGGCTGGCTTTCATCGCCATGTTCATCAACTCCACCGCCTGCGTGATGATCCCTTTCATCGCCGACAACCTCGGCTCCTACGGCGTCATCGGTTGCCGCGTCCTGCAAGGTTTGTCCCAAGGTTTCTTCTTTCCCTCGGTGCACAACATCTTGGGCCAATGGGCGCCGCTGGAGGAGCGATCCGTGCTGGGAACCATCGCATTCGCCGGTAGATTCTTCGATGATACATCGAGGTGTTTGTAGATAATTGTTGGTTTGTAGGTCCTTCGTTTGGTACTATCGTTTCGTTGATTATCAGCGGGATAATATGCTCGTCTTGGGCGGGCTGGCCGGTGGCCTTTTACGTGTTCGGCTCGCTGGGTTACGTCTGGATGCTCGCCTGGATGCTCCTCTGCGCTAACAGCCCAGCCTCGCACAAGTGGATATCCAATGAAGAGCGCCGGTACATCCAGAAGAGTTTGAGCGTGAAAGAAGACGAAGAGGTATTAGCTTCTTCTACATCTTCTACATCTTCTTCTACATCTTCTACATCTTCTTCTACATCTTCTACATCTTCTTCTATATCTTCTACATCTTCTTCTACATCTTCATCTACATCTTCTACATCTTCTTCTACATCTTCTTATGTTGTTCGGTGTGTTGTTTTAGATACCGGCGACTCCTTGGAAGAGCATCTTCACTTCGATGCCGGTTTGGGCGTTTGTGGTGGCGATGTTCGGGCAGAATTGGGGCTACAGTACGATGCTCACCGAAATCCCCAGTTACCTGCATTCCGTTATGAAATTCGAGATGACTCAGGTGAGTAGACTCGCAATCTGCACACGTCCTGGACCTCGAATTGCTTGTGAATTTTCTAGAATAGCGTACTATCCGCTGCTCCGTACATAGCCTCGTTCATCTTGAGCTTCGTGTTCGGTTATCTATCGGATTTCCTGATCAACGGGAATTACATTTCGAGGCGAAACTCCAGGAAGCTCCTTAACTCAATAGGTGAGAGATTTCTTGTAGTTAATTGCATGATTTCTAGTTGTTGGTTGTAGGGACTTTCGTGCCGTCGTTGGCGTTGATAGTTTTGGGTTTCCTGGATAGCAGCCAGAGCGTTTTGGCGGTGAGCATGTTGATTATAGCTGTGGGTGTGAACGCCGCCTGTTTCGCCGGATTCCAAATCAACCCGGTGGATTTGGCGCCGAAATTCTCCGGGATATTGATGGGCATCGGCAACGGGTCCTCTAACATCTTCTCCATCATCGCGCCGTTGATGGTGCAAGTGGTGGTGGGCGATAATGAGGTGGGAGCTAGAGTGGATGTTTGAGAATTGATTTTTGAGGATATGTTTTTTTTTTTTGTAGACGGATAAGACTTTGTGGAGGACGATTTTTATAATAGCTGCTTGCGTTTACACGGCTTCGGATGTGTTTTATGTGTTGTTCGCGAAAGGGGAAGTGCAGGAATGGAACAACATCGAAGTAGCGCCGAAAGTGGATAAAGAACTGGCGGAGCAAAGGAGGAAATCGAAAATGAGTTGTTAATTAAATTTAATTTGTTATCATCCATTTGTAATAGACCTGTGATACTTGTACAACTGTTGTGTTTACTGCAATTATAAAGAAATATAAAAACTCGAATGGTGTTTATCATTTCAGTCCAATTTTGGTAGTTTTTAATTGAATAAAATTCGCGAAAAATGCCGAAAATTCGTTGCGTTGAATTAAAAACAAATTATCCTCTAATCGATGAATTTATGAATACACGTGAAATTAATCAGTCGGAAATGCTTGGCAATTTTTTAAACATTTGTAAGTACAAATAATTAGATAATAACGGGGCGCTCGGCGGAAAACATGTAATTTCGAATTCGCGAAAATTGGATAAATCACAATAGTTTCTAATGCGAATATCGAACGATTTGGAAATACGATTCATTTTCCTGAAAATGTTCCGGCAAAATGGTAGTTAGAACGAGAGTTTCTGTCGTTTCCAAAGACTTTTTGAAACACGGTAAGTTTAGGAAAATCTAATTTTAATAATACCTACTGATTGGTTATAAATTTTCATCGGAATGTAAAGAACTCGTAACTCGAGATAATTCATAATTTTCAACAGGCTAAATTGGAATTTCTAAATCACAGCCGAAACCCCTCTATATCTATTAATGAATGGTTTATTTATCCACTCGAATGGAGCTTCTTATAAGATAAGATGTACAGAGATTCTCGTTATTTCGACGATTAACTAGGTAGTCGTAAATCCATTATATCTAATCGTAATTAACGAATAATAAGGAAACTGTCCGGCAGCAGAAAGATGAATTAAATTCGAATCTGTTATACGTTACTAGAAAAGAAGGAAAATGATTTTTCTTAAGAAATTGTGTTGTGGTGTTAAAGATGAAAATGCCGTACAAAGAACAGGTGAGTGGTTTTTAAATTGCACAAAAATATCTTGTTTATTTATTCGGATGCGTTCCTATTGAGATAAATAATAAATAATTGCGAAATGTTTTTTGAAAATTGGAGCATGCATTGTATTTTAATTCATATTGTTATGCTGAAATAGAATAGTGATTTGATAAAGAAATGTGCTTTTTCAAAATGGTTGCACAAACAACAAAATTGCACCACGTAGAAAAACATAAATTTATGATTACGGGAAGTGGTAATTATTTATTTTCCAAATAAGACAAAAATCGTGTAAAATACAGAATTAATTTACACGTAAAAATACTTTTGTAATTGAAGTATAATTAAACACACGTCACGATAAAAATACCTAACACTTATTATGACCGAGCCAGATTTACAATCCACTTAACGATATCGATTAGAAGGTATTTAATTAATAAATACACAAAAATTAATCTACCTAAAAAAACCTCAACCATTGTTCTATTCGTTTTATTCTTCAATTTCAAGAATTCTTTTAAAATTTAATATATTGTAGTCGTTCAAATAGAAAGACAATAATGACCAAAACTAATACATATATTTACGTGACCTCCACTAAAACTCGATATCGTTTATCAGCAAAAGGATTTAATAGTTTTTTTTATTCGAATTTATAGTACTATTGACAGTGTTCCGAAATTAACATTTAGCGCGTTGTGATTCTCAACGATGTACCAACCACTAACCAGAACCGGTACTAACTCACCCACTTACATACTCAAACCATCACCATCAATAAATCCTTCATCAGGTATACCAACAACTCGTATATTCTTCCAGGTCCTGTGATAGGCATCCGCCATTTGCAAGTACTCTTCTACTTCCTCCTGCTCACCTACACCTACTGCATGCGCACGGTACTCTCGGTATCCGTAGAAGCAATGATCAACAGCACCACCACCAACCCAAACATAGAGGTACACCAATCAATCCGTCTCTTCTAAGCTCAAAAATCACCTGCATTCGCAAAATGTTCCAGACCTACGACTGGGAGAAGAAGCGCAGCGTCCTGCTGTCGTCCTTCTTCTGGGGCTACTTCGTCCTGCAGATACCGGTCGCCTATTTGGGGAAGATGTACGGCCCCAAGTCGATGCTGGTGGTTTGCTCGCTGGTGGACTCCACCTCGTGCTTGCTGATACCCACCATGGCGCGGCGTTTCGACGCCTACGGCGTCATCGCCTGCAGGATCTTCCAAGGACTGGCCCAAGGAGGCATCGCCCCTTTGGTGCACTCGCTTTTGGGGCGTTGGGCGCCTCCTTCCGAGAGATCTGTACTGGGAACGGTGACGTACACCGGTGGGTTTGGGTGGAAGGCGGTGTTGCCGCGTTGGAGTATTTTTCTAGTAGTTTAGGTAATTTTTTTAGGTGCTGTGTTTGGTAATATTCTCGCTCTGCCGATCACAGGGGTGATATGTTCGAGTTGGGCCGGCTGGCCGGCTTCGTTCTATCTGTTCGGGGCGTTGGGCGTGAAATGGGCGATGTTGTGGGCGATTTTCGGCTCGAATACTCCGCGCGATCATAGACGGATCACCGACGAGGAGAGAACTTACATATTGGAATCGCTGGGTCATCAAGAGGAGAAGGTGATTGGGGTGCTTTTTGTTTGATTAGTTATGTTTTTTGTTGGGTTTTGCAGGTGCACGAAACTCCTTGGAAGAGGATTTTAACATCGCCGCCTTTTTGGGCCATCACGCTGGCCTTCATAGGCGCCAATTGGGGCAGTTCGGTCCTGTTGACGCAAACGCCGACGTATCTGAACAAAATTTTAGAGTACGATATCAAAACGGTAAGCGAAAAAAACCAAGTGATAGTTATCGATGTTTTACAAAATGCTACTGAAGTAGCGAGATAAAAAAAACTTGTATCTATTCCACAGAACGGTCTCTTATCCGCTGCTCCTTATCTAGCCATGGGAATTTGCTCCATAGCATTCAGCTCGATATGCGATTGGATTATCAACAGGAGCATCGTCGAAAGAGGAACAGCCAGAAAAATCTTCAACAGCATAGGTACTATAATCAACCAACCAACTAACAAACTCCTCGATTTGGTACCTTCGCAGGAACTCTACTGCCCGCCCTCAGCCTCACCATCGTAGGTTTCATTCCGAAAGGGCACAGCACCCTCTCGGTGGCTCTTTTGATCTTCAACGGTGGCCTCACCGCCGGCGGAATTTGCGGGTTCCAAGTGAACCACGTGGACTTGTCGCCGAACCACTCGGGCATCCTGATGGGCATCACCAACAGCTGGACGAGCATCTTCTCGATCATATCGCCGTTGATAGTGCAGTTTATCGTTACCGATGACGTAAGCGTACTTGCGAATAATCTAATCTCTCGAATTCCTTTATTGGAATGGTTGTTTCAGACTAATCAAACACAATGGAGGACGATTTTTCTGATATCGGCCGGTATATACGCGGTGACCGATTTGTTTTTTATTGTATTCGCCTCGGGCGAGGTGCAGGAGTGGAACAATTGCGAGGATATGGCAGGAGATGCGGAAAATGCCCGAGGAAAATCCGATGAAGATGAACCGATCGAGAACGGTACCATCGAGAGATATTAGACGAATTGATTAAATTATAACCTGTGATCTCGTAATCATACATTTATTAACTGTTGTCTCTTTTTTTTTTAACTATTTTTATCTATTATAGGAATAAAACATTAGGTACATTGTGAATTTCATTATACCCACGAATTAATTAAAGAGGTTACAGCGAACATATACACCTTATCACACAGATATTACGAGTTATCATTCGACGACCGATATTTAACGGATTAATCATTGACCCCGAACTATTCGGTAATTACATTTTAATTAATTACGAACGATAAAGTCTCGGAATGATATTTCTACTAAATTAAACTGCTCTTTTACGCCGCCTCCACCTCTTGGAATGCCCTCATGCCCATCATCGATTGCGGCATTTGAATCACCTTGATCACCAAAGCCCACGTCAGTTTCCACGGCAGAAAACTAAAAAAGAAAAATCTCACAAAACCGCCGGAGAAGATGAAGATGATATCGACTGTTCAAAGTAGTCGCTGAAGAAGATATTAACTATCTAAAGTAGTCGATGAAGAAGATATTAACTATCTAAAGTAGTCGATGAAAAAGATATTAACTATCTAAAGTAGTCGATGAAGAAGATATTGATAGAGAAGTTGATGAAGTAGATATTGACTAGAGAAGTTGCTGATGAAGATATTGACTATGTAAAGTAGTCGATGAAGAAGATATTGATAGAGAAGTTGATGAAGTAGATATTGACTAGAGAAGTTGCTGATGAAGATATCGACTATGTAAAGTAGTCGATGAAGAAGATATTGACTAGAGAAGTTGCTGATGAAGGTATTAACTATGTAAAATAGTTGCTGAAGAAGATATTAACTATGTAAAGTAGTCGATGAAGAAGATATTGACTCGAGTAGTCGATGAAGAAGATACTTACTGTTTGAGAGGTAACGTGTACCTAGCAAATCCGGGTAAAGTAACGAAAACCTCGTCCCTTTTTATAGCTGTGATTATCCTCCTGGCTACATCTTTAGGCTCCAGCATGGGCATGTTTCTGGGCTTGCAGCCGTCGAACATGCCGGTGTTGATGAAGTAGGGACAAATCAAAGACATTTTGATCTTGTGGTGACCGTGTGCCTGAAACAAACCAATCGTAATACATCTGGTAAACGATGAAAGAGGTTTCTGTACTTTTAATTCCGTCATCAGGCTTTCGTGGAAGCCGATGGTGGCGAATTTGGAAGCGCTGTAATCCACGCATTTGTACATTCCAAGTAAACCTGTGAGGCTTCCTACTGTGACAATATGGCCGCTTCTTCGTTTCATCATGTCCGGTAAAAACGATTTCGTCGTCTGGAAATATTTCGCAGTTTATACAGAGATAAGTGCCCATTCACATTCATCTACTTCTACAAGATTCTTACCCAATAATGCGAGATTACGTTGACTTTGAAGGTTTTTTCTATCATGTAATCGGGGATATCCAGGAAGGTTTGTCCACACACCACGCCTGCGTTGTTGATTAGAATATCCACCGGACCGAATTCTTCTTTCACGAATTTAGCGTTTTTGTAAACCAATTCTCTGTCGGATATGTCCACTGTGTAGGTGTGTATGGTGAAATCCTTCTTGCTCAAGTCGCTCTTTAATTTGTCCAAAGCTGAAAAAAAAGTGCATATGGAAAGTCGAATTTTTTGTTTCTGTATATATACTAATTGCAACACGCCTTTTGCAATGTTGCTGCCGGTATTTTACGGTAAATACAATTACCACTCGGTTTCACAATAAGAACATTTTAAGTGGAACGAACTCGGCTAGTATTTTATTATGATATTTTGCATGTACCGAGGGCACTTTACCATAACGCATATTCGTGTTGTTAAATGCATATAATACCTTCGCTAGCTACTTTCTAACGGCTAATTTCGCCTTAATAACGACTAAAAGTGTCAAATTGAGTACAAGATAATTAACTCCCTATAATATTATTTACTGGAATTGTTGATTGTTGCAAAAATTATGAATAATTAATGCGCGATTTCCAATTTTTCGGTAGCATCGTTCAAGCATTACGAAATTTTGAAATGTAATCGATTAGATGCATAAGAAGTTTCCGTGCAACTTTCTCTTTAAATTTACACATTTTTGCGACATCATAAATTACAACAAACAGATTATTTAGCATCTTCTATCATTCCGTATACAAAAAAAAATCCTCTTCTTCCCCATTTCCCATTCTCCTGCGAAACTTTCCCACAATTCATCTCACCTTCTCCATTACTAAACCTCTTCTTCCACATGTCCAATTCTCCTACGAACCTTTCCAACAATTCATCTTACCTTCTCCATTACTAAACCTCTTCTTCCACATGTCCCATTCTCCTACGAACCTTTCCAACAATTCATCTTACCTTCTCCATTACTAAACCTCTTCTTCCACATGTCCCATTCTCCTACGAACCTTTCCAACAATTCATCTTACCTTCTCCATTACTAAACCTCTTCTTCCACATGTCCCATTCTCCTACGAACCTTTCCCACAATTCATCTCACCTTCTCCATTACTAAACCTCTTCTTCCCCATTTCCCATTCTCCTACGAACCTTTCCCACAATTCATCTCACCTTCTCCATTGCTAATCCTCTTCATCCACATTTCCCATTCTCCTACGAACCTTTCCCACAATTCATCTCACCTTCTCCATTACTAAACCTCTTCTTCCACATGTCCCATTCTCCTACGAACCTTTCCAACAATTAATCCCACCTTCTCCATTACTAAACCTCTTCTTCCACATGTCCCATTCTCCTACGAACCTTCCCAACAATTAATCCCACCTTCTCCATTGCTAATCCTCTTCTTCCCCATTTCCCACTCACCTCCTAAACTCTTCGACCTTCGAAAAGAACCCCATCTTACCTTTTTCGTTGTTGTCCCACACGATGACGGTGAGCCCATGCTTGGCCAATCTGAGCACCAGCTCCCTGCCCACTCCGCCGGCTCCGCCGGTGATCAGCGCCGTTTTCCCGGCCAAGTCCTTCTCCGGTACCATGAAGGAGGGGGCCAAGGTCAGCGCGAACGACTCGGCGAAGTAGTAAAGGGCCAGGACGGCCACCACGACCAGCTCCGCCAGTCTGGTGGAGGCCCGGAAAATCCCTTCGGCCGCCGCTTCGTACCAGCACCAGGTGAATCTGTGGAAAATTCGTTTGGAAGTGTAAGTAAAGCGGCTGTTTGAATGATCTTTAAGGCCCCCTGTAAGCTTGTTTTGCATAAAAATAGTTTGTACTACAATGGAGTAAATTATTTAAAAGGTTTACAAAAGAGTGGAATACTTATTAGTAGTAGTTTCTATGCAACAAAATAGTTCGGAAAAAAACCTAGATATTTCGTTCATAATCTAATGCTTAAAAGTATAAATAAACAGCTCTTTTAAGTGTTAAAAAATATTCCAACCAAGTACCAACGCTCCGGTAACCTTATTTTGCATAAAAATAGTTTATACTACAATGGAATAAATATTTGAAAAGTTTTACAAAGGAGTAAATAAATACGCTTTATATACATAGTTTCTAAAATAGATCTCATATTTCAATACTTGTTTTTTTGTAATGTATCTACACTATTAATTCAATACCTCTCAATAAATTAATGAAACCATTTAAACAAATTCCAATTCCCAACAACGCCTGCATGTGCACCATTAATATTCAACAAAAAAAAAGTGCACTCTAAATAACTATCTAATAGTCTATCATTTTTTTTATTCAACCTCATCGGTATTCAACTCACCTCTTGATGAACTCCAAGTAACCCATCTTAAATGCACCGGGAATGAAATAGGTCCGCGTTCGGTAAAAGAACTCACTGCACTATCGCTTCGTTAATTTTAATGACAATTTTCGGCTTTGGTATTTTTATTTTTTTTTTTTCGATCTCGCTCGCTCGTCTATTATGCCGCAGGAATAAGTTACCGGTGTCTTCTTTGCTGTATTATTTTGAACGGTATAGGTAAGTGCCTGTAAGTGCGCTTCCTGCGGCGTTGCCACTAGATCGAGGAATTCCCCGGAAATGGGGAATTCCTTATTTTAGTTTTGTTTAGTGAGGAAATCTGCTGGTGCTAAATCTGGTCGACTAGGAGGTGAGTTTCGTTTCTAATAAACAACGACGATTCTAAAGGGATATTAGGTAGGTAAAGCGAGTGAATTCGATGGGTAGTTATAGGAAGGTTTTTAAAATTTAAAGCGACCTGGGGAAAAAACTAGCCAGCGCTTCGGCAACAATGTTTTGTATTATTGTAGTCGAGTTGTAGGTCATCCGAAGAGAAAACACCGAATCTACCGTATTCTAATGGCTTTCTTTCGGATGCGTTAGAGATCAAATTGATCGATTCGATTCGTAAAAATAAACCCGCTCGGTTATTCGTTGACATATAAGACAAAACGGCTGTTAGAAAGTAATTTCTTTTTATTTTCAATGCGAGTACAAAGCTTCTATTTCGTGCCCGCGTCCTTTCTCCGGTAAGTTGCGCTCCAACACAACGATAACTCTAAAATAAAACGGCGCTCTAAAAGATCTACTAATGGGTTAAATACGATCGGTACTTACAATACGATACCGGCGCTTATAATGTACAATCCCATGGAGATGAAATTGAATAGAGAAGTGTTTATTTCGATGGTGGCGTTGTAAAAAAAAGTGTACGAAGAAGTCGCCGCCAGGCTGGTGATTCCCCCGATGGCGGATATCAATCCGAATATTTTGCCCATTTCTTGGGCCGGTATAAAATCGCCCAATTCCGTTCGCAATAAAGGCGTCACGATCGTTCCGAACAGACCAATGGAAGTTGCTGATAAAACAAATATTAAGTACAGTTAACTTGTTGTACAAAAAAAAGGTTCATTAACATACTGCTAATTACTCGAGCGTGATGGTAAATTAAATTAAACATCTTTTATACCTCCGTAAATGTAACAATCGTTAATGGCGATTCCGAGGAAAAAGCTGCCCATCGCATTCGATATCAATCCGAGGAAACACAAAAGCGAAGCTTGTATATCCAATAACTTGTAGAAGAAATACACTCCAGCCACCGTACTGGCCATGTTTAGCACCATGGAAATGCTGGTGAAAACGTTGTTCTTTACCAAAGTCCAGTGCAGTTTTTCTCTGAGAAACGGGAACTTTACAGTTCTCTCGCCGTTCGTAACGAAATTCGTCGCGGTTAAAACGGCGAGAATCAAAAATAGAAGAGCCCTTTGGCGCCCTTCGCGCTTTTTGAAAGCCGTTTCGAAAATGCCGGTGATGATTTTGTAATGACAAACTCTCTAAAACAAATCTTTAATATATAATGATCCTCGAGGTGTCTAACCACAACGCACTTGATTCGTGTTTTCCTCGAGTTCCTCGAACACCAAGGACTCCGGCAGGAGAAACACCGTGTACAACAAACCCAATCCTATCAATCCTGCTGAGATAAAAAAGCACGTTTGGTAATTCGTCGCGTACAGTAAATAGGAACTCGAAAGTGTTCCGATAAACATACCGACAGTCATAACCGCTTCGAATACAGCCATTCTAAAAACAACCTGTTTTTGACTCGAAACAACCCATGGCGAATCATTACCTAATTCCTCGAGATTCCGCTGTGGATGTATCGTTAATATAAGCTAAAGTAACCGACAGGTAAGTGGGTAAACCCCCGCAAAGCATCGCAGGAATCGAACCAGCTAGGAACAACCACGGCGAAAGTTGTTTGACGCAAATTAATATGCCATACAACACCATGCTTAGAGTCATCCCTAAAAACTCCCGATTGTATTGTAGGTACTACTGCTGGTGCTGGGATAGTTCACCTGATAAAACGAGCAGTAAGACGGGTTTCCTGCCGTAAATGTCCGACCAAGAGCTAATGAACATGTTGGTTGTGATGGGAACGAGGCTTTGCATCATTTCCATCACCATGAGTATAATGTTGCCGGATAATTGGACTTCAGTTTCCAAGCGTTTCACGTCCTTTTCGTTCGTTTCCTTGCCCAATTCGTTGCAGAGGTACTCGTCTTGGCCTAGTATATTATAGCACGTTCTGTAGTAGATCAAGTTGGTCAGTAGCGAACCTGTTTAATGGAATTCTTTAGTGCCTACTTGGAGTTTTCCGATTCTATATACTTTGAAAATTAACTTTCATTTCGTAGATGCGATGGATTTTGAATTGAAAACTTGTTAGGTACTATTTTGGTAGGTACTGCCATCTATTAAATGTATTATAGTATCACGCAAACGATAATTATCACTTACCGATCAACAAATAGCTAAAGAAACAGAGGAAAAGTGGCACTTCAAACGTAATATTCTTATACCAATTCATCGTTACCTATTCATGCACAGTTTAAAGATTAGATTTATATTGAAATTATGTTACTCGCAGAGTGCTGAGCGCATTAAAATGATGATCGTTTAAAAGCGAAAATTTGTTCCAATTAGATAAGATCCGTATCTTAATCCGTTTAGTTTATCGTTATGAAATATAACTATTAGGTGTGTTAAAAAAAAGCTGTAATTTTGTCCAAATGTAATAGGTGGCTATGGATATGTCATCCAAGGAAATCCCCTACAGAGCTGATTGAATTCATATTTAACCCTATGCTAGAATGGCAAAAAATTGAAAATTACAATTAAAAAATAACAAATCAACACCTCTATCATTTTAAATCAATAAAGTAAGAATAAAATGTGAGTATTCCAAGTTTTAAATTTACCTGTTGTTTCAACTGTCAACAACGTCACGGTTACGGTTACGCGACATACTTGTTCGAGCAACGCAGTTCGATTGTTACACTGTTGCCATTATTTAAATACATCTCATACCCCTGCTACTAACATCAAAAATTTACTACTTAAAAAACAGTAGTTCATAATTTCGAAACATATCATAAACTAATCCACTAATCCATTACCGTAAGTCTAATTTTATTGCATTTTTACAACGTTTGCACATTTCGCAACGCCGTTGCACCAGTTCCGTTAGACGAACAACTTAAAACCTCAAACTGACATATGACATTCCAAGTATAAGTAAAAAGAAGAATGTAGATAAAATATAAACAACAAAAAAATCCCGTTTTACAACTTTATAGCGTTTATGTCGTGCTTATTTCATCGAATCTACTGATTCAATATGTCTTCCTACTTGCGGGGCTCCGCTAATTACGTCTGGTCCACGACCAGCATTTTAGGTAAAGGGGCCACAGCCACCGTCCACCAAGGCGTGAATAAAGTCAACGGGGAGCCCGTGGCGGTGAAAACATTCAACCACATCAGCACGCTTCGACCGCAGGAAATCCAATTGCGAGAATTCGAAGTGCTAAAATTGGTAAATCACGAGAACATCGTTAAACTCCTCGCCATCGAAGAGGAGCAGGAGAATAGAGGCAAGGTGATCGTCATGGAATTGTGCACCGGTGGAAGTTTGTTTAATATCCTGGACGATCCCGAGAACACCTACGGATTAGAAGAATCCGAATTCCTGTTGGTTCTGGAGCATTTGTATAAAGGAATGAAGCATTTACGAGACAATAATCTCATACACAGAGATTTGAAACCCGGTAATAATAAATCTGTATGTTAATTAAAGTGTATTGAATGTGGAATTTTGTAGGTAATATAATGAAGTTTATTCGTGACGATGGTACTACGATATATAAATTAACCGATTTCGGAGCTGCTAGGGAACTACAAGAAGGCCAGTATTTTCAGTCTCTATACGGAACAGAAGAATATTTACATCCCGATATGTACGAAAGAGCCGTTCTAAGAAAACACGCCAATAAAACCTTCGGTGCTACCATAGATTTATGGTCCATAGGAGTCACATTATACCATGTAGCTACTGGTAAATTTAAATCCCAACAAAAGAGTATTTTATTTACCTAAAACTGTACACTTTCAGGTAATTTACCGTTCAGGCCTTACGGAGGCAGAAGGAATAAGGAGACAATGCATTACATCACAACCAAAAAGACCAGCGGAGTCATTTCTGGTATCCAAGCGAAAGAAAACGGGCCGATAGATTGGAAACACGAAATGCCCGATAATTGCCAGTTAAGCTACGGTTTGAAAAAGATCATTACACCTCTTCTGGCCGGTTTATTGGAAGCCGATCACAACAAAATATGGTCGTTCGATAAGTTCTTCAACGAAGTCGATGTGGTGCTCTCTCGAAAAGTCTTCAACATATTCCACGTGAACAAAGTTCAACTCATCAAAGTGTACGTGTTGCCCGAGGAAAAGTACGAGCACCTCCAAAACTACGTCAAAGAACAAACCGAAATAGAAGAGGCCAATCAAATTCTGATATACCAAAACAATTTGCTGAAGAGCCTCGTGGAGGATTATACGTTATCGAGCGGTTACCCCAAAACCACCAAAGAAGATCCGCTGTTTTTATTCAACAAAGAAGACAATAATGTTACTGTAGATCCTTATCAGGAATTGCCGAAGTTCAACGAATTTTCGTCGGTGATGTCCGTCGAAAACGACGCCGCTCAAGCCAAATTCGCCTGCAGCATCGGCCACCAATGCAAGAGATTAATCGAAAAGTATTCATTACTAAGCAAAATCATCCGAGACTCCGTAGAGTATTTCACCAAACACAAAATATCGGAATTGAGCCAGCTACACCAGGACACCCAGCACTTGCTCGAGAAGACTTCGATACTAAAAAAAACCTCCGATATCCTCCAGCTATCGCAGGAGATGAGCAGCTACAAAAACAAACTAAACTTCTCCAAAAAACTCGAAGAAATCAGCAAGTACTTCATCACCGTATCGGCCGCCGAGGTGACGAATTTACACAAAGCCCAGTGCATCGATAACACGCTGAAGCTCCAATGGGACAGCACCAGCAGGGACTTGAAGTGCCCCTACAAGACCCGGGCACCCGCCAGAGCCAAAGCTCAAGTCGAGCACCTGCGGGACTCCTGGCAGCATTTGGTGCGCGATAGAGCCACGCGGAATTTGAGCTACAACGACGAGCAGTTCCACATATTAGAGCGGATCAAAATCACGCAGACTCTGAGCAGGCTCAAAGGGCTGTTCGAGAAGGAGGCGTTTCCGCAGTACAAGGACCTGGCGGAGAATCTCGGCGATTGGTACAAAATGGCTCAAAATATTCACCTCAAATCAGAAATACATGAACATGATGTTAGAAGGTACGATGCGAAGTTGGGGGACTTTCAAGAGGAGTTGAACATCGAGAACGGGGAGTATACGGAGTATTTGAAGTCCAACGGTAAATCGAACAATTCCCCGAAGAATATTAAAATTAAGAAGATTAAGAAATTGTTGACGAAAGATATCCTGATGGAATGCGAGAGTACTAGGGAAGTGATCAATATGAATAGCGATTTGTTGCAGAAACTCAACGAACTGACTTTGAAAATTGGAAATAATACTTCCATTAATACTTACAAGGATACCGGATGCGCGGATTGATCTAATCACAGTGATTTTATTTCTTTTTTTTTCGTTTTATTTTATTTACATATTGTTTATTTAAAATAGATCTTTATGCACTACTTCTGTTTATGTATAATACAGTATTTTGATATTATTATTCCCGGCTAAAAGCATATACTAGATTTAGGAATTACATTTATATATATATTTATCATATGTGATATTTTTCTCAATAAAAACGTATTGCAACTGCATTTATTTCGATTATTACAACAACCATTTCACAATGTAATAATTCCTTTTGCCTACCCTAAGTAAAGAAGTGTTATTTTTCAATCTATGTATATTTAAATTCACTATTTCGCTCGGATTGTTCACCCGTTGCTGGTTAATGTAGAAACCCCCTGCCGATATTATCCTTATGGCATCCTCTGCAAAAATTCAACGAGTATCGTCAAGTATTTTATCAAGTATTGTCTGCTTACGTTTGGTAGGAAAACAGCCAGCTTTCATGGCTACATCTAAAATACTTTGACCGGCCTCCGAGAGCACCTCTACGATAGTAGCACCGTGGAAAGTTTCGGATATTTCTTTAGGATGCATTTCACCTAAAGCTGTCACGCTGCCTTCGTAAAGAGCTTTACTGGCTGCCTGAGCTTTCGCTAAACCTTCTTCCCCACGAACTAACAACGTCACCTGGATGTTAAAGTATGAATTAAATAATTGTGGTGAGTACGAAATGTGTTTTACCTGCTCGGCTAAGCGTTTTTGGGGTAACTGCAATTGAGGTTGTTCTTTGTGTTTTCTCATCAAATCGTTTATACTGCCTAGTGTATCGAAAGTGAAGAGTTTTAGGAATTTTTCCACCTCCGAATCCGGTTGTCTTATCCAGAATTGGTAGAATGTAAAATCTGATGTTTGATCGTTACTAAGCCACACCGCGTTACCAGCTGATTTACCAAATTTATCCCCCATTTCTGTTGTAACTAACGGTAGAGTAAGACCTATATAACAATTCGAAAATCACTTAAAGGTTTTATAATCGAATAAAATTTGAACTCACCGTAAACTTGCTTATTGCAAATTTTACTGATCAATTCGTGACCCGACATGATGTTGCCCATTTGATCGTTACCTCCTATCTGCAAGTTACAAATCATAACACTCTGATGATCGATGAATTAATAGAGCTTACCTGAAACGTGCAATTGTGCTTCTTGAACAAATGCAACCAATCGTAGGCTTGGAATAATTGATAGCTGAATTCTGTGAAGCTCATTCCGCTCGACGATTGCAATCTGTTTTGAACGCTGGTCCTCGACAACAGGGTGCCCATTCGTAGGTACTTACCGGCACCGCCTATTAGCTCTACGGGGTTCATTATTTGGTACCAACTTTCGTTGTTTAGTATTCTACGATTTTATTATTATTACTACAAGTAAGTATCGAAAAGGAAGTTGTTTCACCTAAGAGGCTCCAACTTGGTTGTATCTTTCCAAAAGTACTTTTCGTGGTTGTTAAAAATCGCGTTTATGTTACTACAAAGTCCTGTTATATTTTCTTCTATAATTGTTCTTGCGATTTCTTCTCGTTCTTTCGTACGTCCACTAGGGTCTCCTATTTTTGCGGTTGCTCCTCCTACCTATAGAACATTTACTAAAGTACTTATTGAGGTAATTTTACATTAAACATACCACAGCAATAGGGTGATGACCGCCCCGTTGCCAGTGCAATAAATTAATTAGCACTAATAAATTCCCGACGTGTAAACTGTTAGCTGTAGGATCGAATCCAGCGTATACTACTTGAGGACGGGCGTTTAACACGTCTGTTACCACATTCCTGAAATTGAGAATTCGAAAAGAAACCGAAATTTTGCGAAAACGAGCGAAACTTACGCCGCGTTATCTGGAAATATATCCTCGAACATGCCGCGTTCTTTCAATTTCAATACATTCCTATTCGAGTAATGCCTATAACAGAATATCACGCCTGTTTTTCCGTAGTTTAAGAAGTATTTGGTAAACATTTTCGTATTTTTGATGAGATAATTTATAGGTTAAAAAGTAGGGTTATAATCTTCTTCTTTCCTTACATTTTGAAGTATCATATGTCAAAGTTGATCAAAGTCTAGGAAGATTTATTGCGTAAACATTCAAGTTGGCAGTACTGATTCAAATTCAAATTCGTAACTTCAAAGAATTTGAAATAATCATTTATTCAAAAAATATTTTCGAGTTTTCAGCCAACAACGTAGCATTTACCGATCGACAATTACATTATCGAGGCAAATTTCACGTTGAATTGAACAGAAAATGCAATCGTTTATCTCTCGCTAAAAAAAAAGTGCTAGTCATTTTCGTGGTGAAATAATTCGAGAGACATTACTGTATAAAATAATGGCAGCAACCGCCGTAGCCGTGCCCCGAAAACTCGACGAAGAGGTACGATTCAATCAAAACAAACCTCCAATTCATTAATTATTCATCTTTTCCCAGTCCGAAGAAGACAAGGAATTGCAATCCGAACTAAAACTGCTCGTCGATAAGATCACAGTAAGTCCAACATTCACTTCAAATAAACAATAAATCAACTACACGATTATCTCAACAACAAGGGAAAAGACCAGCTACTCATCCCCTCCGCATTGGAGATGATGAAATATTTAATAAGAACATCGACGACTTCGATGACCTCCGTGCCCAAACCTCTCAAATACCTGGCCCCTTTCTACGACGAATTGAAAAAAGCCCACGAGAAAATGTCCAACGACGCCGTAAAGAAAAGCCTCGCCGACATTATATCCTTACTAGCCATGGGAACAGCCGGAGGAGAAGAGGCCAAGAAGAACCGGGATTGCCTGAGATATTGCCTTATGGGTAAGATATTCCAAAGACTAGATGTCATTTACTATCTTTTTCTTACACCCTATATAATGGGGGTCATTCATTTACTGTTTATCAGATACTTATCTTCCTATCTCTACTCTTACCAGGTACTATGAAGAATATAGGCGATTGGGGACACGAATACATCAGGCAATTGGAGAAAGAAATCGTGCAACAATGGAACTTCAACTGCGAAAAAACCACGCGACAAATACTCCCTCTAATCAAAGACATCATGATCTTCAACACCACCCATCACGCCGAAATCCAGGGTAACAAACCAACCGATTACATCAAATTTTCCAAACCTAGTCGTATCGTTATAGGTTGCGATCTGCTGATGGAAATCGACCTGCTGAACGAGCTACCTCAGTACATGAGCAAAAACAACTACCCCAGGATCTGCATGTACCTACATTCCTGCTCGAAGTACGTCGACGACATCGAGCGCATCAAAATCATGAAGCTGGTGAAGGATCAGTATATACAATTCGGCGAATACGCTAAAGCTTTAATAACAGCCATGCAAAGCGACGACGGGGATTTGATCAATAAAATCTTCTCCACCTGCACCGATAAGTCTGTTGAATACTTAACCAACGTGCTTAACTTACTAATGTATTCGTTTTGTGTGTTTGTATAGGATCGTATTGTATCAACTAGCGTTCATCTGCGCCCGACAGAACTACATGATCGATTTGGATCCCAATAATGCTCATTACGACGCCATTATGGGGATATTGAGCAACAGCCATTTGAGCTCCTACTTCGCCACCTTAGCTAGAGAGGTTTGTTATGATTTTCGATAGTACAAATTCGTATATAATCCGATTATTAGCTGGACGTGCTGGAGCCCAAAACGCCCGAAGATGTCTACAAAACCTGGCTGGAACCGGTACCGCCGAGACTCACCATCCTCGGCGAGAACATGAACAGCGCTAGACAAAATTTAGCATCGTCCTTCGTTAATGGCTTCGTCAACGCCGGTTTCGGCAGCGATAAACTTCTTACAGTCGATGGAGGTGAAAGAAACCACTTCTTTAACAAGTAAATAATACTAATTCGATAAAATTGTCGAAGGTAACAAATGGATTTATCGCAACAAAGACCACGGTATGTTGAGCGCGACTGCATCGTTGGGTCTTCTACATCTCTGGGACGTCGATGGCGGTTTGACTCCTATCGATAAATATCTTTATTCCACCGATGATTTCATCAAATCCGGCGCTTTACTGGCGCTAGGCATCGTGAATTGTAGAGTACGAAACGAATGCGATCCAGCTTTAGCTCTGCTAGGCGATTATGTGGCTTCCGACAACGAAACGCTCCAAATCGGCGCCATTTTAGGCATAGCCCTAGCCTACGCAGGTAAACATCCAACACCACCACACCAGCGTAGAACATAATAGAGTAAAATATTGTAAAAGGTTCGCATAGACAAGACGTGGTGGATCTCCTCCTGCCTCTAGTCGGCGCCACCAAATCGATGGAGATCCTCGGCCTGGCGTGCCTCGCCTTGGGTTTCGTATCGTTGGGTAAATTCGACAACGACATCCCGTCGACCATCTTCAACAGAATCATCGAAACCAACAACACCGACGCGCTGAAATCGGCCTTCATGCGACTGGCGGGGCTCGGCCTGTCGCTGTGCTACTTCGGCGCCCGCGACGCCATCGAGGTGCCCAACGAGACGATGAACGTGATGGAGGAACCGTTCAAAACCAACATACAAACCACGTTGTTGATGTGCGCCTACGCCGGCACCGGCGACGTGTTGATCATCCAGGAACTGCTACGGATCGTCGGCGAGAAAGTTGAAGTAGCCAAAAAGGAGAAAACTAAAGAGAGTAACGATGGTAGTAATAGTAGTAAAGGTGATAAGAAGGATAAGAAGGAGAGGAGAGGTAGTTTTACGAGGATCAAAGCGCCGAGACGCGTCGATTGGGATTACGCCAGCGGGCAAGCTCTAGCTACGCTAGCTGTAGCTGTCGTAGCAGTTGGTGAAGATATCGGTAATGAAAACACAATCATTTCGTGATGCTAATAATAGATGTTGGTTGTATTTAGGTGTGGAGATGATCCATCGGATATTCGGACAGGTGTTTCGCTACGGGGAACCGACGGTGCGTCGCGCCGTCTCCTTGGCGATGGCGCTGGCGTCGGTGTCGAATCCGCAGCTGGGCGTCGTCGACGTGCTGACGAAGTATTCGCACGACGCCGACGAGGACGTGGCCGTGAATTCGATTTTCGGTTTGGGCGTCGTCGGGGCCGGTACGAACAACGCCCGCGTGGCGGCGACGCTGCGCCAATTGGCGGTGTTCCACAACAAGAACCCGTCGGAGTTGTTTATGGTGAGATTGGCGCAGGGTTTGGTGCACATGGGCAAAGGTACGCTGACGTTCGATCCGATGCATACCGATAGGATGTTGGTGGATTCGGTCGCTTTGGCTGGTACGAATTTACTGCTACTATAAGTGAAAGATGGGAGTGTGATGGATGTATGTTGTAGGTCTTTTGACTGTGATGGTGGCTCTGTTGGAACCGCAGACGTTGATTTTGGGTCAGATGCACTATTTGGTGTATATGTTGGCGGCGACTATTCAACCGAGGTGGTTGTTGACTTTGGACGAGGATTTGAATCCGGTGCCGGTGACTGTGAGAGTCGGGCAAGCTGTGGATATCGTAGGGAAGGCTGGTACTCCGAAAACTATAGCTGGTATTCATACTCACACGACACCGGTTCTCTTAGCTACTGCCGAAAGAGCTGAACTCGCTACTGATCAGTACGAAATCGTATCGCCCACTTTGGACGGGATTTGCGTTTTGAGGAAAATTGATCAACCAGCATAGATTTTGTTTCTTAATTGATAGATTATCCCTTTATTGTTTTGCATTGTAACAGCTAATAAAACTCATTATTACATCTGCATTCTAACTCTCGACGTGTATATGATATTCCGTTCGAGATTCCCGTAAGCGAATCGATTTTTCCCGGTTGACGTCGCGACGTCGGCGTCCTGCGCCCTGCGGCGTCTCCGTCGCCGAACGTTGTGAGCTTCTCGGGCACGTCCTAGCGAACTGTTATTATGAACAACGGCGATTTATCCGAACTACCAGGTAAGTCGAGAGGATCTACGACGAATGGATCGTTGTGATGACGTTTCTGGTGAGTTTTCTCGACGATTCGATGACCTCAAACCGTCGTTAATCGGTTTCTTCGTGTTGTTTAGATCGTAATTCTGTTGGTGTTGTCGTTGATACCGTGGCCGGGTCCGTCGGTGTTCAAGATATCCTGTCCGAGGGACAGCGCTCGAATCGTGCGGAAGATCGTCCAAACGAAATGGCTGCCGGTGTTGGAGAAGTACAAGGTGGCCCTGCCGTTGGAGTGCCCGTTTCACCCCAAACGCGACATCTTCGGGCCCCAGCAGGCGGCCAAAACGCAGCACCGCGCCTCCCAATGGACCTGCGGCGTGTGCGGCAAGTCCTTCTTCGAGGAGAAGTATCTAGATATGCACTTCGACAATCGGCACAAGGAGTTTATAAACATGGTGGGTGATTGGGGAGTTGTTGGGAGTTGTTTTATGTGGTGGATTTTCAGGCGGAAGATGCGGTTTGTTTGGCGGATTATTGCGATATAATGAGATGCGATGTGTTGAAGACGCAGGATATGAAGGCGGCGTATCAGGAGCAGGAGAATACCGATATAGAAATTTGGCGAGAGGCTTCTTCTTATAGCAAAGCCGTCGCTACTACTGCTCCTCGACACCTGGTTAAATACACGTTTAAAAATGGGAATTATCCACACGCGCAAAAATCGAAAAAGGACCGATGTCAGAAGAACGAATCGCACGACAAGAACGGTAAGTAAACATTTGCGCTATTTATTTATAAAGGCTGTCCATTTTTCGTTAGACTAGTGGATCTCGGGGACAGCCTGTTGCAACGTTGCCGGGCTGTAATTGATATCCTTGATGTGACAGATATATTCAATTTGAGGGAGAATTAACATTGGTACTAGGGACATTTCGAACTGCGCGGAAATTACTAAAAATTAGTCTAACGAAAATGGATATCCTCTATCCCTCGGAACGTTTTTTCCTTAGGCAACGAAGAGGATAAATCTCGCAATTTTTCGAAAAACGTCTGCCAAAACGACCTGGTGGATTCCGCTCTACCGGCTCCCGATAACCGGCAACAACGAATCGCCGAGATGCAGAAACTCAAAGCGAACTGCAAGCCGGAAGAATTGCAAAAAATCAAAACGAAATGCGAGGTACTAGTCAGAGATTGCATAGGGGGATTGATAATCAAATTGTCCACTAAAGACTTCAAAGAAATAGAAGGTGATGTTAATCATTCGATAACGACCAGTAGTAGTGAATTTTCGAGTTCTAGACGAGTTCAACAAAGCGGTATGTTGGTACCTAAGCTGCGACAGGTACTGGGAAGACTCCCACATCGACCTAAGAAGCTTCCCGTGGGGCCTCATCTGCGTGGTTATAATGGCAGCATCTCTGGGAGTATGCCTTTGTTATTACGTCATCTGGGTGCTATTCGAGTAAGTTTACAACAACGAACGAACCGTCTCTATTCTCTAAAACTCTATGGTGATCGGTTACTGTCGGAGCGATTCGCTGTTTATTCGCAAATATAGTTCAATGAGTACTATCGTCCGGCAGTAACCGTTGCTAATCCGTTGAAAGTAAACGATTTTTCAGTACTGATGACAGCAGTGTTACCAGTACTAGCATTACCGACAGGTCGACGCCGTCTCCAGCGCACGCCTTAAAATCACATGAGATGTTCACCACGCCGGACGGGCATCAAATCTATTCGGAAGATTATTATCTGGCGTCCGATAAAGATAACGAGTACATTTACGTGACTTATCCGCCGGATTTGAAGCGGCGGTTACTCGAAAGGTGGGTGTTCTGATATGTGGTAATTCGTAGAATAAGTAGTTGTAATTGTAGGGTAGTTAGTTGAGTAAATTTATCGCTACTAGAATTGGTGCAAAACAAATGTCAATGCGCGTCACTACTGTCGAGCATTGTGAGCGACTTTTAAAAATAAATACACTAAGTAGATTAGGTTTAATACTTGCAGAATTTGATTTAATATTAACAAGGGACGATAGAAATTGTTATAAAGTAGAATTATATCATCCAAAAAAATATACATTATCAAAATTCAACGTTTGACAAGGAAAGAGTGACATTTGTGTCATTGAAACTTTTCACTCTGACAACTGTCATTTTAATAATCTTTCTTTGTTCAACTCATAGAAATGAAAATTATTATTTTCTTATAGTAGGTTGGTAGACACTGACTGTCAAATTGTAAATCATAGGTGGCGTGCGTTGACATTCATTTTGCACCGACAATAGGTAAAAATTATATTTATTGTTCTAGCTGTTACAACAGAACTACTCGCTTGTGAGAATTAGCAACAAATTTAGTTAGACGAGCTATTGTTTGGTATTGTTTCGATAGAAAACGTGTTCGTTTAAAGCACACGAGGGATATATTGAATTATGCCAAAAAAAAAATCAATTTTTTACCCGTCAGACATTCATTAATATTTTAGATCATACGAGTTTCTAGTGCTGGCGTCACCGTTATCGAATTTACGAGATCGTATACCAGTACTGATTATAATTAATTTAAAATTGCATGCACCGAAATTCGACTAGCTAAAATATTACAATTATTTTGTATACTAAAACACAACTCTTATATACCTTCTAGTTCAAAAAATAAATCAATTATACATAAACGCATGGCTAGTTTTTGTACTTATTTAGATAACAGACAAAAAAAACGAGTAGTTAATTAATTCAATACAACGATAATTGTTGATTTTTGTACATAAAATTGGCACAAACGTCTATCTTGGGACTCGAACCGGCCAGGCAAAGCGTATTAAACGGATGCTCCTGATGCGCTATACTGTAAGTAGTTACAGCAGATACTGCAATTTCCGCCACAATTTCCCCAACGAACGACATTTGGTAGAATAATCGCGACTTTCCACCAGCCAGTATCTTCTCCTTATGGATTTCCGCTACATGTATACCCCTATCGTTGATGGGAAACACCGTAGAGTTCGTTAGAAACCGGTAATGCCACAACGAGAGCTTCGGACCTCCACCGCACAACTAAAAACAATCCATTAACAAAATTATAAAGACAAATACACGGAAGAAACTCACTATATAATCTTCGTTAGCGCTGACTCCGCCTATCCATTTACCCAGCTCCGGTCTGGCGACAGCTTCGTTCGAATGAGGTACTATTTTATTTGTTAGTTTGTAAGTTCTAATGTCCCATAAATTCACGACTCCATCTTCTCCGCCGGATATTAAATCGGTTCCACTGCAAATACGTTTGTTTTAATATAATTTATTAGATGTTTGTGTTGATAGAATACTTGTTGCATAAACTGTGCAGGTAATCGGTGTGTTTGTTCAACGTTTTGAGTAGTCTTCTGGTTTCTAAATCGAACACGTAAATGTTGTTGTTGCCGCAACCGATGAATATGTGATTTTTCTCTTTGTCGTGGATCATAACGTTGATGTCGGCGTTTTCGAAGGAGTCTTTTCTGTTGGGTATTTCGATGCGCCAGTCGGGTTGGGGTTTCTGGACTGTTGTGCTTTTGATGGTTTTCCAATTGTAGCCTAAAATGTCGGACACTCCGACTAGTAGAAACGAAGGGGTGCTTAGTAAACTGTTGATTTGACCGTTCTCGTTGATGGTTATTTTATTTCTCGGTGTTAGATCTTCTTTGTTGAGGACGACGTCGGTTTGAACAATTTTAGATAAACTAGAATGATTAATTTTTGGAATTATTCATTAAAATGTACCTACGCTTCTTACTTAAAAACTGATATTCTTCCATAAGTGTCACCTGCTATCAAATAATTACCACAAGGACTAAAAGTTTGTGATAATATTGTAGAGTAAAAGTCTTTAGTTAACATTTTAATTCAGTAAAAACTGTTATTTTATTCGTAAACGATACACACGCTTTGTTTATTATTTTGATTTGCGGCTAAATGACAGTTGACATTGACGTCGATGACAAAAATGCCAACTTATAGATTTAAAAGTCACTAACTAATTTTGTGTTCTGTGCAAAATAGGACCACAACAAACTTCAATTACTTGTCAATTGTCAGTACTGTCATTAGTTTGCTTTGCTTTGCATGTAGAAAAAGCTAATCGAAAAATTCCAAAATAATCAAATCGTTTAATTCGTGTGCCGTTTTTTCTGTTGTATGGTGACTCGCCTTATACCTTGGAGTATTTTTTTTTGAAATACCGTTTTACATGGCTGACCAATGTTTCGGTAAATAATACCGAATGTACAGTAACAGTTAAGCTTTCAAATTTTCGATTTTAGGGTATTATTATGCTATTGAGAAAATCCAATGCCAAAGGAAAGTATAACTCGAAAATTGCTTTCGAGAAGAAATTAGAAAAGTTAAGTAAATCCAAGGCCAAGGGAAACAGCAAAGTAAATTTTCGAAAACTAACAGCCGAGAATCTTACTCTTCGAGAAGTTGCTGTGTGCGACAAAGTGTTGAGGATACACCTTCGAAAAGAGAATTTAAAGAGTAATTAAATGAACATTTAATATTTCTACATAATCGGTTTACCAATTTTTTAGGTGCTTATAAAGGAACATCCGCAGAACTTAACATTTTTAACAAGGAATCCACCGTTGACAAGAAACCTCTACGACACAGCAACAAGACAACCACTAATACAAAACAACCAACCACATTAACTTACAACAAAAGCTCACCCAGAAAGATGGTCATAAACAATGGTAAAGTCAGCAAACACGATCCCGACGATATATTCATAAAAAAACTCAAAGCCAAACAAAACGGCAAAATCTACTACCTGAAACAGGTCCCTTACAAATCGATATCCGAAGGGAAACTCAACTACAAGTTCCACCAGCTCGTCAACGACGTGAAAAACATGCAACTACCCACCCCGTTGTGGAAAATCAAAGTGATCATACGACACAACAAAATCGCAGCCATCATTTTCACCAACAAAGCCGAGCTCGAAAGGAGTCTTAGTTTCAATTCCGATGATGATAAATACCACATAATCATAGACAACAAACCCGCCCTTTTGCTAGGATCCCCGGGAAGAGTAAACAGCTGCAATGAAATCGAAGTGCTATTAAACATAATGGAAAACATCGACAAAAACAATTCCATGATAATGTATAAGTAATTATTTTATATTACCAAGTAAACGTATACAATAAGAATACAGATTGATTTCGTTTTATACCTAAACCAATACGTTTCAGGTTTAAACACACACACACAATATCGTTTATTATGTTAAAAAATAGCTCTGTTTTATAGTATTCAAAATACTTTATATACCAAATCACACTCATGCAAAATTATATATTCGAATGTTACAGCTTAACTTGCACCTGCTCCGCTTTAGAAACCGCAGGAATCTTCAGAGAAGCCAAGAAACTCTCCAACTCCTCCACATACTCCTTGGGATGGAACCGAAAGTGCCCCACGTGCGGCGACTTATCCCAACACTTCCAAGTAACCTAAGAAGACAATTATAGAAACATCCATTACACCATTTCTTTCCAAAAAAAACTACCTGTATGCCCATGTTCTCCCAGTTCTCTCTCACCCGCTGGTTAGACCGTTCGGCTCCGATCGGATCGCTCTTACTCAACAAAAACAACGCCGGCGCCCTCGCCAGATTCGTGTGGAACATCTGGCTGGATCTCACGTAATGCACCGTAGCCACTTTATCGAACGTTTTCATGTGATATCTACAAAACATTCACCTCAATCAATCTTCTACGAGCAGGTTTCGAGAGCGCCCCCCCGTACATTACGTATTGCCTCATGGTGTTCTGCAACACTTTGTTCCTCGGAAACACCGACGGAGGCAACCCCACCGGTATCTCGGTGATATCAGCAGCGCTGTCCCACACCTGGCCGGTTACTCGGTTCAAAACCTCCTCGTACCGTTGCCTCTCCGATGATATGTTCACCAGTACCTCGCCCCAAAGGTAAGCTCCCACAGAGAACCCGTGAAGCACTATGTTGGGGTAGCCTGTGTTGACTTCCAGGAACTTGAGGAGATCTTTAGCCACCATCTGAAACACTCGAATGAACTCAAATTGTTCTCTAGAGGTTCGATGGAGGTACTTGAGTGCCTTTGGTGGGCCAGAGCAATTGCCACGGGCTGACGTTGATGTTGAGCACGTCGTAGCCGTGTTTGAGGTACAAATCGGCGTATTTGTGGACGTGTTTCTTGCGGGCCATCAGCCAGGAGAGCATCACCATTAGGGGTTTGTTTTGCGGGGTGTCTAATTGCATGTCGACGATTTTGCATGGTTTCTTTTCGTTGCTTATCAACGATATGTTTTTGGTGATTTCGATGGAGGAGATGAAGCGCATTTGGGCGGCGAAAACCAACGCTGTGTTCTGGAAAAATAGGGAGTTTTCTCTGTTAATTTGTTGCTAAAGATTCGCTAATCTTTTGCTAAAGATTCGCAACTCTCTCCTAATCTTTCTGGGGTCATTCATTGTAGTTTCTTATGCTCTATTATTACTATTTTGCTCTATTTCACTAGTTGAATTCCGTTGTATTTAAATCCTTGAAATGCGAACGTGTTGTGGTAAAAAAAAATTAATCCTTGCTTTTGTTGTACGCGTGTAGAACGTTTTAATTGCATGACAAATTGAATAACATTTTGTATTAGTCTGGGAATTTTTTCATAGTCATAATGTTGGTCAGTAAAAATTTTAATCATTCTTTTGGAAAGTCTAATAATGTGGAAATATATAAGGGTATGTATTTGATGAAGGTTTTATTAATTTTGCAGACTGTATTTTCATTTTGCCTTATCGAATTAGCTTCCCTAATAATTTCACAGTTATTAATAAATATACCTACGTAAAAATATAAGTTAATTACATTTGCCATTCGTACTTTACTGGAGATAAATGAATATTTATTTATTTTTTGATAATTTGCACTAATACATGCGTTAATCACGGTTTGAAACATAAATTATTAATTTACTCAAATTTTATCAACATTGTAATGCCATTAATTAAACAAACTCCTTGAAATTTGTATAATTTATAAATATAGACAATTGAAAAGTATAATTATATGTGCTAAACATTAATTAAACCATTTTTTCGAATATTTTCGTTACCTCGATTTAATTTGTTTGCACAAAAGTAAATTACCTACAAAAAAATTAATGAAACCCGAAATGTAACTACCCTTTTTTATGTTATCCTGTAATAAATTAAGCCTTATTAAATAACACTCGCAGAAAAGATGATAATAAATTAATGGGGAGCCTCAAATTGTCCAATCGTTTATTAACTGATAAATAAATCGCTAATAATTTAAACCTTCGATTAGACAATTCGATACACGGTTAATTAAAAATAATGAATACTAATGAAAATTAAACGTTGCACTTATCTAAATCGATTGATACATTGTTAAAAGCGTGTTAAGTCTTTGTCATTAACAAACAAATAGTTAAAATGGTAGAAGACACTTACCAATTTCGATCGTTTCAATTTAGCTCCTTCGTTTATTATTTTGCACATCGCAAAACTCACACGTTGCAGGGCCATTATTTCGTTTAAAATGCTATTCAAATTCAACAAAGCGACCGATTCGAAAGTACCATTTACTTTTAATTACTGTTTAATGGAAGAGTTTACTTACAGTAGTAGTTTACCTATCAATTAAACCGTACTTATACTGTGTTCCTTTTCATCGTTAAACAATAAATACCGACTGATGCGCTTGTTCTTTATCAATAAAGGAAGCACGCCAGTGCTTATTAACTATAGCTTAGCCGGACTATTTTGATCACGCATTGAATCCGTGTCACTTGCCACCGCTCCGTCTGAATTGGATATCAGGAAATTGATAGACGAGCGTTTCGGATTGCCTAAATTCTAAACTCCATTCGATTAACATAAAACATTCGGAGATAATTACACTTTTATTGTGTAAATACGTAATTTGTTTTTTTTTATTGTAGCGTCAATGTCATTGTCAATGCCAAAATACTCGCTACTGTCATTTCGGTTTCCTTTCAAATTTGACATAATGGCCTTTTTTGTTACTTGACACTGGGTAATGATTGGGTGTAAAAAATATTAGGGTGGGTGCAAATTTGTGAGTTGAACAAAAAAAGTTATTTAAAATTACAGTGCTGGTGGATGAGAAAGTTGCAATCCCACAATATCACTCTTTTTCTTTCTTTTATATGAAACTAATAGAAGTTGTCTTTCTTGCACCAATTATAGAGTGAAGAGTTCAATATACAGGGGGCTTTACCAAATGACTAATTTAACAAGAGAAGAATGTATATTTATCAATAATAATATCATACATTTCGCAAATTATAATACAAATACACTAAAATAAACACGAAATATCCTCAAAAATGCAAATAAAAAAAAACAGTAATAATACTCGTTAATACTCATGAATAAGACACTCGATTGTAAAATACATAACGACCACAGCCAAACCTACAGTGACTGCGAGAATTCCGAAGGCGATCCACCATCGATCCTTTCCACCTTCAACTTCTTTCTCCACCGGTCCTTCCCCGCATATCTTCCTGTTCTTCGTATAGGGAATAAAAGCCAATACCAAACCCGAAATTATCAACCAAACGGCTCCCTGATAGAACGTTTGCTTCCAATTATTTGTAATATCGAATAAATGACCTATATGAAAAAAATAACTGCGTTAAAATATCTCTGAATATTTCATCTAAGAGAGGTGTTACCAGCAAAAGGGGGCCCGAGCAGAAGCCCGATGCCCATGCAGAGCAACTGCAGGCCGTAACCGGTGGCGAATCGTTCTAAAGGCACCAATTCCACCACCAATCCCGGTGTAAAGGAGTAAGTGCTGGATACAAATAATCCGAAAACAGCTGCGCTTATTTCCAACATGATAAAGTTCTCGGTAAAGTACATCATTCCGGCGCAAGATAATCCCGTTAGCATCAAACTAACAGCGTAGGTTTTCGTTATGTTCATCCAGGGCTGGTCCCCGGCCCAGCCCAAAGCGATCTGAAATACCATCATTGTAAATTTCGATAAAGAAAATCCTTCCAAAAGAGCCGTTTTTTTTGTGTGAATCTGAATTAAATGGTTCCTTAAAGTAACTACTAAAAGCAGCAATTTGTATAAACTAAATTGAAGTTTCCAGGAAATACAAACCGCATCGTTCCCATGCAATTATGCATTTAATACAAAACGTTAGCGAATCATTAAAACCCGAGAAACGGCTACTTTGTATTAAAGATGCATTAACTTAACGGATGTTAGATTGTTTCTTCTCTCTACATTTATTACATTTGTCCACGGTCCTATATTTCTAAGGTCTGGAATTATGGATCGAAAAAGTGTCCCGTTATTTGAGGATAAAACAGGGTTCCTAAAACGGGCGATAGGAGGCGATGTTGTAAAAGAACCACGGTTTTTTGCGTACCAATTATATCGAATTAGCATTAAGAAAGATTATATTCAAACTAAAAATAGATAGACAATATAAAAATATACTTAAATCAGCGATGATTTCGTTATCATTACGTCTCACGTACCTTCGGTTAACGCATTTCTCCATTTTCTCCTCGAAATGTCAAAAAATAATTTTTGACACTTTTGACAGCTCGAACTGTCATTTCACACAACGGGACATATTCTCTAATGCATAAGCATAGGAAGATTCCAGACCTTAGAAATTATAGGACCGTGCATATGTCCAATGACTTGTGAAATAAACTAGTAGGTGTAGATATAGAATGTATATATAAAAAAAGAACTTACCATTCCGATGGTATTGGTGATACCTATATTCGAAATAGTAAGAGAAGCATCCTCGTAGGTGTATCCGTTTTGAGTCATGTGACTAGCCAAATAAAAATACGGCACTATAAACCAAACAAAAAGTATTACGGTTGATAGGGAGAGCAAGCAAAAATGTAGTTCTAAGAATAAGGAAAAATCGAACATTCCCTTCACCAATTCAAGAAGTTCCGCGTACCATTTCTATAAAATTTCATATCGTTACAAATCGATGTCGGCACGTCAGTAGAAAATTCGACAAAAGTGCCGATTGAAAGTTCCGCTGGGGTTCCATATCGATCCACTTTTGGCCATTTTCTTCTGAGACCATTAAAACAAATGTTTTCATATCGCATTCCATTCGATTCCACTCACCTCGTCATCGTCATGTTTCAACGTCAAAGTGGACACTTTGTATATATTCGGGCAACTCGACGCTTTGAATCTGTATTTGTTCGTGTTGAACACCGCCCCGCGATGTATCAACGATTGCCTGTGGATTTTCAAGTGTTTGAAATAATGCTGGGGTCTTTGCGCTGTTTGTGCTAATTGATTTTTCAATTTAGGATTCGTCAGGATCCTAGGCAGAGGTTTTTTGTTCTGTTTCTCATGCAATAGAGGCTCTTGTGCTTCGATGTCTTTGTTTTGTAGAGGTTCCTTTGGAGGAAAAAAATTGGTAATAAATTATGTAATTGTAAAAGTGGTTTGTTATGGTTACCTTTTGATTCGAATGCTTTTCGTTTTCTTTGATTGTAACGCGAATTTTCACCGGTACTCTTTCGACTAAAGAGGCATCTTCAGTCAATTTGTTTAAACCCTTATCGGATGTACTCCTACATAAAATTAAACTAGGAAAATTTTGTAGAATCACATTGTATAATTTCTTATTAGAACTCAGTTGTTCCAATACTTCTATAGGCACCTGTAAATGTACTATTTAATATAGAAAAGTGATAGTACTAACTCTAATACTTTTTCGTTTTGTCTTATGTACGTTGGAAGATTCAGTACTGAATTGTGATTGTTCCTCAAACCCGCACTCTCCGATCTATCCGATTTATCCGCAACCAACGAAGTTTCCAACCCTTGCAAAAGGTACTCCACGTTTTTCCCGCTCTTCAAAACATCCTTCAACTCGTTCAAATCCAGATTGTTGATGAAATTCGACGAAGTCAACGACAACAAGCTCGTCTTGCTCGATTTACTCGACTTCGACAGCCTCGGATTCGACCTGCAAAACATCATACCTCACCAATCACCACAACAATCGATCAACCACTCACTTGTGTTGCTCGGTAACCCAATCGGGATCTCTCATTAAAACCCCGCAAACGCACATGTTCAAAAACACCCCGGCCATTATCAAAGTGGTGCCTCTCCATCCGTATTCATACAGCAGAAAATTGGTTAAAGGAGCGAACACGAAGGTACCCACTCCGGCACCCGAAGCGCTGATTCCCACAGCCAAAGTCCTGTATTTATCGAACCAAAACGGTATGGAAACCACAGCGGTAACATAACACAACCCCAAACCCAACCCAGCTAGAATACCGAACGTCAGGTACATGATACCGATGGTGTTGACTTTCGAGCTGATGATGAAACCGATGGCGGCGATGATACCACCGACGCAAGTCATGATCCTACAACCATATTTGTCCACTAGAGCGCTCATGATGGGCCCGGAGAGCAGCGGAATGGCCAAGAAGAGGCTGCCGATCCAAGAGGTGACCGAGCTGGAGGCCTTGAACTCGTCCAGGAAATCGCCATACAACAAACCGAACGAGAAACTGATCCCGTCGGCGATCATCGAGAGTATGAGTGATGAGAACACCACCACCCAACCCCAACCGCCGTCCGGGATTTTCGGTTTCTCCAGCTCATCTTCGGATTCCGATGAGGATGAGGATGATGATGATGAGTAGTCGATGTCCGGTTTGAAGGTAACCTCCGCCTTTTCCATCAGTATAACCTCGTCTCTTCTGTTCGGAGAGGACTCCAACGAAGGCGCTACTCCTGCGAAATCCCTCTTCATCAACAAATTAGTAGATGATGAGGCGAGCTTACCTGATAGGGACACCAGCGGGGCTTTACCCGCCGAACTCTCCATACCGATCGGCTGTTATTCTCGTTTCAATTCACCGGGATGTAGGAGGCGATGGGGTTGATATTTTGCGTCCAACGTTTGGACCAGCTCTGGAGCTGTCGGGTGGGGTTCTTTCCTCTCCGCTCGGTGCGATCGGTACTGATTTTTAGGCGGAATCGGTTCCCGTGACCGGTCATCAATAACAGAACCCGACGGCGGCGACTGAAGGGATGAAATTATTGTCTCGTTTGGGCCCCTAGGTGGTTTCAGAAGTGGTGGGTTATAGTGGGTTGCATGTTGTGCTATGGAGGAAGACCTGGAACTGCCGGTAGAAATGTTAGAGAATATTTCGATAGGAGAAATAATCGATTGATTAGTGTGTGATGATGAATTTATCGGTAATTGCGATTTAAATCTCCGCGTTTTTAAAATGCTTGTGTAATTCGTAAGGCAACTTTCCTTTGCGGAGAAAGCGGTGCGTGTAAATGAAAATGATTTTATGTGAATAACAATAATGTTGAATTAATTAAACAGTTTATTGAAGGAACCTCGAAATGTTAAAAAAAGTCAATTATTTCGATACTACAAAGTGTATACAAAGGTGTACTATTTGCATTTGTAAATAAACCATTTTTATTTGGGTCTATTTTAAATCAAAAAAATCAAAAATTTGTCGACCTTGCAGCCATTAATTTCGAAATCGATTTGCGATTATTTTTTTTTGGTTTATTTTCGACCGCGACGTCCAACGTTCCAAATAAAATTTCTAAATTTAAATTGGTAGATTTAAATATGCCAACTCTGTACGCAGTGGTGGTAAATTTTGTTTTGTCGAAATGAACTTTGTCATCAAAACAAAACGTCATGTGGCGTCGGGACGTCGATTTATTATGATCGCAGGAGAGTTTTTTTAGTATAAAGTAAACTATTGTAGTTTTTTTACAGCTTTTAATGGAGGCAAATTTGGTTTTTTAGTCGGGATTTAAACTTAATTTAAATTTAATAGGTCGCAAAGTAATGAATAACAGCGGTTCGGAGAGATGCTATAAGAGCTTTATTGATTGAAGAAAAGCATCTAAAAATAGAAAATTATGCTCTCGAATCGATTGCAATTGCATAGAATGATGTATTAGAACGCCTACTAGTACTTCAATTCAAGCAAATTGATGGAAACTTACACGAGGTGTTTTTTTCTAATTTAATTTCTGATCATTTGAAAAAGCCAATTCTGTTTTGCTCCAATTTAAGCAGGTCGTCGAGGACAGTTTATTAATAACTTTTGGCAAAAAAAGCTTTTTAATATTCGCATTAATGAGGAACGTGGTAATATATCTATAGATTTAGGAATGCACTCAAAATTCTTCTTGCCGAAATTTAAATTCTTATTTTTTTTAAACAAACTGCCTTGAACTCACCTACATGTAATTTGAGATTGTATCTAAATCTAGGGTAATAACATGTACAAAGCAGAAAAAAAATACAATAGTAGATATCTAATATTGTGTAATTCACACGAAATTTTTCAATCGTACTAAACACACGATTGTAATCCTTCTTTAAACTGGATTTAAACAGAATTTCGCAATGTAATTCACCTAGTAATTTACTATTAAATTTCTTATCTTTACGAGGCCGTACATTAGTACAATGTTTAATTAAAATATTCTCTTTTATTAATCGACCATCTGTTCGTCAATCGGTTACAATTTGTTGCAATAACTCCAATTTAATCGTAAACGAAACCGATATATTTCAATTATGCATTATTATGGTGCATTCTACATACACAATTCATGAATAACGTTAGTAAATGTTTGCTATAAAAGTTATACAAACAAAAAATCGAGATGTATTTCTAGATAGTTTAGCTGCACAAATAATTACAACAAACGCGCTTTTATCGCAAACAAAAACAATGCAGTAAGCGAATCCTGCTGAATAAATTGTTTATATTTATCCAACCGATAGTCTGCGGTGTTTTGTTACAATCGATAACGAAATTCAGCGAAGCAACAAAAGCTTCATTATTTAATTCGCGATTAAACATAAATACCGATGGCAGATTGTATTGTAATGTATCGATTCGACGCCTTGCACTTTCACTGCAATAAAACTACAATGTGCTCCGCACGAATATACACAAAATCGAACTTGAACTTACCCGTTTCGTTTCTCTTTTGGGCTCTCTATCGATCGACCAAACCAAACCAAACTGAATGCAATTCTACTTCAATCTATCGACGTCGGTTCCTTCTACACCGCGACGCTTGTAGAGTGTTCTCCTTTATTTTTAGCGAAAATATCCCGACGAAAAACAACACAGCGATTCGCTCTCGTTCCCCTTCAATCAACGACTGAGCGCTGGGCGAGGAGTGGATAGTTCGAAATGCACAAACCTCGAACGCCGACGAATGGAAATTTCCATTTTTACCACAGGCTTTTGCTACCTGTGTCCCACGTTGCATCAATTCTACACGCCCACATGCTTCGGGTTTCCGTTCGGAATTTAGCGAGAGGGTTCGAAGATGCTAGTACGGCTCTGGACGAGCAATTTTGTTGGATTTTGTGCAATATGCAGGGTAGTGATTAATTGAGGGGCGATGCTGTAGGATGTGATTGATTTGGGTGATTTTAAGTAGAAAAGTTTCTATTAAAATATGTCCTAAATATCTTAGTTTTCGAGCTACAGGTTGTTGAAATTTTAGAGAAATAAAATAACTTTTCTCTTATGATGTAGGGGCATACTTAAATTTCAACAAAATATCAAAAGGAGTCTCAAATGAACCTGGGAATTTTTTTTTTGGTTTTTATTTTTTTAGGCGAAAATGGAGCGTCGTACGAAAGTTAGTCTTCGGACCGAAATTGCTCCAAAATAAATGAGGATTTTAAAAATAATTTTGGTTTTTTTTGGAAAAAAACAGGCGTACAATTTTTTCTGCAAATATATTCAGTTCAAACCCCTTACAGACGTCACTGGTAAAAATTAAAAAAAATCTTTTGCCTCAAAAAATACTACTTAATAATTAAAAAGTGTGTACAAAATTTCATAAAACTATCTGGAGTAGGTAATAAGAAAATTATGATAGAAAAGTTTTTTTTTCTAAAATTTCAACACCCTGTAGCTCGAAAATTAAGAGATTTAGGACATATTTTAATAGAAACTTTTCTTCTTAAAATCACCTAAATATTGATATCCTAAAACATCGGCACTCAATTAATTACCATCCCATATAAGTTGAATTGCAATCTAAATATAGGTACACTTACCTTCATAATTACTTCATAATTTACATACAAGGTGTTCCAAAATTGCGCCAAACTCATGGTTATAGTGAACATTGTGGTGAACAACTTTTACAAAGATACAATTAGTTAAAAATAAACCGTTTTGACACCAGAGTATTTTTTTTTTCTAAAAACTTGTTCTTGATTTACTAACCTTTTTGAAACACCCTACATATTACCCTAAAACACGTTTCACACTCACCTTCATAACTAACTATTAAATACGAAACGAAATTCCAAAAAAAAACTTTTATTTCGCAAACACAAACCAACAACAGATCGATAAAAATCACGGTCCTATATTTCTAAGGTCTGGAATTATGGATCGAAAAAGTGTCCCGTTATTTGAGGATAAAACAGAGTTCCTAAAACGGCCGCTAGAAGGCGATGTTGTAAAAGAACCACCGTTTTTTGCGTACCAATTATATAGAATTAGCATTAAGAAAGATTATATTCAAACTAAAAATAGATAGAAAATATAAAAATATACTTAAATCAGCGATGATTTCGTTGTTAACATCACCCCTCACGTACTTTCGGTTAATATATTTCTCCATTTTCTCCTCGAAACGTCAAAAAATAATTTTTGACACTTTTGACAGCTCGAACTGTCATTTCACAACAACCGCGATTTACACATAGCACGACGCTGATTGGCTGACATAAGTTAATCATCCGATCGTTCGCCACGCTACGGCGCAAAAGCGAAGCTCAAAAAAAATCCTCAAACAACCAGACACATTCTCCAATGCACAATCACATGGAGATTCCACACCTTAGAAATACAGCTCCGCGATAAAACCCATCATCCAGCTACTCGACCAAATCCAATCGTTCCACCACATCGGCCTCGATCTCCTTCACGTCGTCCGCGAAACTCCTCACCAGGTGCTGGTGGTGGGGCACCAACTGGCTGTCGCACATCACCCCAAGCCTCACGTGGTCCGCGTACTCGTTCAAGCAAAGCGAAACACCTAAACAGAACCCAGAACTAATACAAAACTCGCCCAAACAAACCCACAATCAGAAGATTACAAGTGTTGGCCTGCGGCGGTCGCAAGTAGAGCGCGCTGGTCACCTCCTGGCCCCACAGGGTGCGCTGCGCCACGTTCGGGTACTTGCTGGTGATCTCCGCCACGCTAACAGCGTACTTCCTCGACAGGTACTTCAGATAAACGCTCAGTATCGGTAGGGGAAAGAGCTTGGTGAGGAACTCGAACTTGCTCTGCAACATCGTCATCAGATGGGAGAGACCCTGCGACTCCAACGAGGCGTTGAACTTCCCGCAGACGTCGTCGAGATCGTGCGATTTGGTGGCGTCGCGACGCCCGTTGGGCACTTTAAGGTTCATGCAGAGGATGCCGCTGACGGCGTCGCTGGCTTTGATGTTGGGCCCGGTGGCGAAGATGTAGTTCGAAGAGATGTTTCGAATGGTGATTGGCAATTGGTCGGGGACGTAGTGGTTGCTTTGGACGAAGTACTTGGACAGGCACATGGAGACGGCGCAGAGCATTATCTCGGTTTGCGAGACTTTGGCTAGCGTCGCGACGGCCCTGACGGCGTCGATCTTGACGGGATCGGACCAGGCGACGGATTTGCGGCCGCAGAGCGTGAAGGTTTGGAAGGATTCCTCTTGCATCAGGATATCTTGTATGATGGTTTTGGGAGCTCTGAACAATATCGATAAGATGTACAGGATCTCTCTTAAAGAATTGTATATCAACGGTATAAAAGTGTAGACGATACCGACGAAAGTGTTGGGATAAGGACAATACCCTAATATCAAGCAATTGAGGAAAGCTCGTACCTCATAGAACACCACCAAAGGCAATCGAATCGGTACTTTAACAACCACATAGTAAATCAACTGAAACACATCTAAAGCGATGTTCCTCGGATCCAAAGACTTGCAAATGGACACGAAGAAATTCGTAACGGTCACCTGTCGCTTATCGGTTTCCCTCAATCCGGCTTGTACTACATACTTCACCTTCGAATAGGCGTCGTTTTTGATCACCCTGAAACCCTTCCTGCAATCCTTCACCAGCGACACCAAGGTGATCAGCGCGAAGGCGAGGAATTGCGAAAACGTCGGCGATGTTTTCAGCAATTCCGGCCGCTCCAGCGGATCGTAGCAGGCGATGAACTCGTTCCAGCGATTGGACAGCTCTTCGGTCAATCGTTCCTTCAGCTGCGGGAGGACTACGGGCTTTTTGAACACCTCTACTAGGGGACTCCTCGACACGGTCGATCTGAAATGGTATGGTGGTGATACTGGAAGGTAGGTAGTGGATGATTTAATACCCGATTGCTGGTCTTGTGGGTGGTATCAAGGGTAGCAAATCGCCGATGTTCAATCCTTCGGAAAGCAGCAAATGGTGCAATTTGAACAAGATGTAATGCTGGTCGTCGGATGATGGTATGATGGTGATCTGCCACGGTGGGATGGTAGATGGCATGTATTTCGACATGATGTCGTTTACGTAGTCCTGGAAAGTGTGGAATTTTGGCGATTGGTGTGGCTGGATTGGAATTTAGCTTACTTGTATGTTCAATTCGGTTACCACTCGTCCTTTGTAGGTGAAAGGGAGGAGGGTTAGGTGTTGATCGAGGTCGAATTTGGTGTTTCTCCAAGCGTAAGTTCCGCATTTGGTCAGCAGGCAATGTCTTAAACGAGGGAACGCCAAGTTTCCTGATTTGTCTCTTCTTCTAACCACTTCCTGGAACAACAGATTGTTAGTTTTTTGATTGGAGGAGCTTTTGGATAAAGGTGAGGTTTGTGATGATTATAGTATTTGTACAGATTTCGAAATCAAAGTGTCGTTTATTGGACTTGATTATTTACTTAATGATAAACGTTCGATGACATGTGGAGAGATTTAGATTAGTCTAACAATGGGTAATTTACCTGCAAATGTCTTCGAACAGCATCAGGTTGTGCCTGGCCTTTTACGCAAAGCAATACAGCTATAATTCCTTGGTTTTTGTAAGTGTCTAGTAGAGATCGAACGGTATCGTATTTTACGAATTCCACGTCCGGGTGTAACATCGATAAAACGTTCGTCCATACTCGTCTATATAATTTCAAAACTACAACAAAAAATTGCTCTAAAATACGACAAAATATTTGGAGATACCCTTAGATCATTTATATTCTGTTGCCAACATATTCACGACGTACTTTTATAACCCCCGTCCTTGTTTGACACTCGCTAGTTTCTAACGGTGTGTCTTTGTCTTGGAACCTTTGACAATTTTGACGTATATAGTTGGCGCGAAATTTAAATATTTATGCTTCAAAACTATTTTAAGATGCTTGTTGTTTACCTCAGTGTTATGTATAAACCGCAAACACTAAACACAAACCAATCCAATAATCAAAAATCTAAATTTAATAATAATACGACGCCATGACAGTTATGAAGCAGATGTCAAATGTCATAGTGTCAATGCCAGTGCTAGAAAAGGACGCATCGATATTGCCAAATGTCTAATAGCTATTTCTTATTTCTACTTTTCTTTTACTACAAATAAGTAATCGAGCAGCTGTTTTGTACAATAATTAGTTAATTAAAATGTATACGCATTTAAATGGTATTACTGCATTTCAAAACAATTATTTTAGATAATAAATAAAAATATTTTTATCGTACATCGTACATATTAAAAGAGTGAAAAATTACAACAAATGTGTAAACCTGGCAACAATGGCGAGTTTCCTAATGTATCTGTTGTATACTAATAAATACGTTCAGATTTTAAAAGCGCATGCTCAATTCGCAGACCAAAACAAAGATAAATCTATGCTGAAATCCATAGAGCAAAAAAAGAGAGTATAATTTAGGCATGTTGTAGATGTTGGCAACAGGAACGTATAAATGTAATTCTTATGGCATTGATGCATCCACGTTAATGTATATGATCTAAGGAGATACCTAACAGTCAAGATAAAAATAACTATTATAAAATAAATATTCTAAAAAGTACTTACCGACGAATATGATGAAGACTAGAGGCAAAGCAAAGAGGATAACGACGAACAACGCCAAATTAACGAAAAAATCCAACATATTTCCGAAACTGTTCTTACCGCATTATTTCGTTTCGCTGCGGCCGTTCGATTCGAAATCACTATAAATAAATATTTAACCGATCGCTTGTTATCGGGAAAAAAGTGACCTTTCGATCCTCAAGGATGATCGATACACGGCTTTTTGTCTCTCACCGAGAACGCTTCAATTACGCTAATCGAAACGAATTTTATAATTCTATTCGACCGATAATTACTCATCTAATGCATTCGAATTAATTACACTTTCAATTGCGAATGAATTATTTACCGCGTAAATATTTTTGCTACTTTAAGGAGAACACTCTGTATACTTCATAAACATATTTTTTGATTGGGGAAAATAAAAATGTGATTTGTATTGGTCTTATTTATTTTTTAATCCAATAATATCGTACTGTGCGATTGAAACTATATAGGTACATTTTACTTGAAACTGTAAATATATTATAATTTTTATTGAACGAGAATTTGCAGGAAATAGCATATAAAGTATATAATTTATTATATTTTCGGAAGTCTACGAGTACTGTATAGTACCTATGAGAATTAAAAGTAAAATAAAATACAGTTTGGCAAGAAAATAATCGATTAATACGTTTAGAATAAGTATTATATAATTTGTAAAACGCTATATCTATAATGTATGAAGAGTATTCATTATTAAAACCTGAGGAACAATTCATCAATAAAACATTTCTAATCGTTTTAGAACGCTAGTTTACCTACCGAGTATTTTTTTTTTCAAAATTGGAAGATCAAAAAATAGTTAACAAACTATCTAAGGTAATTTTATTGCCATAGAAGCTTCTTTAATTCACCCATTAACCATATACGTATTTTTATTTATTTTTTTCTTCATTAAATCGCATCTAAATAGTGTTTCAATGTAATTACAAAATTTGCTTGCCCACTTTCAACTCTTTTGTTACAAGTGCATCGATTAGAACTAATTTCGTGCAGTGTATTTCCTAAGATTATTTTATTTATTTATTTATTTATTTCGCAATACGTATATGGATTTACTCCGCTAATCAGAAACTCTAATCGATTGTCAGAAATTCCCGGGTACCTCACTCTCTCCTCGTTTGGCACAAAATCGAGCAAATAAAACACTAAAAATAAACCACCGATACCCGAAAATCTCGCCAATCCCCGCTTTAAACGCTACAAAAAATCTCGAAATTCTTCAACATTAACACCTCTAACTTAACTCGAACTATGTTGATTGAAAAGAACCCAAACGCTACACCTTAACGTTTCTCGCTTACAAAATCGCCTATAAAATATATTTAAGTTCACTTGTGGACGTTAAATTCGACAAAAAAAAAACAAAACAAATAATACATAGACAATTCACAAATATCTATCACAACGAATTACTCCTCGATCGTCGCCTCGCTACCGCCATTTCGCCTCAACACCGTCCGTCTGCAGAGATTCATCATCGGAATGACCGTCAGCAACAATCCCGACAACGCTATGAAGATGCCCGCCAAGTAAAAGGACATGTTATAAGTGCCGGTCACGTCGTACACCCAACCTACAACCAACAACACTCAATTCGCCGGTCATTATCTCTACCTCACCGAAAAGTAGCTCGATCGCTCGATCGCAAGTACCAAGCTACATTCGATGAGGTATCAGTAGTTCAGTTTACCGGCTAAAGGGGGCCCGACGAGATTGGCGACGCCTTGCACCAGCAACAGCAACCCGTAGGCGTTGGTGAACCGATCCAACGTGATCAATTTCACCAGAATGATGCAGGTCAGAGAATAATTGGCGGCTATGAAGAACCCGAAGGCTCCCGACACCACCATCATCATGCTGTAATCGGTCACCACCGGCACCAAAGCGGTGACGCCTCCGCACAAACCCATGCACAAAGCGTAGATCAAACTGGCGTTTGCCCATCGCCTATCCCCCGCCCAACCGAGTATAATCTACAACAACACATCCTCCTGTAACTAATCATCGTTTAAAAGCTTATAGACAACATCCTCACCTCTCCTAGCATGTTGATGATGCCGATGATGGAGATCAGAAGCGAAGCCTCCTTCTCGGAGCAGCCGTTTTTGCGCGCGTTGTCCGTGAGATAGACGTAGGGAACATCGTACCACGTGTAGAGGAGGAAATTCGAGATGGCGAACACCAGGAACTTGGGATCGAGAAAGTGCGAGAAATCGAACATGTCGACCAGCAGGTCCCAAAAGTCCCACAAACCGGCGTACCATTGGACCTTCTGCTTGGCGATGGTCGTCATCGAGTTCCTGTAGATGTCCGGACAGGAGCTGGCCCGCAGGCGGTACCTAAAAAGAAGCTCTACAAGCTACTTGGAGCCGGTTTCGGGAACGTCGTGTACCTGTTGATGTTAAGCATGGCTCCTCTGTAGGTGACTGATAGTCGGTGGATTCTCAAATCGCGCAGATAGGCGGTGGGTAGTTTCTTCTGGATAGGCGGGATTTGGTCCTTCTTCGACGACCACAAGCGATCGTCAGCGTCTGTTTGTGATGTAGTAGCGGGCGGTGATAGATGCGATTGGGTGGCGGCGTGTTTGGAGATCATCAACCCCTCGTTGAGTCTACCGGAGCTCAAACTCCTCGACGGAGTCAACAGATTGGGGTAATTCGTCAGTAGTACGTTGTAGACGTTCTTGTGGCTCGTCAGTAACTCCAAAACCTGTTCAAAATCCTCTAATAGCACCACTATAAGTGTATACAAATCGAGTCGACTTACTTCTAACGGTACTTTCTCCCCGTTACGAACGTACGTGGGTAAGTTAACCAAAGAACTACTGAGCCTAACTCGTCTAGAATCATCAACATCATCCTCCTTCTGTTCGATAATCGTTTGTAAAACGCTAGCGGTATTCGTGCTGTTGCTAACCGACACCGAATCGGCCGACGCCTCCTTCTGCTGCCTCCTCAAATGCCGGTTCCTCTTCCGCTGTCTGGCCATCATCCTCTGCTTCTCCGACGTCCAAGGCAGGTCGCGCATCAGCGCCCCGCACACCACCATGTTCAGAAACAACCCTGCCAGGATAAGCGTCGTGCCGCGCCACCCGTACTCGTCGAGCAACAGCTGTATCAACGGCGCGAATATGAACGTTCCGATGCCGCTACCGCAAACCGCCAAACCCGTAGCAAACGACCGCCTCTTGTCGAAATAGTACGCTACAATCACCACCGAAGCCACGTAGCATAAACTCAAACCGAAACCGGCCAGCAGGCCGAAGGTGATGCACAGCACGATCATCGAATCGGCCGTCGAGCTGATGATGAAACCGATGGAGGCTAGAATAGCGCCGAATATGGTGACCTTGCGGCATCCGTAGCGATCGGTGAGGAACGAGGCCACCGGCCCGGAGAGCAGCGGCATCGCCATGAAGAGGCCGCCCACCCAGGCGGTGGTGCCGCGATTCTCGCCGAAGTAGTTGAGGAATTCGACGAAGATGACGCCGAAGCTGAAGGTGATGCCGTCGGCGATGAGGTTCACCACGAACGAGGCGAGTACGATCACCCAGCCCCAGCCGCCGTCGGGCGGTCGGGCCTCCGATAGCTCCAACGATACGCTAGATGATGATGATGAAGATGATGAGGACGACGATGAATCGATGCTGCTGCGTCCGGAGGATTTCTTGATGGTGGAGACTTCGCTGCGATTGTCGCTGTTGAATTGCACGTGTAATACTGGTCTGTCATCTTCGTCCTAAGAAAGATTGATTAAGGATAACTGAAAGGGATACGAAGAGGCAGATGATTGGTGTATCACTTAAGAGAGCTTTAGATTTGATTCAGCTAGAACATGGACATGGATTGAACACAACGAAATAGGAAATTTGTGCCTATACTTTCGAACCAGCTTGCACCAACGGTGTGAAGCAACACTTAGTAAACCGACACCTGGACCTAAATACTTTTGAAATTAGCCTAAGCAGCTTACTTTATTGCATATGAGGAGCTTCTCGGAGTCCAGCCGATCATCGCTGATGGGATTGGCGTACAAATTGTTGTTCCTCGCCCGGCCCTTCTCCGGCTTGTTCTTCTCGTTGAGTATCAACTCCAAGCGTGGCTTGGGCGTCGAAGGCGCTTCTTCAGGGCGCTCCGGCGGGACTCCGCCGTTCGGCCGGCGTTCCTCGCTTCGATCGTCTATTCGGAGGGGCCGCTCGGCGTCCGAATTCTGGTCAGCCATTCTTCCAAGTCACCGTCTCTTCTGCAGAATTGCCGGCGCGTCGACGCGATTTGTATGGCGATTGTGCGACGTTTCATATGTGTAGGCGGCTGGTGCCTATGACGAAAAGCTTCAGGATTAGCTGCCATACGGTGCTGTTGCTGGCAGCTGATGACGATGGGGTTCCTGCAAACAATAGGAATTTTTTCTGCTTGTGTTTACAATGATTATAGTGCACTTTATACACCACATACCATGTTAATAACAGACTGGGTATTTCCAAATGAAACAGCACTAAAAATATATTACCTATAGTAAGTTTGATAGCGTACGAGTAAATCGTAATCTTCAATTAAGTTTGTTATCAATCAATCTGGATTATTACAAAGTAATAAGTACCCAACGATATCGGAATCTATTACATTAAACAGTTACATAGTAGGATTGTTATACCGTTTGATGAAGCGAGTACTTGCATTGAACTCACCTATTAGCAGGGGAATCGATTCGAAATGCACTTAAACGGACGACAACGAAAATTGACGGTAAATGTCACGAAATATCGCGGAGGAATTTTGCGGGAAACGCTTTTAAATGGGCTACATCGCGAGCGATTATGATAGAACGATCGCCTAAGGTAACGGTAGTACCTTCTAAAAAAAAGGTTAACTAGTTTGTAAATTCCATTTACATTCCGACTGCTCGGAGTGGAAATAATGTAGAGTGTTAGGAAAGCATCGCTGATGCTGATACTAACAAACGGTTAAGAGGTCTACAATTGCTGGGTCTTTTGTTGGCTAATCAGCGTTGAATCTTCGAGATGCAAATGCCGCTTTTGTGTTTCAAGTATCCTAATGTCGGAATCTAAAATGCTTTAACCTTTGGGAAAACGAATCCACCTGAGATACATGCGATATTTTTCAGATAACTCTCGCTATCTCCTCGGATTAGATTTCGTTAGAGAACGCGGGTGAGATAAGATGGAAACTGTGTAATGTTTAGGATGTTTTCGTTCGGATATCGGAGAATAAACTTGTTTGTTTAATGTTAATCGCGATAAACTATCTCATTAAATTCGAGCCCTTTTCCAGCTACAATTAATATCGATTGATAACACGATTGATTCCCACGTGTACAAAAAATTTAAGCGACCCAAAAGCAGCATATCTTATCGTTTAATTCTTTTGCGGAACGTTTATTAACTCGAATTAAACGGCACTTAAAATAGAAGAGTATTTAATAGAACCCGACATTACGAAACCTACGACTGTTATCATCCTTCGCATTAACTTTTTAATCCACAATTGGCTTCTACACCATCACTTTACACTTTTTCAGAACATTCAACGAGAGTTTCCTTTCTACAATCCACGCGAGGTTTAGTCAAAGACTAAGAAACAACAAAAGCGGTTGTTGTTGCGGGTATATCAATTATCAGTTGAGGTCATAGGCGTGCGCGGGGTTTCTTCCAGACTATTAATTATTATTAATTCCGATTTATTTGTATTTTGCACCAAAACGGATTAATTATCGCCGAGGCGATGTTATTAAAAATACGGGTGATTAACCGCTTTTACAAATTTATTAATTTATTTACAATTAGATTAGAAGATTAATTATGCACTGGCGACGCTTCCTAATTCGCTGTCCTCGCTCCCGGAGCTCGAATCTTCGTCCTCGGAGCAACTCGAAGAGGACTCGTCGGTTTTCTTTTCGTCATCTTCCATGTTTCGTTTCATCTCCATGATTCGCTTGAATTCCGCCACTGTTATTTTCTTCGGCATGATGTCCCTGAGGAAGTTGTACCGTTCCTCCGAGTGCACCACTTCGGCTAGGTGTTTGTAGTTCAGTTTTTTGGCCTGGTTGGTTCGCTTGTAGCCTTCCACTGATAATTGCCTTATGAATAGTTCGGCGGCTTTGCACATTAGTAAAGAGGAGTCTTTCGTGACTGTGACAACGTCCGAGGAACTCTTCATGATGGTGTTTATCCTCGATACAGGCAAATGCGCCTTTTTTGCTGTTGTTATATTACTCATTTTCGTTTAGGATGGATTGGATAAGTCTGCATGTAAAAGTAAAAAAAAAAGTTACTAAACGATACGTTATTAATAAGACACTCTTTATTAATAGTTATACTGTTTTAGTTATTGTTTCATTGAATGAAGCCGATTTTTTATAGCGTTATAGCATCCTACGGTTAATTTAGAAACTACTTAATAAACTCATGCATATTGAATAAAATGAACTCACCCTTACAATAAATTAAAGTCGATGCTAAAAAACCATAACTCTTCGTGTGATCTACGTTGATAAATTGCGTTGATTTCCTCTTAATATTTTTCGGTAGATTTATTAATTTACTTCACGCGAACCGGCAGAAGAGAATGGCTTTATTGATTTTTTAAATCTTCGTTTAGAACTAACACTTAAATATTTAAAATAATCGTTTATAACTGTATAAATAACGTAACGAGTTAACACGGAATACACTTAATTACAACGTAAACGGAATTAATACAACAAAACTTGAAGCAAAACTTAATTTGTATTTTTTAATTTTTATATTTCAGTTGAGCATCTTCTGTCACGCTGACACTAGTGACAGTTGAAACTGACAGATGACAATTTGTCGTTGACGTAAAAATGTTTGTTCGTTTGGAGTGTTCCGAATGAAGCGTGTGGAGTGCGACTGTATTTCCACTAATAAGTGGCCAACGTATTTGATTAAATAGAAGAAGTGAGGTTATTGTTTACTGTTTATAATTGACAAAAAAGCGAATAATAATAGTTTGCATTTAATTTTCGTGTACTAATTAAACAAAATGATGTCCGACGAGTCCGAGAATGATGGAGTTTACGTCGATAAACAAGAAAAAGATATATACTACAAAAAATACAATTTATTGTTAGAAGAGTGTTCCAATTTACAGAGAGCAAACGAGATACTAGTATTTAGGTAAGAAAACAAATCTATAAATCACAAAAACTAATAAAAATTACTCGTAGAATACAAGAAGTGAATAGAATCACCAAAAGACGTTTAAAAGACATAAAATTCTTCAAACAAAAACTTCTAACCAACCACGAAGAAGATTGGACGGTCATCCCGAATCAAGACGCCATTTCCAACATCGAAGAAGACAAGAAACCTTTAACCAACCTCTTTCCCGCTAAAATTAAGGAAGAAAAACTCGAAGAAGGTAACTCAATTGAATTCAAAACACAAGTCCCCACTTCTAATATCTTACTCGTTATCCTAAGCAGGCGAGGAGCGAGTCGTGGAGAAAAAACCTTCGAGGAGACCTTCGAAAAGGAAATCGACCAAGACCGAGAAGGACCCGAACGCGCCGAAGAGACCTTCGAATCCCTTCTTTCAATTCTGCCAAGAACAAAGACAGTTGCTGATGGAGCAAATAGTATCGGAATTGAAACCGGGAGAAGTGGTTCCGAGTAAACAGGAACTAACCAGGCAATTGGCCATCAAATGGAGAACTCTATCGGTACCCGATCGCAAAGTAAGAACCAATACAGCATTTATTTTATTTTAAATAACTTGTCGTTTATTCATTTTAGGTATACATCGATCGATACGAAAGATCTAAAGAAAAATACGTCGCCGAAATGGAGGAGTACAACATGAAAAAATGATGTTTTTAGCTTTATTTTAATTGTAAATATGTATGAAATGTATAAAGTAATCGACTGGCTTTATTGTTTTTCTTTAGTACATTTTATTCGATGCGATTTTTCCCAATTTTCCCGCGCCATTTTTCTCTCCCGTGTCCCGCGGCGTGGCTGCCGATCCGAATACGCCGAGGCCCCGTCGAAGTTCATTAATTACGCCGCAGGAGCGATTTTTATGAGATCAAAACGGGATATATTGGACAGTTACAAGGGTGAGGTTAAAAGTTCTCGAAAGAACGCGATTTTCTGTTGAAAAATTGCATTATTCTTCTTATTAAGTCGAAATATTTAGTTCTAGACGGTTCTAAATGATTCTGGGGCGTTCTAGATTGCTCTAGACAGTTCTTAATGAATCTGGGGAGTTCTAGATTGCTCTAAACAGTTCTATAAACGAATCTGGGGAGTTCTGGATTGCTCTAGACAGTTCTTAATGAATCTGGGGAGTTCTGGATTGCTCTAGACAGTTCTTAATGAAACTGGGGAGTTCTGGATTGCTCTAGACAGTTCTATAAACGAATCTGGGGAGTTCTGGATTGCTCTAGACAGTTCTGCAATTAATTATAAATGTTTTGGAGCGCCCTCGGTGAATCCAGTCGAGAACATTTCACCGCACCCTCGTAGTTCACTTACTTTACTTCGCTTCGACAATCTAATTTGATCATTTAATTACCATTAGTATTTTATCGGGACAGTTTATCGATGATTTAAGTACGATTTATTTAGCCTTTATTTACCTAAGAAATTCTTAACGACCTACTCAAAGTAATTGCCGAACGTTTATCGCGTTTATTCTTCATACAATCCGACGAAATGTCGCTGGGAAATTTCCACAAACTGCTCCGATTCGGCTTCGCGTTTTCCGTATCGCCTTGGTACGATCCTGGCAAAAGGGCTTTCAAATACCGAACGTTCAATCGGGCGTATTCGGCCTGTTTGATCGGCTTTTTCCTCGCCTCGTACCTCTTCGGTTTGGTCCACTTGGAGTGCAACAACAAATCCGGTTTTCTCGGCGGGAAATTCGCATCGCTCGAAATAATCAGCACGAGCTCGATGGCCACGATGTATCTGTTATTCAGGCTGAATCGCAGGAAAACGAACGCCTGGAGGCGTTTACTGGACAATTTATTACTTGTGGAAGAGATTTTGTACAGCGCCTTTGGTGTTACTCTCACCGAAAGTTTTAATTATCTGCTCATTCCTACTCAGTTAACAGTAGTGGTGGGTTATTTGTGGTACTACATTTATTACGCGGAAAATGTACAGACGTTTGGAAAGAGCCAGGGAAATGCTTTCGAGAAGTTCATTTGGTTGGACATTTCCAGGTGTATATCGCTCTTGGTGTGCCTCATTTGCGGTGCTTTGATGAAGATTTCGCGCATGAGATTCGTAGCGTTGAACGAGGAAATGAAAAGGATGCAACTAACTGGGCGAAATAGAAATATCAAGGCTTTGAAAGTTTGCTACGGGCGATTGCTGGACAATATTCGATTGTACAACGAAATTTTCGGGAGTTTTATATTTTGCTCGATCGTTAAAACCACTGTAGAGTTCCAAGGGTTCCTCACGTATTTTATACAGTACGAATATTTCAGCGGGTTACATCCAATTAGATATGTTTACAAATCCGGGATGAGCAGCTTTCTATCCTGGGTAAGTGCACTAGATTATCGTTTTATGTCGACTGTCATAAGTCAGTTGTCAGACCTTAGCTATGTCTTATTTCTACTTTTCTTTTACTACAAATAAGTAATTAGTAGCACATATGATTAGTATATATGATCTAAGCTTGTATTTTAATATATATTCAAATGGAACTCATCATTCAAACCCGTCTACGTTAAGTTACAACATAGTCCGTTCGCTGAAGGCACCTCAAAATTTTTAGTACATTCAGCGAATAGACTATAACATAAATTCCAGCTGGATGGATCGCAAATCGATCGTGAAATCAGTTTTGCAGCGTCTACACGATATTCTCCTGCGATTCCGTCGCTAAAGAACTGGCCGAGACGAGGAGAAGCTGCTTCGAATTGTACTTGAAAAGCCTGGATGATTGGTCGATCGATTCCCAACAGGATATATCGGACGTTCTGGAGCTTCTGGCGAGCGATCCAAAATTCTCGGCGGGGAATTTCTTCGAAATCCGAAGGGAAGTCGTCCTGAATATGCTCAATGTCGCTACGGCTTATGTACTGGTGACAGTGCAATTAAAAGGGAAGAATTGAAAGGGTTTAATGTGTGATTTAGAATAAAAACGAGTGGATTATAAAAAGTAATTGAGTATTTATTTCGTTTAAATAAAAGGCTTGTTTAAATTAAATTCCTCAAGAGGTTTTCAGGTATGTACACGAAATTCCTAATAATCAATAAATAAAAGAATAAATAAACTAATAAAAAAACATGATCACAAGAAACGACAACGTAAAAAGGAAATTAAATAGGATAATTTTATTTTACCGTCGCAATATATTCGTTTCCAATAAATTACATTAAATTTGTAAAAATAAACCGCAGCACTTTAAAGTTTTAATTACCAAACGAAAAATTAATCAAAGTAGAGTTTTCTTTCGATAGCGAAAACGACATTTGCGACGGCAAAATCGAGCAGTCTTTATACGAGGCGACTCAAAAATAGCGTATTGCACTTCCACCCGTCAATTGGATTTTTGAGCGACCCTGTACATCACAGATTCACGAAGCTGACCCACCACCAGACCTCCACCGGACCCCAAATTTCAGTTACCTAAACGACAAAAAAAAAAATAATAAAAAACAAAATTATTGCGCGCTACATTTAACCGTAATCGTATACAGATTGCTCCATTTTTCATTGCAACATAAGCTATGGGTGCAACAAAGACAACTTCAATTAGACACTCTGACAGCCGACAACTGTCATTTTAACAATCTTCCATTAGACACTTACAAAGGAAAAGGAAAGAGTGACTGATTTGTGTGATTGCAACTTTTCACTCTGACAGCTGTCATTTAAACAATCTTCCATTAGACACTTACAAAGGAAAAGGAAAGAGTGACTGATTTGTGTGATTGCAACTTTTCACTCTAACAACTGTCATTTAAATAATCTCTCTTCGTTCCACTCATAGAAATGACCATATTGCAATCAGAAATAGAGCAAGATGTATAATCCTGGGATGATCCCGTCGCCGCGTTAATATACGAGGGCCGGGCAAAAGGTTTCCTCTCGCCCCTCGTACATTTTCGTTAAATATCGATTCGGTATTGGAAAATACATATTTATATATAATTTGTTTTCGTTATCCTTCTCTCAGCACCAAAGAGTCCTGTCGAGGCGAAATTCAGGCGACATGTTTGCCGGGATTCAACCACTTTTTCATGTAGTAACAGAACAACGTGCTGATGTACAATAAAACTAATAAGGCACACGTTACACCTAAAGCTAATACTGAGGTTTTCGTCGGGCACGGTTCGATGATGGTCACCGTTTTATCTGAAATTAGTTCGATTTTAATGACTCTCTCCGAGTAGATTTTTAGTTGGAAATTCACCTTTACCGAAATCGGTGCTGGACAAATCGCTTTTGAGGAACTCCGATTGTTTATCATCGCCGAAATCCAACACCAAAATCTCCTGACTCAACGTCATATCCTCCTCTTTTTCCTCGTCCGTTTGATTCCCCACGCTTCTGCGTTTCCTCCCCCACGATTCTATCGACTCCCTTCCCCATTCGCAAACAGCCTACAACAAACCAACGAAATCAACACAACAAACAACCATCATATAAGAAATATTACCGGTTCGCAAGGTCCCAAACAATACTTCACGTTACACTGGAAAATCACCCCGTAGGATTCAGTAAACCTGAATGCTTCGTATACAGATTGCAATGCAGTACCATCTGGAGTAAAGGCTGGGAAAATAGTTGCATCGACAGGACAACCATCATCATCGATAATCTGGAACGTGCTCTTCGAGTCCTTCGCCATGGCGACGCAGCTTCTAGCGAATATGCCGTAGGGAGCTTCGAGAAAACGAAAATAGTGAATGCAAATCGATAGGAAAAGCGCTAAACTTACTGTCTTCCGGTATTTCGATCCTGAAGGTGAGCTTGTCGCCGATCCTGACGGTCTCCACCTCGCGCAATCTGCTATCCAGGATCCTGATCCTCGGCGGAGGCGCCTCCGGAGCGGACGTGATGCTGATCATCTCTGGATCTCTGGATATAACGACGGAAAACGATTAAACTAGAGATTCGCTGTTTATGGTGAGGAGAGGTTTTAGAGATGGTTTTCGAAGTACAAGAGACCTCTACATGATACTGAGTAATGGTTGAAATCAGTAAGATTAATAATGAAGAAGTAGATACTAGAAGATACAACTATCATTGAAAAAGTAGATGATGAAGATCTACTTGAAGTAGTTTAAGATTTAGATCTACTAGAAGATACTACTAACATTGAAAAAGTAGATGATGAAGATCTACTAAAAGTAGTATAGATTTAGATCTACTAGAAGATACAACTATCATTGAAGAAGTAGATGATGAAGGTCTACTAGAAATAGTCTAGATCTACTAAAAATAGATGAAGTAGACGATGAAAGATGGTCGATTTGATGCAAACCTGATCGGCATCATTCCGAAGGTAATGTTCTTGGAGGACATGTCGTAGGTGCACTTCACTTTGTAGATTTTATCGGCCTTCGTCATGACGACGCTGTGATGTTGGAGAACAACCGTGTTACTGTATACGCCCGTCTGTTAAAAAAAAAAAATACAAAAAGATCGTTAGATTAGAAACGATCTACTAAAAGCGTTCCTCGAATCGCCCACCTACAGATTTTTATCAAACACCCAGTAGTCGCTACTAATCGTTCGTCTACAAAGAATATTAACCATCTGCTAAATACGGATCGCTTGGTCCATTAAAATTCCTCGATAGGCACAACAAACGGAGCTCTATATACATCAACAATGAGTTATAACTCACCACCGATTGCGTATTACAGTCCTGTCCGGTCATGGTCAAGTCCAATCTGAAGAGATCGCTGTTGGCGACGTCGACGTTGCACGTCTCCGATCTGCCGAGGGCGTAAATCCTCCCGTTGAAAGGCTTATTAGTTCGAACTTGGACGGCGATCTTGGTGTCTTTGCAATTCACCGATACTGAAACCGATCGAATTTATAATGACCGAGAACTGGTCGGGTTTTTGCGATTCGCTTACCGTCGTAACAGGTGCCGGTTTTGTCGCAATTCACGTCGGTCCTCGTCAGGTTGTTCAACGTGGAATCTTCGGTGGTTTCGAAGACTACAGGTAAAGTGTTGTCGGGGGTGCTACCGGATACAGGAGATTCTGTAAATTGCCTGATTGAGTAACTAATACCACGTCCATTTGCAAATGCAATTTTCAACTGCCGAGCTACATTCACTGTTAAATGAACAGATTTTCCTATCGAATTCGCTTCGACGATTAATTAGTTCCAATCATCACCTCTTCTTCGAGTGTACACCGCGTTGTGATTAATAACATCGAATTAAAAATATGTAATAATGAGTAATTGGGTTGCAATGTTTCATCCATTAAACCAAGCGATTTTTCTACTGTATAATTAACTAAATTAGTACTTCCGTTGATTAGTTACAATGTTGGTGCTGGTTCAAAACGCTCACTACAATTAGAAGAAAATTCGATAGTTACTTTCGCATTGATTCTCGTAGTACAATCCAATCCTTTCCCCGTTATCGATCAGAGGTCTTTCGGCGTTCAAATAAGTACTCGGCCCGTCCGGCAGAGTCTTGTGGTCCAAATGGAAGAGCTGGCAATTGTATTGGTTACCTTGCGGCGGTCCTCTACAAATATTTACAACGTATACGAATAGATACAGAGCACTACAAACCGCCACTAACTTGTACAAGAACGATCTGCAGAGGAACTCGTTCTCGATCTCGCAGGCCAGCCTGCAGGCCGCCTCGCTGGTCACCTGCAACTCCTTATCGGTGTAGTAATGCAACGTGGCGTATTGGGCGACCTTGTCGTCGGCCACTCCGATCCTGGGCACCAGGTAATTACGGTTTCCTGCAACAAATTCATCTCGTCATACAGAGGACTCGCTACCGATCGATTGGTAGGTACCTTTGCAGGCTTGGTTGCCCTTCAGGCAGAGGTTCTCGAAGTAATCGACGCCCTGGGCGTCGACGAATTGGACGAATTGCCCGGCTGTTCTACGATCGGTGTCGCTCAATTGACATTGGAGAGTTACATAGTTGTATTCTGCTGATCTGCAGGTGAACCGGTGCTGGAAAATCGGTTAGTAAAGTCGATGAAATTAATGAATTGTTTGATGAGGTCGATGAAGAATAACCGAGTAAACTTGTAGTTGTTTTAATGGGATTTATAGCGAAAGAGCTGTTAAAGTTTAAAGTGTACAAACAAGTAAAGTTCGTTGGTGATTATAGTGTTAGTAATATCGTTAGTATTGAAAAATCGGTTAGTAAAGTCGATGAAATAAATGAATTGTTTGATGAGGTCGATGAAGAATAACCGAGTAAACTTGTAGTTGTTTTTAAATGGGTTTTATAGCGAAAGAGCTGTTAAAGTTTAAAGTGTTCAAACAAGTAAAATTCGTTGGTGATTATAGTGTTAGTAATATCGTTAGTATTGAAAAATTGGTTAGTAAAGTCGATGAAATAAATGAATTGTTTGATGAGGTCGATGAAGAATAACCGAGTAAACTTGTAGTTGTTTTAATGGGATTTATAGCGAAAGAGCTGTTAAAGTTTAAAGTGTACAAACAAGTAAAATTCGTTGGTGATTATAGTGTTAGTAATATCGTTAGTATTGAAAAATTGGTTAGTAAAGTCGATGAAATAAATGAATTGTTTGATGAGGTCGATGAAGAATAACCGAGTAATCTTGTAGTTGTTTTAATGGGATTTATAGCGAAAGAGCTGTTAAAGTTTAAAGTGTACAAACAAGTAAAATTCGTTGGTGATTATAGTGTTAGTAATATCGTTAGTATTTGCATATCCTATAACAGACTTGGCTTGTTTGTTTTCCCACAATTTCATCGCTTTCTTAAGCACATAAACGGAACAAACAACATAGTTAGTGTTAACGATAACACCTTCAACAGATCCCATCGAACCAAAACCAACATACCTCGTTGAGACAGGCGGCTAGACAGGCCTCCTTGGTGGAGGTGTAGATGAGCGCGTTGTCCAATCCGCGGATCATCTTGTTGGGGACGCGCTCGAAGGCCCACGGGCGCAGGCAGATGTTCTCGGAGCGCAGCTGCAGCTTGGTCATGTAGTACATGTTGGCGGCGCGCTGGGCGGTGGCCGACGGGTTGTTGGAGGAGGTTTCGTTCTGCAGCTGGCAGAGCGTTTCTTGGACGGGTATGAGAGGGTTGAGGACGAAGCTGAAGGCGGCCGCCTGGCATTCGGACTCCTCGCGACACCAGCCCTGGCACTCGAATAGGGTGAGGTTCTTCACGGTGTAGTAGGTGTTGCCGCGGTAGTCGAAATCGGTGATTTTTTCGAAGGCTATTCGAGCTGTTCGAGGCGAAATTGTTAGTGGAATGATTGTACGAAGCAAACTGTTGTTTTTTTTTTTACCTAATGTTCCATAAACGTTTACTAAGACTAGAAGTAGGCCTATCACAAGTATATTGGAGGTCGTCATCTGGAACAAAACGAAAGATATCTATACAAGTTGCTCCATTTTGCATTGCAACATAGGCTATGGGTGTAACAAAGACAACATCAATTAGACACTTATAAAGGAATAAGAAAGAGTGACATTTGTGTCATTGCAACTTTTGCACTCTGACAACTGTCATTTTGACAATCTTCTATTAGACACTTACAAAAGAAAAAGGAAAGAGTTACATTTATGTCATTGCAATTTTTGCACTCTTACAACTGTCATTTTGACAATCTTCCATTAGACACTTACAAAAGAAAAAGGAAAGAGTGACATTTATGTCAATGCAATTTTTCACTCTGACAACTGTCATTTTAATAATCTTTCTTTGTTCAACTCATAGTACCAACTCAATCACGGTGTATAAACATTTTATCGTTGGTTTTTGCATCGATAAAAGCATCGAGCTTTACAGAATTATAATGCAAAAAACACTCCGTTCTGCATATCCTCGCGATCTCATTAAATTCATATAAACACACGCATTATCTTGTCGCTGATGGAAAATTTAATGTATTCCAATAAAAAAAGGTTAAGTTATTTCCTCGACATCGACACACCTCTTTCGAAACCTCTTCCTTTTTTTTATTATTTCTCTCCTGCACTCGAGCAGCGAATAATCCGTATCCTGCGCTAGAACGATTTTTTGCTTCGTTAAATTTGCTTAATCGTGGAAAAAAAAGCCGATGAAACGGTCACGCCAATTTTCTAGGCGAACAAGTTGATGTCGAACAAAAATTGGATAAATTCCACCAAAGAGTTTAATTGGTATTATCGACGAGTTGCAGTTGAATAATGCATAAAAAAGATACACGTTTCGCGTCGATAAATTGGGGAAAATTCAAATGAGTTTCCCACATGCGCTCGATTTTAACCGGATAAAGCATTTTGTCGTTTGCAAATGGAGTACAAGCGCCCAAATTATTCAAGCCTGACGCGTTCGAAGGGAAAACAAACACAAAAAAAATCTACTACAATGTTTTTTGAATCCAACCAAGTGAATTTTATAAATGCCTGTATAATACTAATCCCTGTGAAGAAACTATCATTGCTACAAGAGCACACATTTAATAAGGGGACATTATTCTCTCATCGTTAGTTATAATATCGTTTCGATGTCAATCACTCGCGATTTTCTCGGCTTAATTACGCCGGTCGAAAGCGTAATTACGGCGGGAAATTTCGTGTAGACAATCCGAATATAGTGCTATTTCCCACGAAAAAATTGATATAATCATCGACGGGCAAAAAACCCGTGGAATTCCATAATAATCGCTCGAGTACCCATCACTAGAATGTAGATATTTCGCCAAATGTAGCTTGATAAATTGGATTGCAGATGAGGAAATTGGACAGTATGATGACAATGTTAGAGAATTATCGCTTCTATTACTGCCTGAGCATTTCTGGATTGGTATTGTGGAAATACACCACTGCAAATATTTATTCTATTATATTATTGTCGAGAGAAAACCCATTGTTGAGACCTTTTTATCGTAAACTTTTATTTTATGTACAAAAGAGTACATTTTCAGTAACGATTTCAAAACGAACGATCATAGAACATCATTTACAGAACTAAAGGAAACGTCAACTGTCAAATATGTCAACGTTTGACTGTATTCAACACCGAATGCAGGCCCAGAATTGCAGCTAAATTCCTGCATTCGTTGTGGTATAGAAATAGCTTGTAATGCAAGTCGATGGTATTTTTAGTTCGTTGCTAATTCGAAAATCGCCTCGAACAGAGGCGAGTTCAAGCGGGTTACTCGGTTCAGGTTAATTGGACCCACACACTGACCCACATATCTACCAGACACGATCGCACGAGTACCACGATATTATATATTCCTTCAAAACAATTTCTTAATAAGAGCATATAATAATAATCCTTAATAATCCGATTGCAACATGGTCATTTCTATGAGTGGAACAAAGACAGATTGTTTAAATGACAGTTGTCAAAGTGAAAAGTTGCACAAATGTCACTCTTTCTGTCAAATGTCACGCTCTGTATATCGAGCGTTTCTCGTCCCATTAACAGCTCTAAGGAGACCTTTTAGTCTTTGATCGTTCTCACTTTCGATTAAAGCGTCGTTAGATCTCCGTTTAGTTAGCGAAGATAAAGCGAATATTTCGGTATAATAAAGCCGTTTAGGTTTAGAAGTCGATGAATGGGGCACGGTCGGATGGTTAAAGTACAAAAGGCTCTTTTAGTTTGCGACATTGCGAAACTATTATCGAGCGAAACGGAGCTGTTTACTTATGCTGAATAAATTAAAGCGGTCTCTATTAAGTCGTCGTGTAGCTGGGTTGTAAGTACAAAAGTACAAAGCCGGAAGTTCGCGCGAATGTAAATAAGAAGGACGCGGATTCGTATTAAGGAGAGGAGCGCAATTAAAATCTTTTAATCGTTCGATATAAAATGGCCTCTAACGTTTCGGTTTTGCGATTAAAAAGAGGTCGAAGCGAGAGGCGAAATACTGTGTCATACCGTTAGAATGTACGATGCTATGTCGATGGAATATTATCCGCATGGGGGCCACGAATTGACCCCCGGGGACCCGGCGCGATCGTCCTCCTCCTCATCCTCCTCCATATTTATCGTTTTCCACATTTTTTTTAATTCACAATTGACAGTTGACATATACTTCTACTCATATTCAAATTTATTAGCTTCGACTACTCAGAATTTCTTGAAGATTAGTATTCTATAATTTGGAAATTTCACTAGACACACTTTAACATTAAACTAATACACACAATTTTTCACTCAAACATTAAAATTAAAACAGACTTTAGACAACAATTTTATGGTTAAATACCAGTTGACATATACTAAAAAGTTATTATTGACAATTGACGTATGAGCCGCGCTGTTGCCAACTCAATTAATTCCCGCGATGGTTTTAATTTATTAAAATGATACGCAAACTGGGCTCTCGGGCAGATTTATGGACTTGCTCTAGAAATTGCGGTATGCTAATCAACCTACACAACATGTAATAACAGTAGTGTAAGACTATGTACGAGTACGAGAATCGTGCGTTTAAAATGCATCGCTTATTTATACAGAGTTTGCTTGATTTATATTTCTGCAATAATAAGCGCACTCTCGCCGGAATGCCTTTAGTAAGGGCGATTGTGGCTGGTTTATTAGCGAAGCATTATATTTCTAAGGTTTGGAAACTGCCTATTCTTATGCATTAGAAAATGTGTCCTGTTATTTGAGGACTTTTTGAGCTTCACTTTTGAACGATCGGAGGACCAACAGCCAATCAGCGTCGCGCTACATATAAATCGCGGTTGTGTGAAACGACAGTTCGAGCTGTCAAAAGTGTCAAAAATTATTAATTTGACATTTCGAGGAAAAAATGGAGGAAATACATTAACCGAAGGTACGTTAGGGATGTTAACAACAAAATCATCGCTGTTTTAAGTATATTTTTATATTTTCTATCTATTTTTAGTTTGCATATAATCTTTCTAATTCGTACGCAAAAAAACCCTGGCCTTTTACAACATCGCCTCCTAGCGGCCGTTTTATGAACCCTGTTTCATCTTCAAATAACAGTACACTTTTTCAACCTATATTTCCAGACTTTTGAAACATACACGGCCTTTTATTAGCTACAATCGAATTCGTTTTGGTCTCCCGCACTATTTACGCGGCGCTGTTGCACCTATAGGGTCCATATTCCGCCATAATGAGGCTATTTTTAGTCGGAAAAACGGGGATAATTGGACGGCAAATGGCGGATAATGGTCGACCGAACAGATAAAATTCAACGCACACTCGATTAGTTATAGAGCGGTCGGCGCTGAAAGCTCCGCGAATCAGCTCATCGTGCAAGGTCGCCGGATTTTTCTGCTACTTATTTATTTTTTTCGCAGCCTTCGCTATCGATCGGCGAGTTCTCTCTACGGTATTAATAGAACCGGGCGAATTAAACCCTCTTTTAGTACACATGCTGCTCTCGCCGGGGGTTTTTATTAAATCTCTGCTTCTTTTTTTTTGTTAAACAAAACATTAAATTCGGACGGAGTAAAGAGTAGGTATAAAGAGATGTCGCTACAAGTTATGCTACAAATAAACCGTTAGTTTTTATTATTAGTTCCTTATACGAATCCGTCTTAATTCCCACAGTAAATATTCTAATTACGCCGGGGCATTGTTGGTGAAACGGGCTCGAGAACGAATCGAGGCTAACTACACACGAATTCGTTTTCTCGCCGGGCGAGAATTTCGAGGCGCGAACGGACGAAATAAATCCGGAAAAACGGTAGATGGTGTACCGGAGCGCCGCCGGTTTTGAGGTCAAACTGCATTCGTCGGCGCGCGCGCGGGGCAATCGGTACCATTCCGGGTACCGTTTTCATTATGTAATGACTCGACAAACTGCTTTACCGCTCTGTCGCATCGAAACGCCCTGACAAATTGCAACGCGAGCTCGCCATCGCGACCAGAAGATGATAAGAAACGAGAAAAAAAAAACGTTTCCATCGCCTTGTAACAAGTTACATCTTAGGCGAAGTTACTGTTGGACGATGACAGTAACAATCGCATCGAAGAATAGAAAGAATATAGAAACAGAATCTACTGTTGGAGTTGGAAGATGACAGTAACAATCAAATCGAAGAATTGAGAGAATATAGAAACAGAATCTACTGTTGGAGTTGGAAGATGACAGTAACAATCAAATCGAAGAATTGAGAGAATATAGAAACAGAATCTACTGTTGGAGTTGGACGATGATAGTAACAATCAAATCGAAGAATTGAGAGAATATAGAAACAGAATCTACTGTTGGAGTTGGAAGATGACAGTAACAATCACATCGAAGAATAGAAAGAATATAGAAACAGAATCTACTGTTGGAGTTGGACGATGATAGTAACAATCAAATCGAAGAATTGAGAGAATATAGAAACAGAATCTACTGTTGGAGTTGGAAGATGATACTAACAATCAAATCGAAGAACTGAGAGAATATAGAAACAGAATCCACTGTTGGAGTTGGACGATGACAGTAACAATCAAATTTACCAACAGAGATGGTAAATTCTCTTGACTAAATTGCACCAAATCGCACAAAATAGAAGTGCATGGTACCAAATAAGAGAGGCCTGCATTTAACCAATTGATAGAAAACAGCAGAAATAAACGAATTAATGAATCCATTGAACATCCATTTAATTAGACCAAAAGAAGATATCAAAATATGTAGGTAACATCTTAGAAGAGCTCCATCTCATTATAACAAACAATATTCATAATTATTCTACCTTCTAAACGCATTTATTAGTTAGAGCCAGAGCTTTTCGCCATCTCCACGATTCTGTTATTGAACCGTGACGGAGACACGTTCTCCCATTTGGCACCTCCATCGACCACATCGTCGATCTTCGACTTCGTGACGTTTGCGTGAATCCCACGCTTCTTTTTTTCTCCTCATTCGCCCTCCGTTTGTTGTTCTGTGCTATTCCTATTGTTCCCTTACATGTTCGTTCTATGCTAAGAGACCCGTTTTGCATTTACAGAAGCCTCCGGCGTTGGCGGGGAACGCGGTAAAAATAAAAATTGTCGTGATTAATGGGCTACCGAAGAAGTAGTAGTGGATCGCCGCTAATTAAATGCCTTCGTGAAATTAATTAAGCAGCGACCACCTGGAGGGTTGGTGGAAGTGAAAGAGTGATGTTGCTTTGGTATTTAACATGGTTTATGTCTTGATTCTTGGGTAGATAAATGGCTCTATTGGGTACCAAAATGGGTCTTCTAGGTCACTCATAAACGAGGTGTTTATTTGGAGTAGTGGTGATCTTAATTAAATGCACTTTTGCTTGATTAAATTGGTAAATAATCGATTCTCTATAGGTAACACATTAGAGCTTTTTCCGCTAAATTGGTTGCATAAACATTTAGTTAAAAGGATTTATCGTGTAGTGAATGGAGTAATTTTATTGTCTGTTGTTGTAGGGAGGATTATAATTTCGTTAATTGTCGGAATTTGGTAGGGATTTGTAGTTACAAATCCTTTTGATTAATGGAGCTGAGTTCTGGACGAGTACATTACAGGAATTTCGAGGGAAAAAGCACTCTTAATTTGCTCTATACAAAATTTCATCAAAGTAGAATTTTGTTACAGCTATAGTTGGTTTTTTTTCGAGTGAAAATTGGTCCTCGGACACTCGGTATACCGATTTTTACACTGTACCATAACGAATGGCTTCGTTTAGCATTCTTCGGATGCTTTCGTCGTCATTAACAATTCCATATACTGGCACAAATCGCGGTATGTCGAGCATAAATTGTTTTCGTGAAGACGTCGCCGTTTAGATAACGGAATTGCGTTGCATTTCCTGGTATGTAATATTATGATTAGAATTTTTTTCTAATAACGCAATTGCATTGTCTCTTCTACCGAAGGAATCTGGATAAATAACGCATTTTTATTCGTTCAAATAACCTCTTCCTGATTGACGATTACATAGCTCGTAAAACTCGATGAGTTATTTCGCTTGTAAACATCTTCTGCGGTATTAACAACACCTAATAAATCAATCTTTTGGAATCCTTCGAACTAACGGGATTATATCGGAGTGAAAACGCCGGTTATTCGTTCTTCAACAAATCGCTCGAATTATTAACCTACTTCGAAATGAAAATTCGAAATAAACCTAAAAGTAGTAAACGTTGATACGCCATTGGTTTTTCTCTTCTACTTTTTTTTTTTCCCGATTCCGTCACGGCGAAAGCGCTATTAGATTATTACGGATACTCAAACCATAACAGAGCGGCTTCCTTTATCCCTAAAGATGGAAAACTTGATTACATGTAATTAATATCGCATTATATCTGCGCACTGAAAGATAATAAACGCGTGAAGAATCCCGAGGAAAGTGCCAATCAAACGTTTCCCTAACAAAACACCCGCCATAATTATTCTTCTTTTTTTTTCACCAACGCAAAGATCGCAAGCAATAACATTATCAAATTCACTGTAGATTATAACTCAAGTATATGTAATAGAGTATAATTAATATTAATCCGTTTTTGGCGCCATCGGCGAAAGCCTCTACCTAACAGAAGTACTTAATAGTATATAAATGCATATAACAGTATTTTAAATGCGAGGTCGCTTTATGGGAGTCCATATAAGCGAGCACCACATGTTTCCCATAACGGAAGTTCGGTAATATTCAGTACAATCTGATTTTAAACTAACTAATTTACTAACGAGAGTCGATTAATTACAGGCGTTTTAATGAGCAAAGCGAGATTAACGATCGTTCGTTGGCGTATGTACTTAGTAGGCGATGTAATTTGAGGTTAAAAGGTCGCTTATTGACTTTTGACGTTTGATTAGTGACAAATGACAAATGACACTTTAACCCGATGAATCATCTATTCGTTGCGGAATCGGTCTAATCCTTTAAGTTCTAATTTAAAAGGAAACTCGTCGATCAAGATTTTTCTTTTTTTGACAAATCGGGAAAACTCCTCGAGGCGAAAACGAACCGACGATTCGTCGGAATTGATAAATCGCATTTCGATGTTTGGTTTTCCAAAACGTGCCGGGCATTTCTATCACAGATTTGTCTATATCTAATCGAAAT